GTTAGTATTATAAAAAGGACTTTCCTGAGTGGAATAATGAAAATAATGTCTACATTGTGTACATGAGTTTGCTGTTAAAGATCCTGTATGTTGTAATTGCAGGTTGTATACCACACTTAAATGAAATTATATATATGTATATAATTATGTTTATAAAACAATTTTCAAACAACAAAGATATACTGCAAATATTAAAATATTTGCATTCATTTCTTATTGAAAAAGTTGACTTAGTCTTTATAGAGAATATTTTTTTATTACGTCCCTTATTTACATGAAATGTGATATTCGGTAATATCTTTGTAAATAATGCTTTTTGGAACTTACAATATTGATAAATCTTAGTTTGAGCATCATATTTATGATATAAAAACATAAAAAAATTGTGTCACAGGATCTTTAAAGGGCACCTTTGTTAAATCATACCATAATAAAAAGGTTTTTTAAGTGTTTTAACATGAGCTTTTGTGTGAATATTTAGCATAAACTTGTGCAGCTTAATTTAAAGTAGTCGACAGTATAAGAGTGTTGCTTAAACTGACAGCATAGTCTTGTATAGTCTTGTCTTTATTGTAGCAAACATACAAGTAGTTCAAGGTTTAAAATACTATGCTAGTTCTTACATATATGTTATTTCTATTGTTGCAGGGACAGGCTGATCTAGGTAAACCTATATTATGTAAGGCCAAGGACATCTCACAACAGTCACCATTCTGGCATTGTAGACTGCTGTTTCAACTAGCTGTATGTAATACATTTCTTTTCTGTATTTGATGCTTAATTATATGTGTTAGATAATTAAAATGATTATTGATAGACATTTATAATTATTTATAGATGTTCAGAAATATCATCTAAAGCAGATATATTTGTAAATTATCTTAAGAAATTTGAAATTAAGCTCATTTTGTGCATGCCATCTTTTAAATGATTGCTTAACATGGAATTTAGTAAGATTCTTTATTTTTTTCTGGTTTTTTTTTCAAGTTTTTTTAATTGTAATGACATATATTGCAAAATTGGAGCCTTAAATTAAAAAAAATCTATATTAATTAGAATTATTTTTAATGCAATGAAATTTCTTGAATTTAGATAATCTGACATGCTTTTTATGTTACACTGTACATACATGTACCTGACCCATCTAGGCAACAATATTTTTTTGTGAATTCCCATGTTAATAATAAAAAATTCAAATGAGAATGTGCGACATTGCAGAAAAATCAGTAAAAATACTTAAAATCACTTAAAAAGCATGAAATAAAAAAGCTTGAAATAAAAAGAAAATTTATTTGTTTTACATATAAGATTGAAAAATATTTCATTTGTATACACCAACTATTCCATTTTCACTTGTGGCTATGCCACTTATGAAAATATTGCATCTGGTGTTCACTCAGTGAAATATAGTTCAATCTTTTACGCAAAACAAATATCCTTTATGTAATGCTTAAATTTTATAGAATGGTGTTTTTGTTAATTTTATTTCAAGTTTTTTTTGTGATGCTATTAAAATTGATGTGATGGATAGACAAAAAATGCCAAAGCTTGATTTAATTATTATAAAAAATGTTGAAAATGTTTTCTTACAAAAGTATGTTTTGCATTGATATTTTGTTGTTTCAGCAAATGCATGCATCAAAGAGAGAGTTTAATGAAGCCTGTGTGTTGCTGGGTTCCGGGGCAGAATATGCTTCATCAGCTAACTCTCAATATACAACACTCTTGTTTCTTCTTAGTAAAGGAATGGTATGTATCAGTTTACTTAAAGATATACTTTGCTCAAATTGGATATTTGAAAATATTGATAATGCTATAATGCTACATCATCTTTTTGTAAATATGAAATACTTCACACAAACTGAAAGTAGATAATTATGTCATGTTTTAAACTCTACACACTACAAGTGGACACACTATGAATATATAGTGTCATTAAAAAAGCTGATTGTTAAAATGAAAGGAATGGCTTTTATTTGACCTGTGTTAAGGAACACAGATTCCCATACATACGGTAGTTTGTACGTTCTTTTATATAGATAAGACATATTCAGTAAGAATTTTACAGATTTCAATAAATTTCTGCAATAAAAATATTTTACTCTGAAGATGAGCATAGTATATCTTTAATATAATTATGTGGTCTGTTGTCGACATGTATGTATAAAAATATTTGTTGATATTTGAATTCTCCCAGGAATAACTTTGTCAAAAATCCATTGTTATCAACACCTAACACTTTATATAATTATGCTTTATACTATTATAGTTACTTTATTATATGAAGTCTTCAAAAGTATACTTTGAAACATATTAAAAACAATGATTGATAGTTTTTTAAACTGAAAAAAAAACATCTAAAAGTTTTATATGAAATAGTGGTAAGTATTATTCATGTCAGGTTGCAGTGAAGTTTCAAGCATTTAATTTTTAATGCAAATTTGCTATAATGATGTGAAGATGATTTATAAACAATTTTATTTTGTCTTTTATTAGCTCACCAGAGCTGAAGGCTCAGGGTGAGCTATTAGTATCAAAGGGGGATGCTCCGGCATCCGTCGTTATGCGTCAACAATCGTCTTCTTCTCTGAAACTACTAAGCCGATTTACTTCAAATTTGGTCTGTAGCATCCGTGTGACAGTCACACTTCTATTTGCTCATATCATTCCAATTGGCCCCTTTTAGGGGTCAGCAGAGCTAAAAATAGAAAAATCTTTAAACATCTTCTTCTACAGAACTAATGGATGGATGATCACCAAACTTTGTCTGAAGCATTCTTAGGTAGTCTTTTATCAAGTTTGCTCATATTATTTTGATTGGCCCCTTTTAGGGGCCGCTTAAATTAAAAATAGATATACATTTCAACGTCTATTGCTACAGAACTAATTGATGGATGATCACCAAACTTTGTCTGTAGCATTATTGGGTAGTCTTTTATTAATTTTGCTCATATTAATTTGATTAGCCCCTTTAAGGGGCCGCTAAAATTAAAAATAGAAATACGTTTAAACATCTTCTACAAAACTAATTAATGGATGATCACCAATCTTTGTCTGTAGCATTCTTGGGTACTCTTTTATCAAGTTTGCTTCTTATTTGATTGGCACCTTTTAGGGGCCACTAAAGCGAAAAATAGAAAAAGCCTTCGAACATCATTTCCTACTGAAATAATTGATAAATGATCACCAAACTTAGTAGCATTCTTAGGTAGTCTTTTATCAAGTTTGATCATATTAATTTGATTGGCCCCGTTTAAGCTAAAGCTTAAATGCCTCAGGTCATGGCATTTCTTCAAATTATTGTTTAAACATATTCTATGCTCAAATTTTATAGAATATATTGACATTCCAACACTGATAAGCAGTTGTTTCTGGTGAGCGACTCAGGGCCATCATGGCTCTCTTGTATTACTTGTGTCTACTCAAAGTCTTATTACATAAATTCTGAGAGGTATAACTTTATTCTTTTGTTTACTTATGAATTGTATGTATTTTTTCCTTTCTGTAGTTATTGTTGATCAACAGAGATGCCCTACAGGTGAATGAAACACTGTCACGGGCTGGGTCTATGATAGAACAATGGACTGGTCCCTCCGTACAAAAAGAATCTCTTAAAGTTTTCTTTCTTGTCCTTCAAGTATGCCATTATCTTACAGCAGGACAGGTCAGTATAGATATCTTTCACAGTTATCTTTTTACAACTATTTATTGGTTTTATAGAGAGTATGAAATGGTCATATGTATTTAAAGTGGATAGGTCTGAGATGGACACATTTCCATAAATATTTCAAATATTGATAAAAACAGTAGAAATGAATCATTTGGATATTCTTATAAAAAGTTATCTAAAAAATCGTTAATAAAGTTCTTATAAGTGACTTAAAATGAGCATTTATATGATAAAGAATAATATTTTATTCTAGCGTAAACAGAATAAAATATTCCAAACAAAATAATATGCAGCCTTTTTAAGTAGGTTTTTAACCATTTAGCAATGATTTTGTGCATGCATCATTTTCTCAAAAAGGAAATATATAGAGGATATTAAATGAGTGTAAGTTCAATACTGAATTTATTGCACGAGTTGAATAAAATAATATTATGCTCGCCAGAGGCTCGCATAATATTATTTTATTCAACGAGTGCAATAAATTCAGTAATGAACTTACACGAATTTAATATTCTATTTATCACATACCCAAAATAAAGAACGGTTAAAGTGAAGTAAGAGTCATTTTTCATTGACCCGCCTATAGTATAACGCTAACATTTAGCGCGTCTTTACACAATGTTTGCATAACACTAACGACGTCACGTCAAAATATATGCACGGCCGTGCCATACCATATTTACGGAGTCACAAATCGGCACGGGTGTGTGATAAACCAACATATTTCATTGTTACAGGCATTTTAAAATCATTATTTTTCAATATCTCCCAAAAACAGATTTTAAACTGCAGGCAGCAGAGATATAGCTTTATATACATTAAACTAATCTATATAACATTGTATATAATAACTAGGTGAAGAGTGTGAAGCCAGCATTAAAACAACTACAGCAGAGTATACAAACTATCACACAGTTACATACTGATGAAGGTATGTTCAATAATTGAGAACTAAAGTGCTAGTAAAGCACCTTTCCAGTCTTTATGAACAAGCTCTTTAGCACGGACTTCTCAATAATATGTATTTATTATTGAAATCCCTGAAACATAGAGGGTATAGATAGTTTTCAAAATCGAAGCAGGGCAAGCTGAGTGGGATAAAGGTTGATATATCAGTTGTACCAGCATTATAAAGTAGTTTTTCAGTGTAAATTATGACAATGTACCACAAAATGCTGTAACAATGTTATTAGTCCCCTACCGGTTTACCGGAGGGGACTTTAGAATTACCCTCCGTCCGTCTGTCCGTCAGTCCGTCCACAAAACTGGATCCCGCGATAAAGCAAAAAGTACTGAAAATATTATTATGAAACTTGATATATGGATAGATGGCAGTATGGAGATTATGCACGTCTTTTTCTTTTCTTCCTATGTTGAAAATTCTGGTTGCTATGGCAACAAATAGACTGAAAATATGGCAAATTTTACACATAACCTGGATCCAGTGATAACTCAAAAAGTACTGAAAATATTTTTATGAAACTTGAAATATGGGTAGATGGCAGTCTGGAAATTATGCACATCCTTTTCTTTTCTTCCTATATTGAAAATTCTGGTTGCTATGGCAACAAATAGACTGAATTTCAAGGTTTCTAGTTTTTACGTTTTTTCACTATAAGTTCTTTATTTTTTAAGGTATTTTCTTCAAACTTTAAATATATGTTTCTAGTCATCAACCACATCATATGTGACAAGGTTTACAACTCTAGCACAAAATTTATCAGAATTTCCACCCTTGAACTTAGAATTTTCATGAAAAAAATATTGTTTTTTTTTAACTTTCTTTTACTTCAAATTCAAAATAAGCATTCATTATCAACACCTTCATTACTAATTGTTCTTTGTTACACTCACATGGTGTATGACGTCTTGCATCTTTATTTCAAGAGTTATCTCCTTTTTAAGAATTTTGCTTTTAAAAATGTTATATTTTGTTAACAGGGATGTTTAAAAAAATAATTTTAGAGTGTTCTTCAGTCCATCTCTCTGTCTGTACATAAAAACTGTTTCCTGTGATCACTTTTAAAGAACTTTTTCAACAAATTTACTTATAATAGAGACATAAGTGAGTGGCCAATGGCCCTTCAGAATGTTGCTGGGGTTCTAACCGGTAGGGGACTTATGGTTTGCTTGAAAAACTATGAAAATTGCTTGTTATTATTGTCCTAGCTCAGCTTGTTCTCCAGGGAATTTGTGACTGTCATTTGTTATAAACAGGAGGATTTCGCTAGAATTAAGCACCAGAAATACTAAATCTTAACAAACTTTAAAAGTATTCAAAAGTGCTTGCAGTGTTTCATGTTGAATATTTTGAACAAAGTTCCAAGCACATTGCAGTTATTTAAAACAAGAAATATTTTAGGAGAATTACCATCTGTCTACACCAAGCTACACGCGTATAAGCAGTAATTTTTTGACATGTTTGTATGTTTACAGATCCAGTAGGTAGCAACCAAATTGATATGTTTCAGTGGTTGCCAAAGGAGCACATGTGTGTCTTAGTATATTTGGTAAGTCATACTGCATCCACTAAACTGTACCCATGTAAAACTATCTGAAATATGAATAGGGGAGGGGGAAGACAGCAATTTACCTTTAGTGCATAACTTTAGGGACATATTGACATTTTAGTAGAGCTATTAATGTTAATACATGCTGAATAGCTTCTTCACGTGAAACTAGGGGCCATGTGAAGTGATTTGAAAGCTAAATGTTGAAATTTGACAAGTGTCCAACAGGTTTTATTACAAAGTATTCCTTTCTCTCAATAAGGTTTAGTAATAAGAGAAGTTGCAGACTTTTTTTTAAACAAATGACTGTTTTACATACATATACATTTGTATCATCAAACAAGGATTATAAATCTGTATTAAATAGCTAGCTCTTATTCTTGCTGTATTTGTTATATTGAAACAATTGCAAATTTTTTTTATGATCCAAATATTTTATGTATAAGTCTACATTAATTATCTGTGACTTAACCTGATATTTTAATTGAATTAATGATTCAATTTGATCAGTTGTGGTGAAACTATGGCCATCTAATGTAATAGTATACATAGACATGGAATTTTAGTGAAGGTGTAAGTATTACAATATGATTAAGGTCGTTGACTTCAAACCACTTGCCCCTCACCGCTGTGGGTTCGAAACCCGACTGGGATTTTGGATTCTTTCATGTGAGAAAATTGGCATATGGAACGTCGGTGGTTCTACTCAGATGCCCTTTCGTGCCTGAGATAATGTACGGAAGGGCACCTGAGGCCTCCACCAGTTAAGCTGGAACGTCGCGATATGACCTATACTGTGTCGATGTGACGTAAAACCTAATCAAAACAAACAAAATACAATATGATGTTCACTTTTTCAGGTGACAGTAATGCATTCTATGCAAGCAGGATACATGGACAAGGCACAGAAATATACAGATAAAGCTCTCATGCAGATAGAAAAACTCAAAAGTATGTTTATAGTGTTTTTTTAGCTCACCTGAGCAATGCTCAGGGTGAGCTATTGTGATCGCCCTGTGTCCGTCGTCGTGCGTCGTCAACTTTTCACATAAACAACATCTCCTCTGAAACCAATGACTGCACATCAACCAAACTTTACAGAAATGATCCTTGGGTGGTCCCCTTTCAAAGTTGTTCAAATGGTTCCGGTCTGTTGCATATGTAGGTCACAGGGCCAGAAAAGGATTTCAAAAAACACAAAATTAAAAAATCTTCTTGTCTGAAAGTACATGGGCCAGAGCTTTGATTTTTGGTATATGGTATCATCTATGGGTCCTCTACCAAAGTTGTTCAAATTTTGTCCCTAGTGTCAAAATTGGCCCCGCCCCGGGGGGTCATAGGTTTTTCCTTATATGTCTATAGGTAAATCTAAAAAAATCTTCTTCTCTGAATTGGCAAAGGCTACAGATTAGATATTTGGCATGAAACATTGTGTAGTAGACCTCTATCAAGATTGTTCAAATAATGGCCCTAGGGTCAAAATTGGCCCCGCCCTGGGGGGTCATTGATTTTCATTACATACATATAGTGAAAACTTGAAAAATCTTCTGGTCTGAAACTAAATGGCCTAGAGCTTTGCTTTTTGGTATATGGTATCATCTATGGGTCCTCTACCAAAGTTGTTCAAATTTTGTCCCTAGTGTCAAAATTGACCCCGCCCGGGGGGGTCATAGGTTTTTCCTTATATGTATATAGTAAAACATAAAAAAATCTTCTTCTCTGAATTGGCAAAGGCTACAGATTAGATATTTGGCATGAAACATTGTGTAGTAGACCTCTATCAAGATTGTTCAAATAATGGCCCTAGGGTCAAAATTGGCCCCGCCCCGGGGGGTCATTGATTTTCATTACATACATATGGTGAAAACTTGAAAAATCTTCTGGTCTGAAAGTAAATGGCCTAGAGCTTTGATATTTGGTCTATGGTATCATCTGAAGGTCCAATACCAAAGTTGTACAAATTTTGTCCCTAGTGACAAAATTGGCCCCGCCCCGGGGGGTCATAGGTTTTTCCTTATATGTATATAGTAAAACATAAAAAATCTTCTTCTCTGAATTGGCAAAGGCTACAGGTAAGATATTTGGCATGAAGCATTGTGTGGTAGACCTCTACCAAGATTGTTCAAATAATGGCCCTTGGGTCAAAATTGGCCCCGCCCTCGGGGTCATTGATTTTCATTATATACATATAGTGAAAACTTGAAAAATCTTCTGGTCTGAAAGTAAATGGCCTAGAGCTTTGATATTTGGTCTATGGTATCATCTATAGGTCCAAAACCAAAGTTGTTCAAATTTTGTTCCTAGAATTAAAATCGGCCCCGCCCTGGGGGTCATTGATTTTCCCTATATGTATATAGTAAAAACTTAAAAAATCTTCTTTTAAAGAACCCAAAGAGCTAGAGCTAAGATATTTAGCATGAAACATCTTCTAATGGGTGTCTACCAAGTTTGTTCAAATAAAAGCCCTGGGGTCAAAATTGGCCCCGCCCCAGGGGGTCATTGATTTTCCCTATATGCATATAGTAAAAACTTAAAAAATTTTCTTTTAAAGAATGCAAAGAGCTAGAGGTAAGATATTTAGCACGAAAAGTGTTCTAATGGATGTCTACCATGTTCGTTCAAATAAGAGCCCTGGGGTCAAAATTGGCCCTGCCCCGGGGGTCATTCATTAGCTCGACTTTTTTTTTAGCTCGACTTTTCTATGAAAAGGGGAGCTATCCTACTCGCCCCGGCGTCGGCGTCGGCGTTAGCGTCGGCGTTAGCGTCGGCGTTAGCGTCGGCGTTGGCGTCACACCTTGGTTAAGTTTTTCGTACCACCCCACTTTATTTCAGAAGTATTACAAGTATGGCTTTGAAACTTACCATACTTGTTCACCATCATAACCTCCATCTACAGACAGGAGTACATAACTCTGTCAAGGTTTTTGACAGAATTATGGCCCTTTTTTGACTTAGAAAGTGTATTGAGCTTGGTTAAGTTTTTTGTACCACCTCACTTTATTTCAAAACCATTGGAGGTATTGCTTTGAAACTGACCATACTTGTTAACCATCACGACCTTCATCAACAGACAAGAGGACATAACTCTGTCAAGGTTTTTGACAGAATTATGCCCCTTTTTGACTTAGAAAATACATTGAATATGGGTAAAATCCACTTATTGCCTTAACCCTTTGAGATATTGCTTTGAAACTTTTAATGCTATTTCACATCATTACCCCCATCTGTACGCAAGAGAAGGTAACTCTGTCAAGGATTTGTTTTAAAAATTAAGGCCTTTTATCGACTTAGAATCTTGGTTAAGTTTTTAGTACCAGTCCACTTTTTGACTGAACTGGTTGAGATATTAATTTGAAAGTTGGAATACTTGTTTACAATCATGATTCCCAAACATGTCCAGGAGAAGGTAATTCTGTCAAAGATTTTATTTGAATTATGGCCCTTTTTGACTTAGAAACTCAGTTAAGATTTTCATTCTTGTCCACTTGTTGACTTAACCATTTGAGATATTACTTTGGAAGTTGGAGTTCTTATGTGCCATCATGAGACCTATCTGTAAGCAAGAGAAGATAACTCTGTGAAAATGTTTCTTGATTTGTACTTAGAAATTCCTAGTTAAAGTCTTGTGTGCCCTTAACTGTCAAAGTTTTTGTTTTATAGGCAAGCACTAAAAAAGTCGAGCGCGCTGTCTTACGGACAGCTCTTGTTTATAGATATATACATACATATATATATATATATATATACATACATATATATATATATATATATACATATTTATATATATATATATATATATATATATATATATATATATATATATATGCAATTTATATATATATATATATACAATATACATACATACATATATATATATATATATACATACATATATATATATATATATACATATTATATATATATATATATATATATATATATATATATATATATATATATATATATATACATATGCAATTTATATATATATATATACAATATACATACATACATAATATATATATATATATATATATATATATATATATATATATATATGTATTGCATTTTTTGGTGTGTGTGTGTATATATGAAATATATATATATGTATGTATCTATATTGTATATATATATCTTATATATATGTATGTATATATATATATATATGTATGTATATATATATATATATATATATATATATATATATATATATATATATATATATATATATATATATATACACACATATACATATATATACACACACATACACATATATATATATATATATATATATATATATATACACATATTATGTATATATATTATAAACATAATATGTATATATATATATATATATATATATATATATATATATATATATATATATATATATATATATTATATATATAAATACATAAAAAATCTTCTTTTAAAAAACCCAATAAGCTAGACCTTAGATGTTTAGCATGAAACATCTTCTAATGGGTGTCAACCTACTTTGTTCAAATAAAAGCCCTGGGGTTTAAACTGGCCCCGCTCCGGGGGCCTATATACAGGTGAGCGACTTTGGGCCATCATGGCCCTCTTGTTTATCAAATAAATTACTCTGAAAACCCTGTTTCTTGCTTGTAAAAGTGCAGACAGTTAAAGTGTAGAATGTGTAAAAATTCTTCAATGTAAGTTTATTTTGTTTTTCTCTCTTCACATTGCAAACAGAATGAAATGTATGCATGTAATAAATAATTTTATTATATACCTAGAAATTTTATCCCTAAAATAGCTCAAATCATGAATCGCTAGTACAGTTCTATGGATAGAAAGACCTGTATTACGTTAGAGACAAATACGGTATCATACAGTGTTCAATCTAGAGCGCGCCATTGCGCCATTGACCCCCTGAAAAGACCGCCGGCGCAAAACAAATTCAACTGTGGGCCCGATGGGTGCACTCATAGAAAATGCCCGTAATGACATTAGAATGCTTTCTTAAACCTGATTAAGAACATAAAAAAAGTTTCTTGTGAATAATATTAATAAATACTGAATTCAAAACTGAAGTTTGTATAGAAAAACAAGAGCATGTTGGTAAGATAGTTACCGCACTTGGTAACCCTTTTAAAACCTTGATCACTACGCTCTCTCGGCCGGGGTCTGTTAATACTATGTAGACTTGTTCTTCGTACCGTAACTATTACTTACTTTTGAGTCACAGTTTTTATAAACAAAACAAATCGTCACAGATGGTGATGTCACGATGATCGAGTAGAATCGAATAATCGTCGCCGGCCGCTTATGTTAGCGACAATCGATTTATTTACTGTAAAATCGATGTTGCTACTTACATTTCTTTGGGTTAAAAGAAAATCACAAAGGGACGTTACTCTCATCGTAAAGTTGGACAAGGAAATTTTCAATTTCCCAGGGAAGACACGCTTGTCAGTTTAGCGTTGTCTTTGGTTTAAAAAAAAACATTCTGACGGCCCGCCAGTGAAGCACAACCTTCACATGACAACTGTCATTTGCCAATTATACATGAAGCCGTATGCAAACAAAGGTGAATATTTTCTTCCATTTTTTTCGGATATAACATGTTAGCGGATATGTGGTTCTTGTACAAGATTTTATTATAGGAAATTATGAACGTGTTCAAATGCTATGTAAATGATAATGTATAACTTGTAATGTATCCAGGTAAGGTCGATTAAAAATGAATACTTTTGAAAACAAAGTCGTCTGCAAACAAATGTGATTTATTTCTCCCATTTTTCGGATATAACCTGTTACCGAACATGTAGTTCTTGTACCAGTTTTTATCGTAGGCAATTGTCAACATGATAACATGCTTTGTAAATTATAATGTTTAACGTGTTATGTATCAATGTAAGGTTAATTTAAAATGAAAAAATGAATATTTTTGAAAACTAAGCCACAGTCCAAAATATGATTTAAAAAAAAAGAAAAAAAAAGAATTTAAGTAGTGGTTTTTAAATGGAAAGTATGAACTGAGAAAATTATGTTTGTGTTTTTTTTAGGGTAATACAACAAATTTACAGCAGCATTTCGACAAACATCACCTTAACACACTAACACTGATGAAACTAGTCATACTGTATCTAGTTCAAAATATGATAAACAAGATCAACAAGGAAAGGTGGCGTTCAATGAACGCAGCCCCCACCCGAACCAGTACCAAGAGCCAGCGACAAGGAGCCCAGACCTGCCTTAGTCCAGAGAAAGTGAAAGCAATAATTTTTTCTTAAAATGAACATGGATTCTTACTGTTAGATTTGTGCTTCTTCAAGCTTAGTGATAGTTAAAGTTCATTGTGAATTTAAATGGTTAAAAAGAGTTAAATTGCTATTGTTAAGGAGTTTATGCTTTGTCTAAACGTTTCATTTAACTTTTTTTCAGGTTTTACAAACAATTGATATGTAAATCTAGCCTGTGGTTTGTAATATATGATCATATATTATAAGTAAATAAAAGAATAGATATTTGAAAAGATGTGTACTAGTGTATTTCTAATTATAGCCAGCATATTTATGAACCAGCATATTTACAAATAGTTTTCGATTATTTACCAATTTTAATTATGTTTGATTCAATTCGATTATCGATTATGTTTTTGGTCCGATTCTCCATCACTAGTCACAGATATAATCCAATACATGCGTGTAGTTATAGTTTTTTCACGGTGAAAACAAATAAATATGTCATAACTTTTCGGAGGAAAAAAAACCTATATATTTGTGAAAAGTGTGAGTTAATTATAGAGAAGTGTGCATAAATTATTACGAACACACCTTCATCCAATTAAAAAAGTCTTAACGATGGAGTTAATCAAAAACGATTGGCTAGGGAGTGTCTGACAATTGAGTAAATAAACTTTGATTGGTCTTTGGCTGGTCGGCGCTAAAACATTGTGCATATCATTAATCAATACAGACATCTTAAACGTGACGTAAGAACTGCTGCCCTGACAAAAGATCAAAGGTACTGGTATGTCAATATACATTGTCTTAGCACCTGTTGACACTTTGTTTTTGGCTTGGATATATTGAGAAGGGTAAATGTTTTTAGCGACTATTGTAAGTTTATAGCCGTCATCAACAAAGCTTATTGGGAAATATGATTTTCTTTTATACATGTATATCGGGCGCTGATTAAAAAACTGAACATTATTATCAAATATCCCTGGTAACATTAAAATAAGATTCATATGTTTCTTTGAACATTATGTCATCGTTTCTTTACCAATCAGTTCTTAAAATCGAGCCTGTATCAACACTAACAGAACTCTCAAAAAATGTCAAAATAATGTCATTTTTTTTTGTGAGTTGATTGTTCGTTTTTGGTCTATATATGGTACGTGAACAAGTAACTTAAAAGACACAATACCTTATTTGAATTTGATGTTCTTTTAAGTGTGGGCCCCCTTTTTTCTCAAATGACCCCCTTTTGAAAAGTTTATGGGCCCGAAGGTCCCCCTGGGAATTTGTTCTAGATTGAACACTGTCATATATGGGAGAACCAGACTATTTTCCTCATTGCTGTGCAATAGGAAATGGGAACCACTACTACTAAGGACATGGTCTATTTTGCAAAAATTACTTATCCGTCATTCATAAATTATATATCTTTTTTTTTTCCCTAAAATGTTTAGGTATAGATACAAGGATAATTATTTTGTAGTAGCTTTCTGAGGCCATATTTTGCTACTTGTTGCATAGGAAAATTGATATCTCACTTGACCTTTGGTTATGTGAAATATGAATATTCTGCTTGTAACAAAATACAAAACCTCAGAAAGCTAATACAACATATTCCAGATATAAATTAACTATATATTACTGATTTATTCCTGTTAGTGTTATTATGTATTTTTACTTTTATCAAGGAAAATAAATGTTTATTAGTTGTTTTCAGTAAGAATATGTAGTCAAGCAAAATAGAAGACATTAGAAATTAAAAAAGATGTTGTTATTTTATTTCAGTGTTGGATGCCCATCCACTGTTGTCTTCCTTCCAGATCATGCTGTTAGAACATATTGTGATGTGTCGGCTGATCATGGGTAACAAAACTACAGCTATACAAGAGGTAAACTATTACATTGCTTAACTGAATAACATTCTTTATATCAAAACAATTCATCAAGTGCAAAGGTTGATAATAGACCTATTTCCCCTCTATAGAGCCAGCTCTGGTTACTTATTGTGAGTGACTTTGTTTAGTATTTTGATCTTGAACTCCCTTGAATTTTAAAAGGTCTGTTTCATGTTCACAGAAGGGCAAATTCATTTCATAAATGAACAAGCTAAATTTAGCTGTTTCTGCATTAATGCCTTAACTGCTTTCCTTGTCATATGTGATATTGATTACTATTTAATTTAGATCTATTCTATACAGGATTTATAGATGAAGATATCAAAAGATTGCAAATATTACTGTATTAACACAACTTTTTGAAGAAAAAAATGTGAAGCTATTGTCATGACCTTATCATTAGCATTCTAAAATATTTTTACAAGATTATGCCTCTTTTATATGAGAAGGCCATGCGGAGCAGTAATTCAAATCAAATGGCCAACACATGTGATACTAAAGTGAAATATGCACCCAACTTTATTTTTCTAAAAAGCCTCATTTTATTACCTTTCTGTGTTATCCTGAATTATTGCCCTTAACAACTTAACCGCTGTTCCGCTTCAACAGTGTGCCAGCTTATTCTTGTTTTTGCACAAAACTGATGTTGAATGAACAAATTTTCATAATCACAGAAAATATTTAACATTCGACCTTATGAAAGTATGAATATATTATTCTTCCACATTTTCAGATATTTCAAGCTTGCCATGTATGTCAATCACAACCAAGACTTTTTTCAACCCATGGTTCACAGATCCATACTCTGCTGGTATGTTATAATTACTTAACATATAATACAGATTGTGATAAGTACTGATAACTTTTCTGAGTAGATAGCTTCTAAATATATATACATGTAATTTTTTACCATATGAACTTATGAAGTAAATTTATTCATCTTGTAGGTTAAGAGTAGGCTATGTATACAAAATAATTGAGCTTTCCATCATGTTGACAAAGTCTTAAAGTGCTTTATGACATATTTATATATTTCATTTCTTGTATGTCATGTAAATTGTTATTAATTTTTCAAGGTCAAGTAATGCCAGTGAACTTTATGCTTGTATGATACAGTGTCATTATTACATCTGTGAACTGTATGCTTGTATAGTACATGATCTAAATGTCATTTCTGTGAACAGTATGCTTGCATATAGAAGGTTCTTTATTTCATGTCTGTATGCTTGTATATAACAGTCTTTATTCCATGTCTGTGGGGTGTGTCTTTGAGTATTTCATAATCTACATGACATGTCTGTGACCTGTATGCTTGTATATTACAGGGTCTATACGCCATGTCTGTTAACTGTATGGAGGCAGCAGAAGCTCAGTTTCTCACAGCACTAAAGGTTTGTATCTGAAGAAAAATAAATCTAGCTTAAATTTGAAGTTGTTCTCTATATACAGTTTAATTTATTTCCTAGTTTATTTATATATGATCAGACTAGCAGAACCATCAAAAAACAATCTTTTTTTCAGCTACAGGTTTAAAAATAAGTACAGATGAGATCATTCTTTTTCATCTTCACCTGGTTGCTGTATAAGTTTGTAAAATATACAAAAACTATGTGCACAAAAAGAAGAGATATTTCTGGCCTGTTTAATCTTTTGATGTTGAAGCAAAATATGATAGCTTGCTGATAACTTTGTAAGGTAAAGAAAGATAAAGGCATGTCATGAATAAATTACAAAGTAGATGAATATCTGTTATAAGTAATGATGAAATATCTGTTATATTAAAAGACCAAGAGTGTTATTGTTTCACATTATTTCTGTATTCAGAAATCAGAAAGTACAGACTTGTCATTGTTCATCAATATGAATTTAGCCATTGTATTCCTACGCATGGGAAGACAAGATGATTTTCTTGGACTGCTAGAGAAAATTGATCCAGAAAAAATGGAACAGTCAAAGTAAGTTTTTAAAAGTTATTACATTAGACATGTATAATTAATGATTCTGAATATGCAAAATGAAGATGTTTGTCAATGTAAGAAACAGGCATGAAGAATACACTTATGATATTTGGAAGAGTTACTGATCTTTTAAAATACATGTATGCTGCTGAATAGGTTTATAGTGTGTTTATATCTAATGTATATACTTTATTTAGTACTAAGTTAAGATGCTCTTCTAAAAGACATCTGTGTGAATTAGTGTAGATTAGTATGTCATTTTGTCAGTGCTTTGATTAGTTTTTCCAAAGCATGTAAACGAAACAAAATACAATGTAATTTTCAGTTCACACAGTTTGAAAGCAGCTGCGTATTATGTACAAGGACTGCAAACTTTCTTCCAGGCCAGATACAATGAAGCTAAGTTAGTTCTTATTTTATACTATATTTTCTTATACCTCTTGATAGAATTGAGTTTTCAAAGTTTTTATAACCTGACATCAGTGACATAGGAATACAACAATTGTTTGAACCTTAAAATTGTTGCTTGTATAACTGTAAGTGAATGGCACCATAGTGGTTTAGATGTCCGCCATGTAATCAAGGTATTATGTGTCTGTAACACTTATACAATCATAGCCATAGGCCTTTATCTTTCATTAATGTTAAACTGAAACAAGGAATCTTTTTGATTTATTTGAGTTTTTTTAAATAGATAAGAAATGTTATACTTTAAGAAATGATGAATATGAGCCTTTACGTAATAATTACCTCATGAGGAAGTTTCGATGAGGAAAGAAATATATATATGTTTGATTTACAATTTTCAGACGTTATCTTCGTGAGACATTAAAGATGGCAAATGCTGAAGATTTAAATAGACTAACATCATGTTCTCTTGTGTTGCTAGGACACATTTTCTTGTCACTAGGTAACAGTAGGGTAAGTGGTTTCCTGAGTCTTATTTGCTTTTCAAAATCTTACTTTGGAAAGGTGACTGGTACCTTCAAAATAAATCATTTTTCTGAGAAATAAACACCATTTTATATATTCACAAGTAAGTTATTTATTATTATACCCCCGCCACAAAATGTGGGGGGGGGGCTATAATGGATTCGCTTTGTCGCGTCCGTCCGTCGGTCCGTCGGTCGGTCCGTCACCATTTTCGTGTCCGCTCTATAAATTCTATACCAATTGAAGGATTTTCTTCAAACTTGGCTCGAATGTTAACCTCAACAAGGGGATGTGCAGAACCCATGTTGCCCATGTGTCAGCTCAAGGTCAAGGTCACACTTGAAGGTCAAATATCAAACAATGAAATATTAGACAGTATGTCGTGTCCGCTCTGTAACTCCTACACTTATAGAAAGATTTTCTTCAAACTTGGCTCAAATGTTCACCTTAACAAGGGGATGTGCAGAACCCATGTTGCCCATGTGTCAGCTCAAGGTCAAGGTCACAATTGAAGGTCAAATTTCAAACAATGAAATATTAGACAGTATGTCGTGTCCGCTCTGTAACTCCTACACTTATTAAAAGATTTTCTTCAACCTTGGATGAAATGTTCACCTAACCAAGGGGATGTGCAGAACCAATGTTGCCCATGTGTCAGCTCAAGGTCAAGGTCACACTTGAAGGTCAAATATCAAACAATGAAATATTAGACAGTATGTCGTGTCCGCTCTGTAAGTCCTTCACTAATTGAAAGATTTTCTTCAACATTTGCTCAAATGTTCACCTCAACAAGGGGATGTGCAGAACCCATGTTGCCCATGTGTCAGCTCAAGGTCAAGGTCACAACTGAAGGTCAAATATCAAACAATGTAATATAAGACCGTATGTCGTGTCCGCTCTGTAAGTCCTACACTAATTGAAAGATTTTCTTCAATATTGGCTCAAATGTTCATCTCAACAAGGGGATGTGCAGAACCCATGTCAACCTTTTGCCGTCTTAAAGTCAAGGTCACACTTGAAAATATTCTTAAATTTTAACATTTAATTGAATATTTCTGAATTTAGAAAAGGTATTTGCTTAAAACTTAAAATATATACATGTATGAAGTGTCACAATTAAGATATGCTGGTCAAGTTTCATAACTCTGTATTGCATTTTAACAAAGTTATGCCCCTTTTTAAGTCTTCAAATTAACATACAATCAAATATTAGACAACATGTCATGTCCGCTCTATAAATCCTATACTAATGGAACCTTTACTCAAATGTTCACCTCAACAAGGTTATGTGCAGAATCCATGTCACCTTTGTGCCGGCTAAAGGTCAAGGTCACACTTGAAGGTCAAAAATTGACTTAGAAAATGTTCTTAAATTTTAACATGTACTTGAATATTTCTGAAACTAGCACAGGTATTTGCTTAAAACTTAAAAGATATATGAGGTGTCACATATAAGATATTCAGGTCAAGTTTCATAACTCTGTTTTGCATTATGACAAAGTTATGCCCCTTTTTAAGTCTTAAAATTTACATACAATCAATGCAAGACAATATGTTGTGTCCGCTCTATAAATTCTATACTAATGGAAGGATTTTCTTCAAACTTTACTCAAATGTTCACCCAACTGGGCAATGTGCAGAACCCATCTTACCCTTGTGCCAGCTTAAGGTCAAGGCCACACTTGAAGGTCAAAAATTGACTTATAAAATGTTTGGTACATTGGGAAAATGAAAGGTTATTTGTAACTGTTTCAAACATGATTTGATAATATATATTTATACCATTACCTGTATAATTAGTCATTCTTTCACCAGAGATAATTTCTTTTTATGTATTTGTGCCACTTAAGTTATTCCCTTAACCACCTTTCCAAGTCGTCTTCTGTCAAGGACATTGGTGGGGGTATGAATCGCATTCAGCGATAGTTCTAGTAAATAAATTATTTTTTATTATTAACAATTATTTAAATTTAAGACTATTTGACATATAGCTTATTTACCATTTTGGGATATTTGCAAGTTTTATTATTATTTATATGCATGTGAAGTAGTGTGATAAAAGTTTATTGGATATACATGTTTATATTATGGTAAACATTTCATTTCAGGAGTCATTAAACATGGTTACCCCGGCAATGCAGCTGGCAGGTAAAATACCTGATGTACATGTACAATTATGGGCCTCATCACTTCTCAAAGGTAACTTTTCAATCTATAAGATTTTTTATAGTACATTGAGAATTGTGTTAAAGTTAGCTTGAACATATATCTGTTTGTTAGTACACATGTACAGTATAACAGCCTGTTCACCATATTCCTGTGTAACACATGGAGAAGTGTGAAGAGAAGAAACAACCCAATACCTACTGCTAGGTTACACTATTCTTAATTTTTTCCAACTAGTTTGGAGCACAGTGCCTATAATCAGAATATCAAATTTACCAAAATGTTCACTGATGAATATGATTTAGCTGGACAAACTGATGAGATACGTTGCTAATTGTTTTGTTTGTTTGATTTTGTTTCTACACCAAGTTTAACGCATATTTGGACATATCAGTCCACATAAGTGCCTTACCTGGATAACTTACCAATAATTACGAATTTCTCTGCTAGTGATAACAAGTTACCCCACATGATATTTAAATCAGTGGTGAGAGACTATATGAGTCTTACACAGGCTGATGGTACAGACCGGAATATCTAGCTCGAGGGTGACTGTTTACAGTGGTAGCGAGGCTCTGCCGAGTTACGGCTAAACAGTAACATGAGTTTTCTTGCATATTACATATCAATTATTTTCAGAACAGAAATTACGAAGACTGCTATTTTCATTAGGCACTTTTTTCTTATTGTAGTGTATGAACTTACAACTTCATTCATATTGGTTAAGTGATGTCATCCTAAGAACACAATTCATTCATAAAAGGCAATGACGTCATTTAAAGCACGCGATTTGTCTTACATGTCTTATGTAAGACAGCGTTTTCTAGCACCGCCGAAACGGTAAATAATCCTGTCTGATATGCAAGAAAAATAACCATTATATCAGTTGTCCCTCTGTACATCATTTCAACTACTAGCTATCACCAACCATCTATGACTTAGCTAGCTAGTTTGCTCAGTTATATGATTGGTTTTCCGAAGGAAAAAACTGGTTATTAGATTGAGGTATGTCGGCGGGCGGATGGGCGGACGGGTGGGCGGGCGTAAACAATTTCTTCTGTGCGCAACTCCTCCAACATTTCTTAATGGATTTTGACGAAACTATCACAGAAGCTTTGTCATCATGTGCCCTGGCGCATATTGTTGGGGTTTTAGGATTGGGTAATATTTGACCTAATTATGGCCCTTTGTTTTTTTCCTTATATAGAATTTATAGTGAACAATTTCTTCTGTGCACAACTCCTACATTTCTCAACGGATTTTGACCAAACTTTCACACAAGCTTTGTAATTAAGTGCCCTTGCACATATTGTCAGGGTTTAGTGATTGGATAATATTTGATCTAATTATGGCCCTTAGATTTTTCTTTCCTTATACAAAATATATGGTGAGTAATTCTTCTGTGCGCAACTCCTCCTACATTTCTCAAAGTATTTTGACCAAACTTTCACAGAAGCTTTATTATCAAATGCGCTGGAGCATATTGTCAGGATTTTGTGATTGAATAATATTTGACCTAATTATGGCCCTTTGTATTTTTTCCTTATATAGAATATAATTATAATGAACAATTTCTTCTATGCTCAACTCCTACATTTCTCAATGGATTTTGTCCAAACTTTCACAGAAGCTTTGTCATCAAGTACCCTGGTGCATAGTGTCGGGGTTTTGTGATTGGATTATTTTTGACCTAATTATGGCTCTTTGTTTTTTTCCCTTATGCAGAATAAAAGTGAACAATTCTTCTGTGTGCAATTCCTCCTACATTATTCATGATTTACATTGCACATAGTTACATTGTTTGTTGCTTGTATTTGTATTTCAACTTCAACATATTTATCTACAATGGTGATAATTTGAAACCTGGTTTCATGGCATTGCCATGTTTCTTGTTTTTACTATCAAGCACTGAAAACAGCTTAGCATGTTGTCCTTCTGACAGCTCCTATTCAAACTTGCTATTTTTAGATCTTTAATTTCTTTCTATTTATAGATCTGTATCAGATGTCAGGTGACAAAGCAAATGAGGAAGAAGGTTGTAGATTACACACCAGTTTCTCTGCCTCACTTCTCAAAGATCTCTTCCAGTCTACACAGCTGTCAGAACATGGCCTTATACAGGTATATCAGTTAAAACATAGGTGACGTGTTTGACTATGTATCACAAGCTCTGTAATTTGTGGACAATAAGACTTTGGTGGTCACCTTTAAAAATTGTTCAAAGAATTTAATTCCATGCAGAACTATGGTTGCCATGGCAACCGAAAGAAAAATCTTTAAATATCTTCTTTTAAACATCCCTAAGAGCTAGAGCTTAGATATTTGGCCTGAAACATCTTCTAGTGAGTGTCTACCAAATTTGTTATCCCCCGCCGATGGAATCGGGAGGGGGATATAGTTTTGGCGTTGTCCATCAGTCCGTCCGAATTTCGTTTCCAGAGTAGTTCTCTGCAACTACCGACTGGAATTCAACGAAACTTTATGGGAATCATCAGTATCAGGAGGAGATGCCCATATCCTCAGCTTGTTCTGGACTGACCCTTTAACTCAGAGTTATGGCCCTTGATTAGTTATGTAGTATGCATATAGAGTAAAAATCGTTTCCGGAGTAGTTCTCTGCAACTACTGGCTGGAATTCAACGAAACTTTATGGGAATCAGCAATATCAAGAGGAGATGCGCATATCGTTGGCTTGTTCCGGTCAGACACTTTAACTCAGAGTAATGGCCCTTGATTAGTTATGTAGTATGCATATAGAGTAAAAATCGTTTCCGGAGTAGTTCTCTGCAACTACTGGCTGGAATTCAACGAAACTTTATGGGAATCATCAATATCAAGAGGAGATGCCCATATCGTCGGCTTGTTCCGGCCAGACTCTTTTAACTCAGAGTTATGGCCCTTGATTAGTTATGTAGTATGCATATAGAGTAAAAATCGTTTCCACACTACTTCTCTGCAACTACTGGCTGGAATTCAACGAAACTTTATGGGAATCATCAATACCAAGAGGAGATGCGCATATCGTCGGCTTGTTTAGGTCAGACACTTTAACTCAGAGTTATGGCCCTTGATTAGTTATGCAGTATGCATATGGAGTAAAAATCGTTTCCACGCTACTTCTCTGCAACTACTGGCTGGAATTCAATGAAACTGTATAGGAACCTTCAATACCAAGAGGAGATGTGCATATCGTTGGCTTGTGCCGGTCAGACTCTTTAACTCAGAGTTATGGCCCTTGATTAGTAATGCAGTATCCATATAGAAAAATATTTGTTTCCTTGCTACTTCTCTGCTACTACTGGCTGGAATTCAATGAAACTTTATGGGATACTAACAGGAGATGTGCATATAGTCGCCTTGTTCCAGTCAGATACTTATAACTCAGATTTCTGGTCCTTGATTAGTTATGTAGTATGCATACATCTCATTGGCATTTCCAGATTTTACTATTTAACACAAAGTTATGGCTCTGTTATTGCCCTGAATATTTATCAAGTTCAAAGAATATTACTGTTTATGCCATGATTGATATATAAATAAAGCATTATGTCTTCAGTTGTTGTGTTTATAATAACCAGTACTCGGCTGGGGATATAAATTCAACGAATTTGCTTGTTCAAATAAAAGCCCTGGGGGTCAAAATTGGCCCCGCCCCAGGGGGTCATTGATTTTCCCTATATCATAAAAATGTACCAGGTATATTTATAAATAATGCACAGGTACTCCAAGTAAATCAAAGACGTATTATAAACCTTTAAAAGCAATCAACAATTGACACCTCAAGTATGTAATTCTTATCATTTGTGTAGAGCTATTTTTAGCGCTGTCAAATTGCAGCCACTGAATTGTCGCGCTTCAGTGCACAGGGTATAAACAATTGCCGTGTGTAAAGAATTTTATACGCGGCTTATTCTGCCTGTTGACATTTTTATGAGTGTGATTTGAACACATGTTACAATGTAGGATTTGATAATTAGGGGTGGATTTAAGGTAATTATTATTGCATAGCTGAAAATCCCATGTGGCAATTTGACTCTTGAGCAGATTTTATCACGTGTCAAATATGTGCATTTCCCGATTTTCACGAGTCAAAACCCTGATCCGCGTGTCAATCGAGAGCCCTGCCATATGCATATAGTAAAAACTTTAAAAAATCTTCTTTTAAAGAACTCATGGAGCTAGAGCTAAGATATTTAGCATGAAACATGTTCTTATGGGTGTTTACATAAAAGCCCTGGGGTCAAAATTGGCCCGCCCCAGGGGTCATTGATTTTCCTTATATGTGTATATCAAAAACTTAAAAAATTATTTGTGAAAAAACCCAAATTGCTAGGGTTTAGATAATAAGCATGAAACATCTTCTAGTGTGTGTCTACAAATTTTATTCAAATAAAAGCCCTGGGGTCAAAACTGGCTCCGCCCCAGGGGTGTCATTGTTTTTAACTATATGTGTATAGTATAAACTTACAAAAATTTTCTTTTGAAAAACCCAATGAGCTAGAGCTTAGATGTTTAGCATGAAACATATTCTTATGGGTGTCTACCAAGTTTGTTAAAATAAAAGCCCAGGGGTTTAAACTGGCCTATATACAGGTGAGCGACCTCAGGGCCATTATGGCCCTCTTGTTTTTTCATTTGGCCTCATTGGAGGAATTGGGACTCATGAGGCACCTTAGAAATGTTACAATTAGGTAGATGTTTAGTGATTAAATTTGCTGACTAAGATAAAAAAATGTTTGTCATTTTTGTAAGTTTTGCTAGGGATGAGGAATGCCTGTGTTTAAAGAAGTTCTATTTATCTAGCTTATAAGGTTAATGGTAGGGAAGGGTGTATTGGTAGTGTCTTCATTAAAATTGTTTTGTCATGTCCTTTCCAGAATTGTTGCTGTTTTAGACATACTTTCAGAAAAGTGTAAGGGAAGTTGAAATCAGGATAAAGAAGTTTTTGCTTAATTTTGATTTCTTACAGATCACTTACTCATTTACCATGTAATACAAGCACATGATGTTTATTTCATCATTTATATATCATCTTTACTCATTGTTTTTTCTATCTTTCTAAATGATATCCTTCTTATTTACTTTCAGTGGACAGAAGGACCTTGTCCATTTCACTTGAATACATCATCAGCCAATGCTATAATGTGAACATAGATTATTGTATATAAACAGTTGCTGGATGCCTTTCATACAACATGATTTACATCCACCATATCTTCAATTGGGTGCTGAGCGTGAGAATCATAATGCTAGTAAGGTGTTACACAACCATACAACGTCCCCTTATATCATTACATACACAATGTGCAATATTGTTGAACTTTTTTTACTAACAATCTCTTCAGTGACTGTAGAATTAAAGAAATCTATATGTTGAATGAATAATTGGCATGTAACAGTTCTATGATTTTACTAGGCGGTTTTACTTTTTGTATGTATACACAGATAGTGACTTGTATATGCCACAAAGACCAGCCTTTATATTGTTTACTCCCTATTTGAAGCAATTTTGATATGATAATATATTTTCTAAACAATAGACACTTCTTATCTTATTGTTAGGACAAGTGTCTTATACAACTTTAATAGAAAGATAGAAATATTGAGAGAAGCAATTTTGTCAGTGCATGTCCTAAAATATTTTATATTCTTTGATATAATATTGTATTTTTAATGGTTTTATGTCCCAACTTTCTTTTCTAAACTATTAATAGAATTTTACAATCTACATTGTAATATATATTGAATATGTATTAAATCATCATCTGATCAATTATATTTAGTAAAAAAATGAACTGAAAATTAAGATAATTTAATTGCAGTTAAACTTTAATGGAAACATTTTTTTCTGTGTCAGTCTTGTTTTCTTATCAGCCATATTTTAACTGCTTTTGAAGGAATTATAATAGAATATGTCTAAATTTTCGGGGAGGGGAGGAGGCGGAGGTTGGTGTGGTTAATGAATAGGTATTACTATAGTTACTAGTTACATTCTGATTAAGACAGAAACCATAGTTTTTAAGGACTTTAAAAACACTTTAGGAAAATTGTCTTGCCAGTGTTTAGATCTACTTATATCCAGGTTAGTGTATATCTTCATTAAAAATGCAAAAACTTTTCTCATAAGTCAAGTGTGCAACAGCCTTAAGCATATAATATACATGTACTTGTAGATTACATGTTACATTGAAAGGAATTACCCTTACTGTTCAACCATTACCACACTAAATATCTCAAGTCTACATGTCCTTTTTTCAATCTTGACCAAACTGTCCATCACTTTTAAGGAAAATATAAAACATGTAAAGACTGAAGAGGGAACAAAGCAGATCATGATCAGATAGCGCAGATTTATTGGTTGATCTTGGTCAACATTTTTTGCTTGGATAAAACCAGTAGCTGCCACCTCGCTAATGGGTAATCAGTTATGGGGTAGAAATATGCTGATAATAGGCTAGTAGTCTATCTTGTCATATTATGTATTAATCATGCAATACATGTACTTCACAGTAATTTTAAAATAGTTTTGTTAAATTGATTGTAAGGTCATCTAGAGATATGTAGGTTTAATTGTTACTAATTTATAATGATAGGAATGCATGTTTCTATCAAGCATGTTTTATATTGATGGGGACATTTCTGTAAATGTCAGGTCTTAAAGGGACACCACTCAAGTTTTGAGATGACGGGACTTTAAATATTTGTTCATTATTTAATACCTTTTGATGTCGTTCTAAACCAATAACTTGTATAAGATTCCAGATCATCTGTTGGCACTTTTTTCCAAAATAATAGCTTTCCTGTGCAAAAGCTCATGAAACAACGATTTTAATTCAAATCTTTAAACTCAAATCGAGCTTGGAATCTTACTAAATATTGATTAAATTTCGAGTACTTGTTTCTTTATACATATTTTGTTTCCGTGTAAAGTACTTCAGTTGATCCAAGTAGGATTTTCAATTTTTTTGTTTTTTAGCTTTTGGACCTAGCAGAGTTACTTTAAACAAAATTAAGTTACCTTTTATATGACAGGAATGTTAAACGCAACATAAAGTTTCTTAAGTTGTTGATATATGGCATAACTTAATCTGATATAACAGCATTGAACTAGTGGTGAAAATGTAAACAATACATGTTTAAAGAAATTGTGTATGTTAATTGATTTAAAAGAACTATGATCATTTTGTCAAAATAATAATGGACATCTTCTGACTTAACATTTTGCTGCAAGCAGATGTAATATATACAGTATATTATAGCCAATGAATTAATACCTAATGTCATGAATGTTGCAGTCATGTTTTTGTATTGTAATGTAATAAATGTAGTACAATTGATTGTGGAATAAAGAAAATAATTCTTTTTATTATATTTTCTATACTTTCAATTTGCTGATTCATTTTTAGCTCACCTGTCAGCCGTCCAGCGTCCGTCCGTCGTCCGTCTGTCGTCCGTCCGTAAACTTTTACTTTAAATGACATCTCCTCATAAACCACTAAGCCAATTTCATCCAAACTTCACAGGAATGTTCCTGTGGTGGTCACCTTTAAAAATTGTTCAAAGAATTTAATTCCATGCAGAACTCTGGTTGCCATGGCAACCGAAAGAAAAAACTTTAAATATCTTCTTTTAAAAAACCCTAAGAGCTAGAGCTAAGATATTTGGCATGAAACATCTTCTAGTGAGTATCAACCAAGTTTGTTCAAATAAAATCCCTGGGGTCAAAATTGGCCCCGCCCCAGGGGGTCATTGATTTTCCCTATATGCATATAGTAAAAACTTAAAAAATCTTCTTTTAAAGAACCCAAAGAGCTAGAGCCTAGATATTCAGCATGAAACATGTTCTAGTGAGTGTCTACCAAGTTTGTTCAAATAAAAGCCCTGGGGTCAAAATTGACCCTGCCCCATGGGGTCATTGATTTTCCCTATATGCATATAGTAAAAACTTAAAAATCTTCTTTTAAAGAACTCAAAGAGCTAGGGCTAAGATATTCAGCATGAAACATGTTCTAGTGGGTGTCTACCAAGTTTGTTCAAATAAAAGCCCTGGGGTCAAAATTGGCTCCGCCCGGGGGGTCATTGATTTTCCTTATATATGTATAGCAAAAACTTTAAAAATCTTCTTTGAAAAAAACCAAATAGCTAGAGTTTAGATATTAAGCATGAAACATGTTCTAGTGAGTGTCTACAAAGTTTGTTCAAATAAAAGCCCTGGGGTCAAAATTGGCCCCGCCCCATGGGGTCATTGATTTTCCCTATATGCATATAGTAAAAACTTAAAAAATCTTCTTTTAAAGAACTCAAAGAGCTAGAGCTAAGATATTTAGCATGAAACATGTTCTAGTGGGTGTCTACCAAGTTTGTTCAAATAAAAGCCCTGGGGTCAAAATTGGCCCTGCCCCTGGGGGTCATTGATTTTCCTTATATGTGTATAGCAAAAACTTAAAAATCTTCTTTGAAAAAACCCAAATAGCTAGAGCTTAGATATTTGGCATGAAATATCTTCTAGTAAGTGTCTACAAAGTTTGTTCAAATAAAAGCCCTGGGGTCAAAACTGACCCCGCCCCAGGGGTATCATTGTTTTTAACTATATGTGTATAGTAAAAACTTAAAATAACTTCTTTTAAAAAACCCAGTGAGCTAGAGCTTAGATGTTTAGCATGAAACATCTTCTTATGGGTGTCTACAAAGTTTGTTCAAATAAAAGCCCTCGGGTGAAAATTGGCCCTGCTGGAGGTGGGGGGGGGGGGGGGGGGGGAGATCATTGTTTTTCATTATGTGTGTAGTAAAAACTTAACAAACTAAACATTGTGAAACATCTTCTAATGAGTGTCTTTCAAGTTTGTTCAAATAAAAGCCCTGGGGTTTAAACTGGCCTCGATCCGGGGGCCTTGATACAGGTGAGCGACCTAAGGGCCATCATGGCCCTCTTGTTATAAAAAATAGCCATTGTACCTCCGACAGTCTATGATGACATCTATCCGGCAAAAGACAAATTTATCAATCCTCCATGCACGTAAAACATTTTAAGTGTATTCTGTGCTTTTACCTCACTTTTACCTAGTGTTTACCATACATCTTTTCACACTTTTCATAAATCTCTACCTATACCACTCGGAATTGGCAAGGATGTTTCTTGCATGGAACCATATCAACGTTGTTAAGATTCCATTCACGCAAGAACTGGAGAAATGAAAATAATCGTTTGTCCAAAATCACAAGGCCCGCAGATTTTCCCAAAACGGCCTTGCAAGGTGGCACTTAAAAACGTGAATAACATCTTGATTGGAACATACAGTCTAATAAGCAAAGTTACGGATTCTTGTTAAAGTTTGAATTTTAAGATACTCGTGTCTGAGCCTAGATTCAGGTGGTTTGGGATGCGATGGTGGTCAGCATTGTGTTGACGTTTGACCTCGTAACAGCACCAGTTTTTCTACTTTCAATACAGACGGATTCTTTTACTTGAAGTCAAGGCTTATAGCACCAATGACATTCACTACGAAAATGTTTTATGCACTTTGGTCAACTTTGATCAACGTGATGAAGTAGCTCCTTAATTACGCGTCAAATTTATCGCATACACTAGATGATTTGAAAAGTGGTTTGATACTGTGTTTGTTTAAAAAGATAAATCCAAATAGTTAAAAAGCAATATCTCTGTATTTAGCACTACTGAAACTTTAAGAGAAATATGTTACAGCACTTGTGCCAGCTTCTCTTCAGACAGGACAAACAAAATATTTCTGAATAATTTAAACTACATATGACTGTATTTAAAGTATTTCGCTAAAACAAAGATTACCTGTTTCTTTGGTTTAAAACAAACTTAGACGGCGATTTAAGATAGTAATACAAAACTGGTTTTACAAAATTATCAAAACAAATTCGGAAGAGAGCACAAGCTGCATAAATGCCAACACCATTAAATCATTGTGATTCTTAATAAAACAAAGTACTTGTCGATGCCACTGCTCTGTCATCTCTGTGTCACAGTGAAAGACGCTTCTAACGCAAAACTTCAATAATATGGTGCCTATCATTCAGAAACATCACTGTAACTTATTTATCTTCACAGTGCAAAGGAGTTAAATGAAAACACTCATTCGTGACAGATAATCTGTTCTACACGTGTAATGTGTATGAATTCAACTTTCTGCACGAGGGAAGTGATGTGAGCGAAAAAAATATATTAATTACAGATCTATATGTAAAATTTGTTTTACGTGAACAACACTGAAAAGAGCTCTGAGGAAGGGCTTAATCTAATGTTGTAAGAACTTGTTGCCCAACCCATTTGCATTTTGATATATACTCATTATTTGTATGATATATTTGTAAACATGCATTAAATGCAATAAAATATGTTTAAACTAACAAAAGCTCTGAAACATAAAATTATTCTTACGAAATGCCGAACATAGTTACGCGCGCAATCGATATACATGCACTCGACAGGTCATTTAAGATTAACGAGAAAAAAATAACAACATTTTTAATACTAGTAATGAACTTTAAATTTTGCTTTCTTATTTGAGAGTTTTGTTTAAAAGCGTTCAATTTTTAAAATATGTATAATTTCTAATTTTCTTTTGAAATAACATATGTATAAATTGAATAGATCCACGTGCAGATGAAGCAAGCGGTGTAACCGTAGACTGTCGGAAATAAATCTGGTCCAGTGACTGGAATGGATCAACATTTCAAAGTAATTGATATACAATAATGTGACGTCTGAACAGTAGTCTAAATGTAGTAGTCTAAGTAGTAGATGAATGATGATATACATCTCTTCATTTAAGAGAAATTCTGAAATAATTTCTGAGTGAAGATAATCGTTTTTGTTTTTTTCCTACTTCTTTTTATATTTGGTACCAGTTTGTTTACGGAACGAAATCATTTACGCAGGTCATACCAAAGCGGTGTCAATTTAAATAAATCTATTTTGTATACATGTCTATGATAACGATTTCATCAATGTCTATACTTTGTAATTACAGCTTTAACATTATTCTTTGTAGTCGACCGACTACATCAGTAGGTGACATAATAATGTCATGTTAAAAATTGGTTCAACTTAACGTTTTAAATTGAAAAATCTGACACAAAATAGATCTATGCAATGATAAATGAAAGAATTTTAAACAGTCGTCAACGATTTTAGACTTTAGACAAATCGCAGAAAATGGAGAAATAGCAGAAATAGATGGAAACAAACATGTCGGCGAAGTCTAATAAAACAAAAAAAATAAAAGAAAAATGCAATTTTGAATGTAATTAAAACTTAATTTACAATTTAGAATACAAAGAAGTTGTCTTTTCGTTGGCAACAGCGGTAAGATTTCCCCGGCATTTCGATGGTGTTACTGATATAGGTTTGACTGTATACTAATGTCAGATGTTGTTTCATCTAAACTTTCTATGAAATGAGGCTAAATCCGTGACACTTTAACATAAAACCAGAAAGAAGATGTAAATGCTAGCGCTTTGTGTTCATACAGAAACGGTTTGAATTTTTTCTTTCAAATTTAATTTTGCAACTTCTATTAATTGTAAACATTAATTTTTTCACCTAATCATAGGTTTCCATGCTTCGAAACATTTGTAATTCAGAAAGTTAACAATATATAATATACTCAGTTCTGTTGAAGCGAAATAGCATTTTGAACAATAATTATTTGACGTTTTAAAGCAATAATAACCACACAAAACATGTATACATTTTGGCTACGTTTTTGTTATCCCCAATGTATGAACTACAGCTTTATTAATAATGAATAAAGTATTTGATCAGTTCATCTATTGATTTAACGAGCGCACTAGTGTGTATGTACATGTGTATAGGTGTATTGTTGAATATTTGACGTCTGCTCCGGTGAACAATCAAGATATACAGCTGTAATTTATTGGTTATAAATGACAGAAGCCTACTGAAATATTGAAGCATGGACTTTATTTCATGTGTCAATATTTATTTGTCTTTGAAAAATATTTATTTTGTATTTAATAATTAATCACTAAAGTTATCGAACGAGTGACGGTATATATAAAGGAATTTATTCTCTTCAACAGCTAAGGTAGGAAAATATTATTTTCTATGGATATTTTTTTTTAGAATTTTATAATTATCATACGATTCGAAATAAAGACATAATTAATTATTAATACACAGATCTGATGTAGTTTTAATAGGTTCTCTCTCTGACAGTTGCGAAATGGTTAAAACGGTATCGTCATTTAATGTTTTATTTAAAGAACGTCGGTAAAATAGAATTTATCACAGAGTGAAAAATGTGCAGCCTGTCCAGGACTCGAAACCAGGACTCTCATAATACAGCTAAACGCCCCCTCGGCTGAACTATGTACCCGACCGCTTACACACATTCTCCCCCAATTAACTGAACAGTTCTATTCCGTGACAGGTTAATTCGTAAATATGTTTGTTCAAAAATTAATTGCATCTCTCATTTGCTTTTATTTATACATGGGTTTTGAATCTGGTAAAATTTCGGTGAAATAAAATAAAGATCTATTAATATTCATAGCATTGATCTTTATTTGGGAGATTTGTCATAAATTTAGTTATATTGCTCTCAAGGATATGAAAGATTCATTTTATCTATTTTTTCAACTCATAAAACTTAATGATTGCGACATGAATAATCCTTTAATCGCCCAATAACGTAATACTTCACTTTGAAGTTAAAAATAAATTCTACAAATATCTACGAATGCGCAACACCGAGATATAAAACGTATTCTTGAATAAAACAATAACAACTTTATTTAGTTTTTATTTTGTGAAGGTAAGACATTAAATCATATGATAAAAGATATGTAAATCATTTTTAAAAAGGTGCCTTCATTTGATATTACATTTATAAAACAACAGACACACACACACACATGCACGCACGATTGACAATCATATTTTCTTTTGATTTTATGCCTTATAAGAACAATAATAGCAGTTTCCGACTTTTTTTCATTTAGGCTCGGGGAGGGAAAATGACGTTAGACTTTCAATGGCTACGCGAACGCAGTACAACCACAGTTTGTAGTAATTATTGCCGAGTAACTTTAAACAATTTTAGAATAATAATGATACCGCATCTAGAAATATGCCATTTAGAACATTGAACGCAACAATTTATTTTATTTTTCTGCAGATGTTTCTAATAAATTTCAACATTTTCGTTTTTAAATGGTGAATTCTGCTTAAGCCGGTGCTAGGGGGTGGCGTGGACGGTTACGTGCACTTTACAGTACACTTACAATGCACTTTAACATTTTCAATTTGGTCATTTTGGGCGTTCTACAGGGATTCCGTGTTCTCTGTTTTATTGCTTCTACATCAGCGTTATTTGTGTCGTGTGGAGGCTGTAAAAAGTCGCCCCGTACAGATAATCAAAGATGTTATACTTCCGATCCTTGAAGATCGTTCAGCACCACACAGAAGTTGTTTGTCTATGTTTGTGGTATTTTTAGTTTCTTCTATTTGACCGTTTTTAACTGGATGGTTACAGTATTCCTACATGAATACTGTATAATCACCAATAGGATATGGTGCCTGCTTAATTAAATTTCACCATTTTCGTGTTTAAATGGTGATTTCTGCTTAAGCTAGTCCTAGAGGTCGTGGAAGTTAACTTTCACTTTCCAGTTCTGCTCATGAACAGGCTCAGTTATCTAACAGAGTCTATAACGTTTTCAATTTTGTCATTTTGGGCGTTCTATATGGATATCGTTTGTCTCTATTTTGTAGTCATTATTGCGGAGTAACTATTAACTCTTTTAGGGAAATAATATTTTAATCGAAAATATACCATTTAAAACAAAACATAATAAACAGAAACTCTAAAGAAGGTCCAACACAACAAAATTGAAAATGTTGCAGTGAGCCTGTTCATGCAACAATTAACTTTGATGTAAATTCACAAATTTACGGAATTATGAAAATTAAAACGCATGCAAAAAATAGTTTGGCAAGCCTATATTAACCACACAGTGGATGATAATGTGTGTGATCACAAGGTTGATCAGTCCAATGTTTAGAAAATGTGTTCGTCAATATTGTCTTTTACATTTAATCCCTTCCATTTTATCCTCTATTAAATATGAAAATTGTTATGTTTGCGTTTTTAAGTTGTTTATCCGGACGTGACGTCATATTCAACATACCTTTTGACAACAGTCACATTCATTCATCAGGGTGCCGTTTTATCAACGGTCGTACGCAGTTACGACCGTCTTTGTTGATAAAACGGCACCCAGATTCATTCTAATGGAATACAATGCAGACAAAACGTAAGTATGCAAAAAATCCACTTAGCGGTCATTTAAATCGTTCAGAGAAATATTTCGGTAAGTCAAGTATTCGAGATCTGGTCATTAAAAACATATTTATATCTATTAATATTGTTGAAAAAGGCGTTAAAGTAATTTTAGCTATTTTATTTTTTGTAGACGACATGTCAAGCATTGTACTTCCATCCACCCCTACGACGCTGCACCATCACCCGGATCATCGTTTCCATAGTTACCGTCAAAAAGCACGGAATGACGAATTTTCCCTCGAAAATCTCGGTATCCGAAGAAACGAAAAGCTGAAATCTGTGTTACAGGGTCTAGAGCACTGTAAAAGGTATCTGGAAAATACGGAGAACCGACAGCCAATATATTTTGGACATATCAATAGGAAATTGTATGACAAAATCATAAATATGTTTATTCAGCACAAACAGACAGATGAAAGAATTATACTAGGAAATAAACTTTCTAGAATCGGGTAAGTGTCGTTGACTGTACCAACTATACAAATCAAGTATTATGAACATGTTTAGCCCGTCAAGAATTGTTTTGTTGCCTGCTGCACTTTGCATTCAAAATAATTCAAACTTACAACAAGGCAAATCAATTTAGTTAAAGTATATTGTGAATAAATGATGTACTCAAATGGGAAAAAAAGCGTTAACTTATCAAAATGACGCAGAAAAATATGATCACATGTGTATAAACATGTACAATTATACTCAAACATGACAATATTCTTACATATAAAATTCTCCTTGATAACCAATATCTGAATGCAATTATTGTGTTGTAAATAACGCACAGGAAATTGTTCCGAGTCTTTAATTTCCTGTTACATGTTTTAAAGCAAACATATTCCATAATCAGCGTTCTTCCATGTAATGTAAAATCGAATCGCAATTTCATGGACAATGCGGTTATATTTCAGTATGGTTGACACATTAGCAGAAGTCTATGATTTTGTCAGGAACGCAATAAAGATTCAAGGTCTGACAGACGCACGGACAAGGGACACAGAGGATGACGGGATAAAACTGTTGCTTACAATTCGGAAGATATTTAACACATTGACATCTCTCAGTGACAATGTTGTTAGAAGTTTGTCAGAGACCGAAATATATCGAGCACTTCTAGAAGATCTTCACTGCGTTACAAAACAAGATCTGCTTCACTTAGATAAAATCGATCTAGTAAGTTTACCGTATTTAAAATTCTCATTAAATAATGCACGTTAAAATAAAATTTGTCCGATTATCCTTTTTAACGAGCATCACGTATACAAAATGAAGACATAGTAAAATGATTTATATCTATCATTAAAACTGCATGTTACAGTCACGAAAGATGAAATCATCACAATAGATATGTAAATGATTTATTTCTAGGCCGATGAAAATTCGCTTGTATTAAGCTCTGCCATCAATATCCTGTACGAATGTGTCAGACATCCGTTCACAAAGAAGGAAAAGTTTCGACAATCGGGGATAATTGTTACTGTATTACTGTTCCTTAGTTGCAAAAATGCACGTAAGTCTCACCCATTCTCTTAATTCAATTCGTTATGAACGAAAAATGATGGGGGAAGTAATTAATAAATGTTAAACTGTCAGAGGCCAAAGTTTTTTTTCATATTATGTTATTTTTTTCACATCGAGTGAACATTTTATTTGTATAACCAGATACCTTAACATGCTCTTAAACATTCATGAATGTTTTTCTTCTTTTTCTTTTTTCATTTGATTAAGGTGCAAAAATAATATTCCGCCATTAAGCAAAATGTTGTCATCCCTGTGATAGTTGGTAAAAATTCGGTACGGTTTTGCTATTGCTTTGACAGCTAACGTTTTTAAAGTAACTACATGACATTTGTCAGAATGATAAAAAAATAAAAAGATAAAATTTATCATTTTGGTAGACACATAAATATTGTAACAGATATTTAAAAGAAAGTTGTTGAAAATAAATAATTCTACATACATGTATCGATTGCTTTATTTCAGAGTTCAGACTGCGATCAGTTTTAATTCTGTGTTATGTGCTAACAGAAAACCAAATGTTTTGGTCGGAAATTCATCTTGACTTTTTCGATATTCTATGCGAGGCAATTAATGAGGCACTGTTAGCCAAGGACAGACGTGTATATGGATTTAGCATTTCTGAACTTCTGAACGGGTTAAAAGCTTTACAGTTTTGTTTTCCGGACAAGTTGTATTTCATGAATAAACATCCGTTACCATTGATCAACTGTCTTCTAGCTAGCCCGGATCAATCCGACGTACTAGCAGCGGTTAATGTGGTCTGGGAACTTGCATTTTGTGAACAAAATCGGAAAGAAATACAGGTAGTGGTGACTCTCATTCACAATACGTGCATTTTCATATCATATTGTATAATTGTAAATACCCGGTATTCAAAATGTAGGGACTTGACTATATACGTAGATCTACTATCTGGTTCTTTTCCACACACCGTGTGGATGTCGTAAAATATCGCCCCGTTAATATGCCATTCAGCACAACATTATTGTTGTGTTTGTGGTACATTTTAGTTTCTTTTATTTGATTTTTTCTTACTGGTCCCAGTAATTTACTTAAACACATTGATTTGTCAGCCTTGGAATATGCCTACTTTTTATGACTGTCTTTCGAAATCTGTCTGCAATATTCGCGGGCTTCATAACCTCTGATTGTCTATAAGATTCCATTTTATATAGTTCTATATAGTTATATTGTTTTTCTCGTTTAGGATCTTGAGGACCATACGTCGCTTTTCGTAGAAAGACAAGATCGTGTCACATTAATCAACGCTATATGAACACATTTGCGGATGTTCATAATTTCGTAATTTTAACATTGTCAAGTTTACACATTTTGTTCTGCTAAAGCCGCTATTAGGGGGAGCTGACGGTAGCTTGTAAATCCCATTACCGTCCATGAATAGGCCCAATCAAACCAAGTCTCCAGCATTATTTATTTTGCTGTTTTCATTTTCCCCCCTTTTTACGAAGATGACATAATTTTAATGAAATTTATGAATTTAATCGTCAGTTTAGCTAACGCTAATTATTTTAACCACATTATGCCGCTTGTATCATATCCATTATTGATGACTTTACTTGTATTTTACAGGAGAATGAAGATATTATAGAATGTATTGAAGATCTGTCACACTCGAATAATACAGCTAAAAGATTTTCAGCTAAAAGGACATTGTTTGTATTAGTGGACCAAGGAAAGCGAATACGACGTACAGGTAACTAATTTTAAAACTTTAACTTGTTATTTCAAGTTATACATCAATAAATAACTTGAGTTCATTAACTTAGATATACGAAATTTGGCGATACATTAAAGTAAAAAAGTTGTTCACTGAATGAGTTAAACAAACCGATGGCGTCTTCTATAAATAAATAAAGAAATAATGACAACCTAGCTACAGAGGTGTACAATCCAAGTTATTCTTACCTTTAACATTTATAAATTTTAAAGCTTTGCTTTGTAAATTAGAATACATGTACATCTATGATCTACCAAAAATATCTTGATCTAAGACTTCTTGTTGTTATAGAAATCCTTTATAATAATGTTTAGTTTACGTCAATATCACACTCCAGTTAATTGTGTGACCATTTGTCCTTTAAACTTGCAATTGTTGACTACAATAAAGCAAGATAGCTATATTTGATATAATAATGTTCATATCCTACCTGAAATGCATATTTTATGAAGTCTTACTTACACTTTTAGAGTTGGAAAGTCGCTATATATCATTTTGGAGCTATATGATTTCAGGGCTAGCTTCAAGGAAAGATGTGTCTGGACAACATATATTGATATGTTATAACATGAGTGACCAGAAAACTGCTCTTAAGGTAATCGTCGTTGTTGTTGTGACTGCTGCTATCGCTTCTTCTACCTTTTCTGTTGTTGTTGTTGTTATTGTTGTTGTGTCTGCTTCTGTCGCTGCTGTAATTACATTGTTATATCTACTATTACCTACCGTGATGTTATGTAGAAATAAAATATCATTGTATAGTACATTAAGTGGCTAAATAAAATGTGAATGTGAAATTTAAGTGACAAAAACACGTTTGATATGAACATGATTTATCATGTACTGTTTAATCATGATTTTACCATCTGTGTTTTTATATAAAGTATTTACATCTAACCAGTCTAAAAGTGCCGGTGTTTTGTTGTTGTTCCTTTCTTTACCCTCTATCAAACCTCTCAAATTGCTGTGGATGTTGCAGATAATTTTATCCATGGCTTACTCACATATGGTAAGCCCATTCTGTCTGTTTCTGTTTTCCTGCAGGTCACATACTAGCCTCTATACTGCTTTTAATATATATCTAAATTTCCGGTACAAAACATCACATCATTTATAACATAGCACAACAATAAATTTACCAGAGTTAAAGTTCTAGAATCTATATACTTTTATCTTCAAGAATTTCTACATTTACATATATCAATAAGATAAAAATTTAATCATTTTGTAGGTATACCATTCTCTTAGTTCGTATGGATTTCCTGTATGGATTGATATAGCAGAACTAAACAAGTATTCAGACAGCTTGGATGCTGTGCTACGTGCTATAGAACAGGCAAGTCACGTTGTCGTCTGCTTCTCAGAAAATTACGCAAGTGACCAGAGTTGCAGAATGGGTAATGAAAATGCATTTTTCGACTTTTAATTTGTTATGTGAATTAAATCATACTGATTTCGTAATTCTTTGTCAGAGGTCATAACAAAATTGTTTTCTGTATATACTCCTAAAAATAAAACAAGACATGTTGCTAAGTGGGACTTGATAGCTTACTTTATTTTTGATACAATATAAAATTAATTATATGACTGTTTGTTTTACCATACCGGTAAATTATTATTGATCTTTGGCCTTAAACAGCGAATAGTAACTTAAGGGCTGTTGGACCGAACGAAAGTTTATATAGTTCGAGGTCCATTACCACAATAACGGATATGAAATATATTTGACTTACATTTTTCTTCGTTTCAGAGGCTGAATACGCATTTACGTTAAAGAAGCGTATTATACCGTTAAAGTTACAAACCGGATATGAACCAGTCGGCTGGATTACGTCAGTTTTAGGGTCCAGATTTTACCTCACTCTAACACGTGATAGGTCGTTCGAGAAACAGATGAACAATTTGCGGGACTATATTGTAAGTACAATTCATCCGGACCGAGCAATAGTGCGTAATTTAGGATCATTGTCTGAATTCTTCAATTCTTTCATTTTGCACGTGGTAGTTTCTATGACCATTGCATTTCCAAAATGACTTGTGGTACAGAATCTAGTTTGGCAGACTCCCAAACTAAATGAGTGTGCGTGCGGTTTTGTTACTATGCTTTTGTTTTGTTTCTAAATGTTATTCTGATTTTTGATGTAGTTTTGAATATAAACATGTAAAAAGAAAGGGGTGCTGAGGCAGCATCCCCCAATAAGCAAGTGTGCTATCATTGTTTATCTCCAGGCATTCGCTAAAATAGATGTGTTCAGACTTGTATCTCAACTATATAGCTAGCTAATGACGTCATTTACCTATGGTAGATAGGGTAGAAATTATTGAATGAAGAAATGTAAAAATTAAGTTGGACAGATCAATTGTACTGCAACCATCTTTATTCTTTTATTTGATTGTTCGTCTTACTCCTAATAACAGTATTAAGTAGACTACCAGTTGAATCTTTTGTTGTTTTTTTTATCACATATAGCGAGGATCTAACACAACATCAGCAGTAGGGTCCCCTATCAGCCGGTCTATGTCACGCGCATATATGTCGAGAGGTCCTTCAAGAGCTATTTCACGAGGAATATCACGTGCCAGCACTAGTATGCAATCATCTTGTCCAGTGTATGATAGAAAAGTAGTAAATTGGAATACAGATGACGTAATACTTTGGGCAACACAATTTAAACTCGAGTAAGTCTTATATAGAATAGTTATTGTTGTTGTTTTTTGTGTTACTAATATTTGCGTGCTGTCTATATTCAACAATTGGTGTTGTCGAGTATAGTGCTCTTTTTTATATTGGATTACACGCCCTTACTTCTATCATATTTTACAATTGCAGGGGTCGGGCCTGGCGGATTGTAAGCAAGTTTTCAGTAAAACAGATATTGTATGTGTACAATGTTTGGAGAAAGGTATTTTATTATTACTTATTGTTCATCAGTTTTCATAATATAAAGTGTAAATCTTACTTCTCAAAAGCCTAATTCCTAAAGTTATGGTTTCTTTCATAGACTAGTTGTTAGAATTTTCTGATTGTATCTAGCAGACTAAATGGAGGACACATGCCATCCCCGAATAATTCTATTGAGGGTAGAGTTAATACCGCATACTGAATATTTGTTACGTTTTCTAGCCAAGATAAAAAAACATTTGCATTTTATTAAGAGTCTAAGGTATATTGAGCAAACAGTTTAAAACATATATTTTACAGGCACCAGATTATTTCTACAGATGGGTTGAATCAGTTATAGGTCTCGGCAGTGTGGAGGATTTAATGAGATTCCGGAATGCCGTGAGATCATTGAAGGATTATATATGAAGACTGATGTTGTTTTGTTTTCATTACTGAGAGCAGGGAAACTCATTATACGTATAAACCCGTTATTGGTGGACACTATCCATTGATGAAGTGTCACATAGACTAAATACGTACCGTTATATCACGTATGGTCACACACAAAGAGCAATCGCTATAAAACTTTCTCTAGCCAGATGAGAATGTATCGTCAATGTGATATTTACATTCACTACGTACTTATGGCTACATAATACATTTGTATTCTAAAATGGTCTACATGTTATTTTAAAGTTTTGTGTTGCATTTATTTCATTAGCTACATATGTTTTAAAGAATGACATATAACCATTTCGAAAATGGTTACAAATTTTGCCTTTGGACATTGCTCTTGGCACGATCATTATCACCTGTAAAAGGCTGATGGATATAGATATGGCGTCGTCCTACCGTCAGTCACTCTTTAAATGTTACATCTTATTGTTGAAAATAGCATAACGGTACCTCAACTAAGACCCATAACTCCCATGCACAATTTCGAGTGATAACACATTAATTAAAATTATTTACACTTCATTTTTGCTTTGGACATAACGCAAAACGTTATAGCGTATCAATCAACTTGAAACTACATCAATGAATTTATTTCATTGCTAAAAAGTGCACTTACTAAGAACCATTACTCTTTATTGTATAACTTTGGAATTATTGCCCTATGATATTATCTATGAGAGCACAACTATAAATGTTTGAGGTATCAACTTGAAACTTCACAGGTATAGATCTTATTAAAAATAAGTGCAACATTAAGACTCATAACTCACTTTTGCATATCTGGAGATGTTGTTTTTGTGATTTCTCACATTCAATTTATATCTAGGCATAATGCAAAAAGTACAAGAGACCGAGGGGTTTTGTCTGGGTCATAACTTAAAAAGTAATAAGTATGAACTAAATAATTTTCAGATTGGTGCATATCATTGAAAAAAGTGGAGGCTTAAGAACCATAACTTTTTTATATAAAAAATTGAAGTTATTACCCTTACTAATTTCTCATATTTATTCTTTTTTTTTTCATTGAAAAATATAAGTGGAATCAACTTGAATCTCCATAATTGGATAGTTTTTATCAAGAAAAAATTTGCATTGTAGGTTTCATCAAGGAACAAATTGTCTAATACATATTTTAAAGTCTATACTGCAAATATATATAACTCTTAATTAAGACTTTTTACCTGATTTTTTTTAAAATTAAATGTTAGGAAAATTTAAAATTTTCAATTAAATTAAAAAAACTACTTAAATCAATTAAATTCCTATCAATTTTATTCAATAAATTTGATAATTGGGCCGGGGTTTGGTCTTTCATAATTTTAAAGTCTGTCGAATTAAATTTTAATTTTTTGAAAATTTTAAAAATGCTTAAAAATTAACTTTTTAATAAAAAAAAAAATTTTTTTACTTCAACCTTTTTAATTCCCAAAAAAATATGGTGATAAATTTAAAAATTATCATAATTGATGTTTAAAATCAAGATTTTAAATTTTTATTTCAAATCAGGAAACATTTTTTATTTTTTTATCATTAAAGAATAACAGTTTTGAATTAATAAACTTTTTAAAATTAAGCTTAAAAAAGGGATTTGTTGATGATATTTAAAATTCAAATTTTTTATGTTAATAATACTTATATTTAATTTTCTTTATTCATTTTTTTCTTATTTTTGCAATTTGACATGATTTGTTTTTCATACCTTTAAAAAAAATGCCATGAATTTGCTAAAAACGTTTTAAAATTTTAAAAACTTTAAAAAGAAAAAATTTGGAATGAAAAAAAAGAAGAAATTGTTAAAAATAAAATTACAAATTACAGCAAAAAGGTAATGGTTTACATTTTAACACCTTTTAAAACCTCTCAGTTCCCAATTTCGTGGTCAGATAATGTGCATCGTTTCGAACATAGTTTATACATGTTCATAAGTGTTGTTATCGTAAGAATTCCATGTGTCCACCTGAATAATTTATACCTTATGTAACATTTGATAAGTTGAGCGAATTGAGTGAATTATATTGGAGTAAGCTGGATAATTTTACAGATTCCTACAAAACAACACAGCAAATAACTCCTCTTATAAGACATATATGTGAAAGATTTTCATCAACAACAAAACATCAACACCAAAATACCACTGTTCTAAAATTTATTTCTGCCGCTTGTATATTTTAACATGTTTAAAAATATTAAGTCATTAAATGACTTTTACCTCGGGCAACTTAAAAAGAACATTAAACAAAAACATTAAACTAATGCTGTTATTCAAATACCCCTCTTTTTACACCAACCTGAAGATACAAATACAACAATTAAATAATTACAAAGATTTTAGCAATATCTATCTATCTGTCTCTTCAGACAGATATTAAGAGATATCACTCTCATATACTTGATATATTTTATGTCTTTTAATGTACAATAATGTACAATAACTGTACACCACTGTTCTTATTCTACAAGGTGTATGCATGAAGCTATTACATATGTAACAGTTTTAAGAGTTACAATTTAGACGTTGTCAGCAATTGATCGACATTTCCTACAGTAAGGGAAGAATATGTTTTCCTTTTGACATCATAAAAGAACAAAGGGTCATCTATATCTTGTGGGTGAAAACCTTCTTTTCTCAACTGTGTTTTCTGTTGTTTGTGTGTCGTAGTTATAGCTTCTTCTGTCGGAAATCGTAGAAATAAAGGTCTGGCATAAATTGGCAGATTTTCTGTAGCATGACGGAATATTTTTTCTAGTACACTCGGAGTGATTTTCGTGTCACCATTTAAATGTATGGCAGCCATTCCTGCACGCCCTTCCGTGCCTGAAATGTTACAATTACCTTGTTAATTGTATCAAACCATGTTTATACAATAATGTTCGACTGTGATTAAAGGTAAAGTAACCTTAATTTGAATCTTTGAACTATGTAATAAGTACTGCTGTCGTATTAGAAACATGTTTGTGACCACAGACGGGGTAGCACCTGCGATCCCTGGGTTGAGAGGCAAACACCAGACCACCGCGGATTAGGTGGCATGCGGGACTTGCAATTTCTTAGAAACATTTTTAAAGATAAACTAGTATGTTTCATTCTTATATAGATCAAAATGGAAATGTTATAAAGAAAGGAATAGAAGTTCTATACAATTGTTTTTATTAAAACAAGATCCGTTCAATTTTATACATAATAATTATAATTAATCATTTTGATATCTTATTTTGCTTTTTTGTATGTTTGTTATAGCAGACGGCTGCTGTTGTTGCAAGAAAATGGTTTTTATCAATGAATTCTTGCTTTTGGACGATGCAGTGTATGAAAAATTGAAAATTAAGTTCACATTTATATACATGTATACGTATTATACAATGTTTGTAAGGTTATTATTAAATAAGTTATACCTGGAATTTCAACACCATAAACATTTGCATCATGTATTATATCTAGCTGAGTTAGCACATTGGAAACTTCATATGTTGCCACATTTTCACCTTTCCATCTACAAAAAAATAAATAAATACATATATGAAACATTTGTCAATTGTCATACGGCATACATCATTGTTAACTTTTCATGTAATATGTTCTGAAAAGAACACGTTGAATGAGTTCATTCATATTTAAAGCCGGATACTCGTCCATAATATGACTCAATAAAATTGGTCTCAAACAATAATACATTTATATTCATTTAGAGTGGGGCGGTGACCACCTAGCACCTCTCAAACTAGTGATCGTGGATTCGAGTCCTAAATTCTGTCACAACCACGGTTCTCTATACATATAATAATGTCTGTGACTAGAACGAGGTAATTCAAGGAAGAGACTCGAGCGTGGTGAAAAAAATCACCATTCATCCAATTTAATGTACCTCGAAACGTTCATTTTTTTTTAATTATATTTCTTCTTGTATTTCATAACAACATGGAACAAATGTATATTTCCTCTTTAGTCTACATAGATAAAAAAAGATTGTAATAGCGTATTACCTAAATGTGTCCCCAATTCTGTCCTTGAAATATAGGAAATAATCTGAATCCATGGCTAGCAAGTCTCCGTAGTTGAAATATACGTCGCCTTCAACAAGAACGTCCCTTACGAGTTTCTTCTCGTTCATTTCTCGGTTACCCTTGTAGAACTGAAGGTTATTTTTTAACATCTCTGGTATACCACTCAGCAACACACCGGGCTCACCTTTAAAAATGAAAGTAATGAAAAAAATTAATGTACATGTATATATATAGTGAATCCACGATATTACTAAAGCGATTTGATATGTTTTAAAAGAGCACTTTTTAAACTTTTATTTGGTTTCAATGTTTACGGAATGTGTTTGTAAAGCTTTGATGTAAACTAGATTGTTTTAAAGAAAAGTTTGTAAAGCTTTGCTGGAATCTAGATTTTTTAAAGGAAACTTTGAACTTAAATGGAAACTACAAAAACAAAAACCTTAACTAATTAATTCAATACGTTTGTTTGTTTGCGTGTTGGTGTTTAAGTCACAAAGACACAGTAAATGTCATATGGCGACTTTCTAGCTTTACAGATGAAGGAATACCTTTGTGCACTTTTTCACTCACGACCGGGCACCTGAGTAGAACAACCGATGTTTCGTAAGCTAGCTGAATAGCTTCCTCGCATTGAAGATTCCAAAGTAACTGAGGGCATTTGAACACACAATGGTGAGGAGTAAGTGATTTCAAGTTGACAACTTTAACCATTCGGCAAAGGAATATGATAACAGTAATGACTTACTACTACATGGTACAAATCGGTGTAATATAAATTGGAATCAAAATTATAACAGCCGGGTAAGACATTCATTGCGCATTATCCTAGAAATTAGGGAACATCAAAAATAAAACAATAGAAGACATGCCAACTTTGACTGGTATACAGCGTCCATTGTTATCTCTCAGCACTTCACCGCTATTAATATCTATCTTCACAAACACCTTCTTCGTTTTGTCCAAATACATCTTCAAATTAATACCAGAGCAATGAGACGAATTGAACATTTCTAATTAATTTGGTCAAATTTTTGTATAACATTATCCTAAATTTATAATTTTTTGTATCCTTTTTGAAAAAACAAATTCATTTCACCCGCCCGACAAAAGAACAAAAAATAAAAGATGCCAGATGCCTTAAAAATTTACCAAGATAATAATTTAAAATACGACCCCAAAATGTCTGTTAAAAGAAAAGATAAAATAAGAAGAAAAAAGTTAATGAACTAGTGTAGGGTAAAATAAAAACCGTGGCTTTGATTGATTTTACATAAACCAATTATATTGCCGATTTCGAGTCAAAGAATTATTATGTTTTGAAAAATTCACTGTATTACTTGACATAAAGTTTTCTGATTTCAAAATCATATTTCATGAACATAAACTATACTGTATGGAAGCAGAATCTTGTCAGACATGACAAATACAATACTAGTATGGTCTAATTTTACACTGGTGTGCACACATTATTACAACTAACCATACATGTCATGATCGGAACCACTAACACACAAGAATTTCTTATATACCATTAATGGGTCAACTTACTCTCAAACAGACTTCATGTATACCATTATAGAAACATCTTACGCTCTAAAAGGTTACATATTATATACCATTAATGGCGAGTATCGGCCACATGCTCCTTTCCGATTGTTCAAATTTATAAAACCAGCTGTTCCTTCGGTAGCTGCAAAGAATTCACAAATATTTGGAATATTGTATCTCTGTTTGAATTGATCCCATATGTCTGCCCTTAATCCATTTCCAACTGCCACTCTTACGTTATGTTGACCGTCTAATGGATTCTGAAAGGCATTACATGTACATTTATTCTTGCAAAGTTTTTAAAATAATGATTACATACATATTTTAAATATTTACTCGCCCTTTTCACTTTATAAATTAACACTAATAAGCGTAAAATACACTTTTGAGCATGAAAGTACGCTCTAGTTAAAATTAACCCGAATATCGGGGTTTTTAAAAAAATCGAGTAGCGCCCCAAGAAACCAAGGGGAGGTCTTTCCCCTTTTTTGGTTCCGACAAAGGGGAAAATTTTTTTAAGGGGGGAATGTCAAAATTTCCAAAAGGGGGAAATTTTTAAGGGTGGGTTATGTTTTTTTTACGTGCATAAAAAAACAGATTATGGTATTAAAAACCCGAAAAAAATTTGATTAATCGTTTCCCCATGCGAAATTTCTTTTTTTTACAATTTGCGATATTTCCCGGCCCCACATAATCTGCTTTGCTAAAAAACAAACTTTAAAAAAAAAAAATGTCATGCCTTTTGATTTCCCTTTTCAACTTTTGAAAAAAGGGGTTTTACACTCAGACCCAGTTTTTAAAACCCAAAACTTTTTAAAAATGTACGACCCAAGCCAAAACCATGACCCCCCGACCCATCAAAACGATAAATCAAAGGGATATTTAAACGACAATGATGAAGATTAAAGATTATTATTGAACTTGTAATAATTGAATTTTGTCAGTGTTTAACACCATTTGTTACAAATGTGATCTTTATGTCAGCGTTTTGAACAATCACATTTATAACATGTTTTATCTGTTACGAATGCGATCTTATTTGCATCACACGTTACAAATGTGATCCGTAACGGACTTTTATTGAAGGTTTAAAAGCCTTACAAAGAAAAAAATTGAAATTCTTGCATAGATCAAATGATATACTTCAAATGGAAAAAATCTGCAAATGCTGACAAAGAAATATGCTCGGAGTTAATAAAATGACAACAGAAATCAACGAGGCAAAGAAAGTTAAAATCACCTATTTGCACAATTCGAGTTTTGTTCATTTTGCTCAATAAAGATAATTATTCTGGGAACACAAGTTATTAATTCAGACTTACATCAAATGGTACACAAGTTTCTAAAATATTTTAGTCCCTTTGTGTCAAAAAACTCAATGGAGTTCACCAAATTAAAGCTAATTAGGACGGTTGACATTGTGATATATCCTAAAACACTATTTCTGTCTTACTACTATAACAATTATAATGTTTTTACCTCTGGCACAGACAGAAGATATCGACAAAGTTCTCCTATATACTGTATCACTGTTACATTGTACTTTCTGACGTCATCAAAATATTGATGAGCTGAGAATTTTCGTTTCAGTACCATTGTTGCACCTGGAAACGAAATTTTAAGGATCCAGAAATTATGACTGACCCCGTTATTGCTAAATTTCGTTCGCTGTCTAATTTGTAGGTGTAATTGTTGAAGTTAGGTATTAAGATATTGGAGAAACATGCAAAGTCATGTAATTATTAGAAAAAATACAGAATAAAGAAAATAAGTGAAGCCTTTGTAACAATATGGTCACAGAAATAGTAACATTTTTATTTTCTTACTATAATCCTTATTCTTACAAGAATGAAATTTAACTTTATCTTCAACGCGGTGGATGGTCAACAGTTGTGCACTGCATAACTAGTGCCGTATTCTGCAAGCCGGATATTACAATTACCCACCTTGGTCAATCGTGTTCAGAAGTCCTAGACCGAATCCCGCACTGTGATACAGTGGTGTACATGTATATACAATGTCTGATGGTCCGAAGTTGAAGAATTGAAAGAACTTCGTGAAACCTACACTCTTCAGATGTGTAACGATAGCTGGCTTTGGTAAACCTGAGAAAATCGTTCAAGATTTAGAACGGCCATATAATGTGTCAATAATCTTTATATAACAAATTTATAATATAGCAAATTTCATTAAATTTAGAAGAAATAAAATAACTTTACATATTGATATAGTTTATAGATTTTTTATATTCAAGTAAATTCCAGAAGGTCGTAGACTTATGAGGACAACAGATTTACAAACAAGCAACATATTTCATGTAACATGAAATGCATATAAAGATATACAGTAATAAGCAATTTTGTACACAATAAATATTTTAACATTATCATCCAACATAATCTATACACATACAATTGAATAAACAGAGGTAAAACATATTCTACATCATGTGATAATTATATACATAAATTGTATAGCAAAATGCATCTATTGCGCTATATCAAAATTAACATATTTACCATATTTCTGAAAACTACTTGATTAAATTTTAAATAAAATAAGTAAGTTTATTTGTAGATTATAATAACTCATTATCTTGTAATCCGAAAGTGTCAAGATTAATAATTTCTTGCATAGATTCTGACGACCAAACCATGTTTATGTATTGACATTTTCGGCATTTTTTTCTTCTAATTATATATTCAATACATATTTCCTGGTGCTGCAAGCGACTGATTTTTGATATTTGACTTTTGAACTTTGATCACGGGTGGTTGATTTTAATACAATAAGTTGGTTTCAATTTGTTGGTTTGATGGAGATAATATTCAGAACAATATGTAAGAAAATATTGCAATCTAACTGATGTTCAGATCTATTTATTACTAAATGCGGACCGTTATTCAGATTGGAAAATATTGGTTAATATAGCTACGACTTCCAGAAAAAATACATGGGGTGACTCATTTGGTTAACTGTTAATTGTATTCATCAGTTTATACACAAAGAGGTAAATGATTCCCAAAGCAAATTACCTGTAGTGCCTGACGTGAAAATGTAACACGACGGTATATTCGTTTTTATATTTTGTCTCACACTGCGACACACCGGTACTGGTAGAGCCGCTGTCATCAAACTATCCCAGGATTTATACCTATCACCTCGGTCTCCACCATGAACGAAGATCGGAATATTAGCTATATTATGCCACACTTCATCCACCGAGTGAAATATTCTATCGGCTGTATAAGATTTTAGTGTAATAATAAGTATCTTAGGAGATATTAACATGTTTCAATAACATATATCATTAAAAAGGCTGTTCACGATGTTGAAATTCTTAACATTTCCTTAGAGATAAAAAGCAAGCATATGCAAAAACTAGATAATAATCGTTTACAATTTACAGACATTAACACATTGTATACTCAATTTTACCAAAATGGTCAAGTGCATAACATTATATGACTTGTCAAATGGCTTATGATAATAACGTTCAATCATTGTCAAACTTGAAAATGATTTGTAAAAATTGTTGCACTGTAGGTATTATTGTTTACCATCACATACACTTTTGTTTCAAGTGAATCACAATTTCTTTCGATTTTTATGTGATACTTAATCTTTAACGCACTTTTTTAGTTTTGAAAATTTTCTTAAATGAAAGATGTATAGCAAATGTTGTGTGGAATTATCTAAGGAAATATCAAATGAACAAAGACAAAAAGCTACGGTAGAATTGAAGACGTTCATGTTAAATGTTTTAGGATGTTTTAACCTTAATCGATCGCTACTTTTTGGCTCTTTCCGTTAAAAATCGGATAAAAGTGATTAGCCTTTGTCTTTAGTATATTACAGTCATTCCCTGCTACATACTGTTGGTAGATCAACTTTTGTTCATATATTGTGATAATGAAATAGAAATTAACTGATTCAAATTATAAACACTTGAAAATTCATTAGACAGGTCTGATAGTTTTAAACAATCTTTACCTGTTCCTACTATGAGAACCTTGGCTTCACATGCACGTATTGTATGAACCAATGGTTGTCCTTTTATGTTGTAGTTTATAAAAGCTACAGCTATCCCTAATTTCTGCAAACCTGAAACACACATTTTTGATTATCAGTAAATAATAATTTTGCCATAGCTGCCATAACGAATGATAAAAAGATCAGTTAATTAAATTTTGATCAAATGAAACAATTTCATTACAAACAATTAACTTTCAACAGCGTGTTCGAATGTAGCAAGGTCCAACACTATTTTATAGATATCCACAAGAACAGATATATAAAAAAATAGAGAAAAAAGAACCTAAAAAAAGCCCAAAACAACAACAAAATAAAAGTTGGGGGCTGGGGTTTGATTAACCGTTCAGGGACGGTACTGAAAAGTGAAAATTACCCTCCCCGCCCCCCAGCAGGCTTAACAGAAATTTAACATTTAAAACGAAAATGGGGAAATTTTGAATTTAGAAACATCCGCAGATGTGTTCATACGGCGGTTATCAAACCGTTTGTTTCACTGTCATTCTAGTAGAGAAAAACTAAAACTAGATTTCTACATTTTTCGGTACATGTTCAATTTGATAGAGTCTAATTAAAGCGTTTGTTAAGGTTTCTTCAGTTTATCTCCTGGCGTACCTTTTAGTTTAATTTAATATATTATAACATTATTGCGTAAAATCAAGCAAAAGATATTCTAAAAAACACATATTAAATATATTAAATTAACAGCACAACTATTAAAATCTCTTAAAAAAACAACACTAAAATCTCTAAAAGCACATACCAAGAAATGTCCAGATAAATGAAGGTTCATTCTCAATCATTATAGCAACACATTCACCAACTTTCAGTCCCCATTTGGCTGCTATATTTGCCACTTTGTTAGCCTGGTCATTCATAAACTCATAGCTATATACTCTGTCCTCAAATATAACAAAAGCTTTCTTGGGGTGTTTTTCAACGTCTCTTTCAAAGATATCAATAACATAGAGCCCATCTTCTAAATCTTTCGCAAACATCTTCATCAGTCTACCACCTTGTTTCATCATTTTAATGTCGTAACCTATCCACGGAAACAACGTGCGCCATGACAGTATTCCAGCCCCGACAGTACCCGCTGCTCCGAGCAAAATCTTGTTTCGTTTGGACGCCATCGATCTATAAATACATGACTGTAACAGGTCAGTGCCTTTAAAAAAATACAAAATATCTTCATTCAATTTCGTAAAAATTATAATCCGGTACAGCGCTAATTGTTATTACGAAAAGCAATTTATAAGTCAATGGATGATCAATTTTCTTCCAATATTGAAGAGCGTAACATATTTACAAAAGTAAGCATTCACAGAGCATGACATGTACATAAAAATCATTAATAACATACAGCATACTATGTAACAAGTTCTTTTTTTTAATTTTTAGCTGTATCATATAGAAATATGATAAATATACTATACACTTTAATATGCTTCGTTTAAAAATAATGGAAAGTTAGTTAAAAACACTACTACAAGGTTACTCAAGTTTTAACCACAACAACCGATAGTTGAATGTACTATCTATTTGAAGTGATATCGACACTAATTAGCTAACTTACCAACTAATTAGCTCCTATTGCTGAAGAAAGAATCCTTATATGTCACAAAGTCAGATACGTGCAGACATTGTTAAACGTAATATTTCTTAACAATGCCAATTCAATAGTATGTAGTGAGTGAACTGGTGAAAGTCGAAATAAGTTTACATTTTGCCATAATTTCTTTTCGATTTTATAATTTATTTCACATGAACGATAAAGTAATGACGTTGCCCAAAGAAATTTCTTTAAATGACCATCGGAATTCACATGTAGCTTTTAAATTATAAAATAAAAAATGGGTCAGTTTTTTTATAATCAAGACAGAGTCATCAATCTTTTGAAATACATACTAGTCAATTCTGTTCAACTTAACTATGAAAAATTGAGCATAATACTTATATTTTATATTTAGTACCCGATATTTTACTATGATATGAATCTATATTTCTACCATGATGTACGTAATCTTTCTTCATATTCAGTCCTACATTTCCGCATTTTATGTTCTATAGTTAACATACATGTATGTATCAGTGATATACATGTATATATGTACATCAAAACCAGTATCTCCTTAAGTACAATGTAAAGATAACGTTTAAGTTAGATTATTGTCTAGTCAAGTCATGAGTTATATTTTAAAATACGTTGTACTAATGTTTTAATCAAATAGAGATCATTATTATGTAAAAAAAAAAGAAAATTATTACTGACCAATCATTTATTATCGCATATTCATACATATAATTATTGAATTATGATGAATATGATTACAAATCAACATTTATTTTTTGGTGCTTTTATTGATGTATACCACAATGCACTGTATGTATTTTAAACTATAAGAATTGATACAGTGACTCATTTGTGTGTGTGTGTTAATATAGTATTTATTTAGGATTTAAATGCATGAATTAAACGCATTTCACAGGGATAGCCGTAATTTATACACCGAAACAATAATTATAGTACAAACACTTATTTAATTAAGCGATACAATTTTCAATTAATTTAGATATTTATGAAAAAATAATTTTGTGCTCCGGATATCTTATTTATGTACAATTCAAGAATGTTGACCGCTTTACCGACATAGATGGAAATAATATGTTAGCCTACTGATTATTCAAACTTATCGCTATATTATATTGTTAGACCTGCTTAACACGGTGGAACATAAATTTTACATCCTGATTTTTTCTCATGTATACTGTATACATTATATATGTATAATTTGTATATTCAGTATAATTATATGTATATTTCGTTTATAAATTACCTATTAGACATACAATTTACGTCGCGAATTTTCTCTAAAAAACATTATATGTATGTATGTAGTAGTCAGTAAAGTAAAATGTAAATAATTTATAATTTATGACATATGGCATATATTGGATATGAAATTGATATAAAAATGCTCACCTTTAAATATATGGTTACTATAAATCCAATGAAAAATCTGAACAGAGACACTAAGATCGTAAAGTGTACTTTAGATAAAGAAAACATGCATGCAACAGATAATATGTATGCAATAGCATACGATATCTGATATAGTTCAAGGTCACGCTCTAGTTTTCTCAGTTTATATTTTGGGACTGCGCTGTAGTTAGTCCTCATTATTTAAGTTCACACGGCATGTTATAACATGTAATAGGGGGAACATCTGATTCTATTGAATATTATTTTTACATTTCGAACACAGTTTTGGTTTGAGGTTAGAAAAATATCGATCCTACAGAATTCTACCAGGAATGTTTATATATGGAAATAAGTTATTTATAATGATGGCCTTGTTTTACTCATTTATTTCATTTTATAAAGGATATTTTTACCGGTGTTGTTACGACAGACGAAAATATAAGCATACCCTGTCCAATTTGAGACAAAACATATGAATATATATAAAGTGCATAAAGCTATAATAATTCTACTGCAATTAAAAAAAGAATATTTACAAAATGCTTGTGTGAAAGAAATATATTGTAGTTAATTGCATTCAAAGCAAATGGCGTATACAGGCAAATCACTACCTATTTTGCTTGGGAATGTATATTCTGATAAGTACAATATGTACAAAATTCATGTGTGTTAAATAAGAGAAACATTTTATGTTACAGTTTATTCGAGAATCGACCATAAGATTATTGAAACGATATAATTTAAACACTCCTACTTTTGTAAAAAGTAGCAAAAATCAAGTTAATGAGTGAAAGTTGTTACGCCCAATGGTAACGCTAGCAGAAAATTCAACAATCAACATATATAGTACTTGTGCACTTTCAATGTTTTATATCTTTTCGATTTAATGAATTTATCAAAGGGGCCAAAATGTTTAATGCGGAGTCAACGACTTTAATTCTTTGAAAATTGGGCAATAGTTTGGATAAAAATGCACTTGAAACCCCCACCCCGCTTCTCTCGAAAATCACACGTTGGCCATCCCTGGAGCTAGAGTTTGTTTTTTTACAACAACATCAAACTATATAATTTAATTGGACCGTTTACTGATAACCTTTATTGCCTTCATCAGTTCCCCTACTTCAATCCTATGCAGCCATATTCAATAATAAACATTCGTATTCGTATCTCAATTTACGTTTCCAGTCCACCATGATTTTAATCTTATTTTCTTATTTTCTCACCTTTGAGAAACAGCACTTTAAAACCCTTTTTGCCAGTTTTGACGTAGAAATATGTCTATGTCCCCACGAGGTGGAGTAAGATAGATATTTCTACTTTTTATCATTTAGACTGCCAAGTTCCGGTCGAAAATAGAAGTATGCGCTCGAAACTCCCGATTTCTAGACCGACTTCATGTTTCGGTTCAACATTTGCTTTTACATATTGAACCGGAATGTATTACAAATGGTGCTCATTCGTACAAATGATCGAAACGTACGAAAATTGTATAAGAGAATAATAAACAATAACGGTTTTGTCCGTCGTGACATGAGTCATTAATTACACGCAACCCATACTAAACGCTCTTTTCTATGTTTCATTTCTGACATTTTTAGCATATATTTTTATAAATACATACATGTCATTGATTTCAATATGCAAAGTCGTATAATGAGTGCTTCGCATGCATAAAACATAATTGTCAACTTTAATTTTTTTTGAAAAATAAAATAAAAAATCATACCGTAAAATATAAAAAATCATTTGTTTTGGACTACAATCTTGAATTTGAAACTAACTGAAAGTTAACATCTTGTCACCGAAGCTAGTAAGGGAAGTGTTTGACTGAGTTTGTGTGTCCTAACGCGATTACTACTTCTACACACGACCTATTGTACCAGGATGAAGTATTTAAGATGCTGATCCGGCAACTCCAATCCCCAGAATGTCGTCCCGCCATTTAATGTAAAGTTGTCTTGAAATCCAGCAAAGTAGTAATCGAGAAATAGCGCAGAAACTTGGGTTACTCTGTATAAAACTTACATATCTGGCCACAACTATGTATTAAATGGTCCGACTGCGACATAAAGAGGTTTTGCTCCTTTTAGCATTGTGGTTCTGATAAAGTTTTGTTGAAATATGTAAGCAGTTGCTGAGAAATAGCTCGGAAACTGATGTTGATGCAAATCCTATGCGTATCTCATATAGACATTAAATTTTCATATAAAATAATGAAAAACAAGATCAACAAGGAAGCGAGGCATTCAATGAAAGTCTCATTGAATTTCAGTCAGTTGCTGCCAAGAAACAGCGAGGAAACGAAATTCGTACTGAGGGATAGACAAAACTTTACCTCCACTTTCAGATTCCATCGGCGTTGCATAATGATTACTTGTTAAAATATGTAATGAAAATAATGACCTATGACTAGTTACTACATATGGTTGGAACAAGATATGTCAACTGTCATCTTGATTTCTTCTGACACCTGCAATGGAAGCACAATGATATAATTTGTTTTGACGATTAACCCAATCGATATCTATATGTATATATGTCATTTATAACCGCCGGTGACTCTGTTTAAATTAGCAAAAGCAGTAAAATGATGAGACATTCTATAGATTATTTTGTTGTCTATCATAATTAAAACATTTTTAATATTATTCGTATAATATTCATACCGACTGTTTTAGCAAGCACTGACTTATCTTGCTTTCAAGTTATACATGTAACAACAAGTTTGCGATTCACTGCAAATAAAAACAACATTATCACAATGCTATGTACCTTGTACAAGGTTTACTAAAATGAACTTTTAAAACAGAAATGTTTTATAAAAGATGAACCATTCAATGTAACGAATTTTGTTGTTTTTTTATGACAAGGTAAACGTATCGAATTATGTTTTTATGACAACGATATTATGCTGTTTGTCATTATATTTACTTGGTGGGTTACGTTCCCAAATATTAATTAGATCTTGCCAAAGGTGTCCATTTTCTGTCTACTTTCCTTATGAAGTGTATCAGGTTTTTACAATGTTCTGTGTCCATCAGAGAAAAGTAAATATGTCTATATTTTCAAAGGGGTTCAAAAAGGAAAAACATTTAACAGTTACAGTTAAATAATCAATAACACATTTTTCTCGGGAAAACAAATTCCCTAGTAAACCTGTATTACACCGTACAAAAATTCATGAGCGTCTCTGGTGTATTTTTTATCATGCTTTTTAGAAGATTTAGAGTTATTTCTCCGAGATGATATAAACTCTGGTATTAGTTTTGAGGAAGTTGCTTTTAAACTTATATTATTTGCAGATGATATGGTCATCTTTGGGAAAAATACTTCTGACTTACAAAAGAATCTTGATTAATTTTTCACGTTTTGCAGTACTTGGGGATTTGATGTAAATCCGGATAATAGTAAAATTGTTGTTTTTAGAAAACGTTGGCCTTTGAAGCATGATAAAAAAATGGACTTATAACAATATGCATATATAAGTTATTTCTAACTTTAATTACGTTGGCACAGTTTTTAATTATACCAGAACAGAACAGAATGTTTAATTATACCGGAACTTATGGCTAAAAATTGTAAACTGTGAAAATATTTAGTTAAAAAGATGTATGAAACAATGTTAAATGATTGTCAAAGAGACAAGGTAAATTTGGTATCTAAAGTAAAATCATTTTTAGAAAATAATGGATTTTTATATCTATGGAACAATCCTGATATAATTAATATTAAAACATTTCCTTTGTTATTCAAACAAAGACTAACGGACCAATTTGTTCAGGTATGGACTGCCACATTGTCTGTTTGTTTATGAACTTAATATAAATTATTTAAAAACTGTTTTAAATTTGAATATTATTTAGATAACATTCTGCTTAAACTTCGTATTCCATTGACTAAGTTAAGGCTATCTTCTCACCAACTACGAATTGAAAAAGCTAGGTCGCTATGGTAATACTAGAATTTAACGTAACCAAAGACATTGTACGATTTGTAACAGTGGTGACCTAGAAGATGAATATCATTTTATTTTATCTGTTCAGCATATACATTGTAATCAGATTCGAAAACGTTATAAACACGTATAAACAAATTCTATTCCTGCAGACCAAGTGTTGTTAATTTTATAGAACTGAAATCTGTAAACTATTCTGTAGTAATTAAACTATGCAAATTTATACGAGAAGCATTTATAATAAGACAAAACATTGTAAACAACTATTCTTAGACATCTTTAAGGCTATTTCTTGTACTCATTTACATATGTATCAATTTTATATACTAATTTCAACGTTACATTTGGTATTGTAAAATAAATATCTGATACTGTGGTGTAAATGTATTGTAAAAATATCTGTGTTAAATTATTATCATATGTTCATGCGCACATATATTATTGTAATTGTACATAGTTCATCCTCTTGTATATGCTCATTATACTAACTTGTGTTCAGTGAGTTTAACCAGCTATGCCTTTTTTTGTATTTGTCATGTGTAATATGTTTATATGTTAATTGCATCATGTAACAAGAAACATAACTTGTTTACGTTACTTAATAAAGAATCTTGTATTGTCCGTTCAACTTGCAACATAATTATTAGGTGGTAAATGACACTTTGTTTATTATTTTCACCACGTATGTCTCCAAATATTAAGTCACACCACTATTCTGCCTCCGTGGTCTTTTGATCTATACACTAAGTATTTCAAATGTTTATCGTATGTGGAAAGTGTGCCCTCAAAAATATCAACTTTGCATTTGTCTTGTAGGCATGGCTTCCCCTCTATGCCGTAAACGAGCAAATTTCGACAAACATAACATTATAATCAGTAGATTAAAGTTGATATTCATCTATAAATACATCAGTGATTCCAGTTCTAATTCTCGTACGTTTAATATGCGACACTTGTCTAAAAGTCTTGTCACTAAATACATGGTCAGTTTGACTTTCACATTACCCTTGAGTGAATATGCAGTCAAGTAAATCGTTCCGCTTTATGCTTAAAATGTCTGATTGCCTCGGCTTGTGAGTGGCTTCAGGTGGAGAACAATAGCTTTATTACTCATTCTTACCATCTGTATCAGTAACTCATTAGAATTTCGATAAAATAGTATTTTTTAAAGCAAATAAGCAACATCACCGTCTTATTATATTGCTTAACGTATATAATACGGAATCCAAGTGTACAAAAAAACAACAAAAAACATTTCAACGTCAGTGACATTTTTATTTTGTTTATTTTTTTAGAACTACTGCTCAACAATTACTGTTCTTTGGATATACTGGATCAAAATCTTCCTGTAGCCTTAGAATGTTAGTTTATTGAAAGCGTTTGCTGCAGAGACTTGGTCTATTTTGTGTAACAAATCTTAGCACTGCTGTGGAAAATGTTGCTAATTGCAAGTCTGATTACATACATAACTGTTTTACATATAATATCTCTAGTGTTTTCATTATATTAATAAAATTATCAATTATCACCAACATTGCCTGCATATCTAAAGCTTTGATTTTGTAATAAACTGACTGTAAGTTTCAACTGATAACCGAGAATATGTTTTATTTTGATCATCATAGTAATACAGTGGGTCATCTATATCTTCAGGGTGAAAACCTTCTTTCCTCAATTGCGTTTTCTGTTGTTTTAGTGTAGTCGTAATAGCTCGCTCTTTTGGAAACCTCAGAAATAAAGGTCTGGCATAACTTGGCAATTGTTCTGTTGCAAGGTTGAAGATGTCTCGTAGAATATTTTCCATGAGTGTTACATTATCTTCTAGATGGATGGCTGCCATACCTGCTCGTCCTTCTGCACCTATAAGTAATTTACTTGTTCTTTTTTAATTTGTATGTTAACAAATAGTATTATGTTACAAATACATGTAAGTTAAGTATTATTTAAACTGCACGATTGTACCGTATTTTTCAATGTACGGTTCTATAACTTTACCAATACAATCAAATTGTGTCGAATTATTAATTACTTATAAAAAGTAATATACATAGTAGGTGTGTTAAAATGATTTTTTCGCCAACCGACTCTGGTTATATATACTAGTAAGCTTTCAATCGTTTTTAACGTGATATATCACTTGTCAAATACGTTTATCTTATTTTATACGCGTCACATTGAAGGTTCAATGATAACCGCCATATGAATACATCTGTGGATGTTTAAAATTTTACCAGTTTATGTTGTTTAATTCTGCTTAAGCCGCTGCTAGTAGGCGTGAACGGTAGCTTGAAATTACCACTACTGTCCATGAACAGGCTCAATCAAACCGAGTCTGCAACTTTTTCAGTTTTGTCGTTTTGGGCATTTAATAGGGATTTGGTGGTCTCTATTTTATAATATCTGATGAAATAGGTTGTTATGTTTCAAAACAAATCATGTTTTTTTCCAGAGATCCTTATGATTGAGCTTTACATTCGAATTCAATTATAAAAAGAAAGTTTTGTAGAAGATAACTCTGCTTCACCAATTCATAGATAAATAATTAAGATTACACGTTCAAGAAACAAAGGTGAGGTATCTATCGACTATTGTAAGAGAAAATGTTATAATGTCCTTAATTTAGAACGGATAAATGATAATTTAGAATTATTGCTTTGGTTAATGACAATAAAACATGTAAACTATAATAGTACCTGTTACTTCGACACCATACACATTAGCATCATGTATCACATCTAGCTTATTTAACACATTGGATACCTCCAAAGTTGACACATTTTCACCTCTCCATCTGTTGATAAATTATTCATTCATATCAATTAAATCTTTAAAAAGAGATAAATTAAATTGAGAGTTTTCAATGGTATGTTTGTTAAATATTCCAATTTTCTGGCTCCATAAAATGTGTTGTACTCAATATCGTAAACATTCTCCATTTTGACTGCAACACCATGTCGGTTGGACTTGTCAAAGTCTAATTTCTTAATATTGCTTTGGTTTTTGGATTATTAAATAACCGATACAACTAACTCGATGTAAATTATTCAAATTAACAAATGTAAAATGTTGTTTTTAAACAGCCATATTCAAATAAATAGCGGATTATCCGTTTTATTAGGGTCGTGGTCGTTTGAACTCATGTGAATTGTGTCACTAAAATTAGCTCCTGAAATTGTTGTAAGACTGCAAAGCTCAAGCTGAAAAAGGTTAATGTCTGATATTTAAAAGAATAATTTCAGAAATCATTATCAATTATTGTCTTGTTTCTATTAAAAATTACTGTGCCGACCTGAAAGTATCACCAAATCTATCCTTGAAATAAAGAAAGTAGTCGTCATCCATCGAAAAAATGTCTCCAACATTAAAGTAACAATCGCCTTCCTTCAGAACATTTCTCAAGAATTTCTTCTCATTGATTTCTCGGCTTCCTTTATAGACCTGCAAGTCATTAAGCATGGCAGGAATCGCACTGAGGAGAAGTCCTGGCTCACCTTTAGGAATAAATGCATATATATTTTGTACAAAATTACCAGCTCACAAAACAATATCAATAAAGACATAGAGAGACTTCGTTGCCTATATACGTACATGTATTTAATAAATTAAAATAAAAACATAACGAATTTTTAAAAGGACAGAGAACCTCATTTGTGACTCTACAGTCACCAAAAAGCCTGTAAAGCGGTCGTGTAACAAAGTGTCACTTGTTGCATAGATTAACAAAAAAACCTTTCGCTCCAGCCGGCACTACTATTCCGAACACATATTTGGAAGCTTCTAGCACGAAAGATAACATGTATATAGGGTTAAAAATAATTCAATAATTTTTGTCAACTACATGTATCTCAGTTTAACATTGTGTCTTGATCGTTTTCTGGTTTTCGTTTTATGTAAAATATCGTAATAAGAATATTTGTCATTGGAAAATGAATAGTAAACAGATAGAAGAAACGTAACAACTAACAAATAATTCACAATTACAATACGTATGTTGTTCATTCAATTAATAATGTGACATATTTAAAAAAAACAGCAACAACATCACTTCAGCAATGTTAAACAATAGACAAATTATCATTAAAACATACCATGTTTGACTGGGATACAATGTCCATTCTTATCTCTTACAACCTCTCCTGTATCAATGTCTACCTGTACAAACACCTTTTCTAGAGCGTCCATCATTCGCTTTGGTTATAAAAAAACAATGGTAAAAGTCTTCCCAAACTAATACAATCCCTCACTTTGTACTTCAAATTAACAGTCCATTTCTCAAATTAACAAATTATCAAATTATTGACAATCTATTTAAGTTTTAATATCTTTAATAATTTCTGCTTTCTACGTTAAAAATTACATATATATTTAGAAAGATGCCCATAAAAACATAAAAAAATATATAATCCAATATGTTTGGGTGGGAATTATTTCATTCTAGATAAACGCAACCATGAAATAGCATAACTTTAGAGACAACGAATATAAAATAAAATGACCATACCAAAATGGGAGAGTAGCGACCGCATGCTCCAGTCTTATTGTTTACATTTACAAAAAATCCAATACCCTCCGTGGCTCCGAAGAATTCATATATGTAAGGAATATTGTATCTTCTTTTAAAACGCTCCCAAATATCTGCTCGCAGTCCGTTACCAAACGCCACCCTCACTTTGTGGTGACCGTCTAATTTACTCTTGTATAAGTATATTGATTACAGTATTAAATCTCAATTTTAATGACAAATACAAAATAGTTAAATAATTAAAGCTCAAATTTGTTATAGGCTTTCCCAAAAACAGAGATTAGATAGTCAAATTAACTTGTTTTCGTTATTAGGTCTTAAACTTTTAATGATATCTAGAGACCTTTTTTATATTTTAAAACTTTAATATAGATTATATTATTCGTTTTTTTAGGTTTTCACAGGATTCGCTAAACTGGTAAATTTTTCATTCTTGCATTTGATAAACACAAGGTTTTTGTAATCAATTTACCTCTGGTACGGACAGGAGGTATCGACATAGTTCTCCTATATATTGAATGACAGTAACGTTGTGTTTCCTGACATCTTCAAAATACTGATGAGCTGAAAATTTCCGTTTCAGGACCATTGTAGCACCTGTAGCGTAAAATATAGATGTTGCACATACAGGTATACACGTTTATTTAACATGTACATAAAGTGTCATAGGATAGTTTTTGTTACATTAAACCTTTGCTTAACAGTCATACAACATGTGGCGGGCCAGCACTACCAGGTAGGCTGTATCAAATGGATTTTGGGTCGTAGTACAAAAGATACGATCCTGTAATTATGTATATACATACAATTTATGATACAGATACAAACGTCTTTATTTGATTAAATATACATTATTACATTAACCGACAAACATGATTTATTAGAGTACATGTATATATAAATAAATACAAAAATACATTGATATCTGTAATTATATAAATGAATAAATACAGAAAATGGAAATATATTGTATAGCTTAATGGAAGTATAGGTTAAGTATAGGTTAATAAACATTTGCCAGTACTATGTAATAAATATAATTATATACCCTTTGACAAACAGTACTCAACCTCCGAGCAATGCTATAACTCAAGCTATTTATTATTATTTTGACATGAACAAAATATAATATACAGATATATTGTTACCTTGGTCCAACGTGTTCAATATCCCCAGCCCTCCACCGACACTGTGATACAATGGTGTGGTTGTGTAGATAATATCCGACGGTGTCAGATTGAATAGTTGAAATAACTTTCCCATTGCAATGCCTCGCAACTGAGAAATTATCACTGGTTTTGGTAAACCTGAAAAAAAGATTATATAATAGTTAAGTCATTTAGTTACGCAAAAATAATCCGTTTCGAATACACATCGGTTAATTATAAATAATTAAAATGTCACAGCAAAGATTCAAGAAAACAAGGCTGTATGCTCTTCTATTGACTATATATTCATTGTTATATCTCAGCATGCAATTACTTAATATCTGAGCCACATTTCTGTGACCCAGACAAAAACTTATCTTCGTATATGTTCATTGTTTTCACTCTAATAATTAACGACTTGATGTAATATGTCATTTCTGTAAGTGAAGGTATAGTTATAAAGTATCACGTCGAAGATTTTACAAAAATTGCATCCATCGTAAATTTATGATTCGCGAACAAATAATGTAGTCAGGTTTTCTCGAAGTTAAGTGACACAAATATCTCTCACTGGACAACGTACCGGTAGTTCCTGATGTAAATATGTAGCAACATGGAGTTTTTGGTGTCATTTCCTCTCTAACACTTGGATAAATGGAAACATGGGTCGCTTGTTGCATCAGGTCATCCCAAGATTGGAACCACTCGCAACTAGTATGTCCATGAATAAAGATAGGAATATATCCAATATCCTGTTTAACTTCTTCAACAGAATGTACTATTTCGTCAGCTGAATAACATCACGAAGAAAAACAAAACTTTAATAGATTCAATTATAGTAACAAAATGGATTATAGGATTATCATTATTGAAATGGTTTATAGCTGATTATTGTTTTACGTAACATTTTCTTGTTAAGCATGAATGTAACATAGGTTACCTGCTCCTACTATGAGAACCTTAGCCTCACATGCACGTATTGTATGAACCAATGGTTGTCCTTTTATGTTGTAGTTTATAAAAGCTACAGCTATCCCTAGTTTCTGCAAACCTGAAACACACATTCAATGCAAATTTAAGCGTTTTCAAATCAAGACACCTCGTGGTTTGAGATTCTCTTTTCTAGTTTAAGTGATTTTACCGACTATTTCATCTCATATGTAATAAATGAACATTTTGGAATAATTTTAGCAAGCTCAAAGACCATACAATTAAAATAATCTATAAACCTCTTAAAGCACATACCAAGAAATGTCCAGATAAATGACGGCTCATTCTCAATCATTATAGCAACACATTCACCAACTTTCAGTCCCCATTTGGCTGCTATATTTGCCACTTTGTTAGCCTGCTCATTCATAAACTCATAGCTATATACTCTGTCCTCAAATATAACAAAAGCTTTCTTGGGGTGTTTTGCTACAGCTTCCTCGAACATATTGATACAATAACGACGATTCCTTATATCTATTTCTCGCATTTTGTCCGTTCTTCTTCTCCTTTTTAAGAATGCTATATCGTAAGCTATCCATGGGAAAAATGTCCTCCACGATAACAAACCAGCTCCTACTGTTCCAGCTGCTCCTAACAACATTTTATCCCTGTTAGATGGCATCTAGGTGAAAATATGAAACTTAGCTAATATAACAAAATAAGTCCTACCTTGCAAACTGAAATAAAGTAAATTAAAGCATCTAAGAGAACCAGAATTTCAAAAGATTTTGACTTTGTTATTTTAGGCGCCATCCGGGTGACGCCTTACATCCATGTAGAACGTGCTAGTATATGTTTACATTAAGTGGTAAAAATCGTGAAATTTCATGCATACTCCATATATTAAGTCTGATCTCAACTATACAGATAATAACTTTTAACGGTTCATCAAACTTTATAAAGTGGATAAAAGCATGGTCTTTCATATCAAATAAGACTGTTCTGAAAAAATAAGTTCTTTATCTTATATTATATTGATATGCTTAGACAAAAAACTTACTTTTATCAAAATATTCTGCTAAATCCTAAACAATCCTAGACATATATCAAAGTTTATAAAATAGCACGACAGTATGTGTAAAGTTAGATAAGACATATAATCCATGCATAACACGGCTTAGGGCAAGGACAATGACCTGCGGATACATAGGTAAATGTAAACATATATACTTCATAGTCCAATTTATTCAAACATTAAATCGTTTAAATTGATATTGTTATGTGTCAGACTTCTTAAATTGTCATGAATAAATGCTGATTGTCCCGTAATGCTTAATCTAGTTTTTGGTTATCAAGTTTCTTTAGAAAGTTACACATTTCATTGTTAGACCATACAAGTAATGCTAATTGACGGACAGTCAAGATATAGAGCAATACTTGAGTGTCTGTTACAAACATAGCAATACTGGAGTATTAAAGAACCTTTGGTAATCTTGAAAGTTTTATTTCAATACCTTTGGAAAGATTTTAATGCCTTTGTTAAGCTAGAAAAAACGTATATATTACATGTACTTATTATAATCAAAGTTGTTCGAGCCTTGACATCACTTTTGTTGTGTGTACATGTTTGTGGTAATTTTAGTTCCTTCTATTTGACCTTTTCCAATTTGGATGGTTTCAGTATTCCTACTTAAACAATGTATAATCACCCTTAGGATATGGTGCCTGCTTTTAAGATATTTATTTTGACGTCTTATCTGTGATATTAAGGTTTCATGGCCTCTAATCCCCTTTCAAGATGCCATTTCATGTAGTTATTGTTTTCTCGTTTAGGACACATGCTTATTTTTTACTTTGGGACCATTCGCGGCTCTTTTCATGGGATGGCACGAAAGTGACACATTGATGGTTCCATGATAACACATCTACCGATGTTTCTAAATTCAAGATTTCACCATTTTTCATGTTTAGATAAATTATGCTTAAGCCGGTGCTAGGGGCGTGGACGATAACTTGCACCATTCATAGCCGTCCATGAGGCTTAATCAAATCGACCATGCAACATTTTTAATTGTTTTGTTTTGAGTTTGTTTCATCATATTTTTTACTTTAATGCCTTTGGTTAGCCAGAAAAAGTCTAATTTCAATACCTTTAGTAAGCTAGAACAAGCTTATTTTTATGCCTTTAGTAAGCTAGAAGTATTTAGATATTACTCACATTTACAAGATGACATACCCTAAAACATGAATCTAACTTCCAATTAACTATCGAATTGTAATTCATTAAGAAAGTATGTTAAGTAAACCCAAATTTACGCCTGTTTATATATACACCTTTTATTTGGTATTCATTTTGACAAGAATTATTAAAAGAGGATGACAAGTCTTAAATGAGGATCTCTGCTATCACAATTGCCAAAGTCGAAATCGGATAAATATTGATTGATGCTAAATTAAAAATAGGTCTCTCAAGCTTTCAGTTAAGGTACCAAATATTTGCTGATTTATTTTTGTACATGGTGACATTCCAATTTCACTAATGTAGGAAAATCTCAGGTGCCTCATCTTGCATTATTTTAGTGACGATCGGGCACCTGAGTAGAACCACCGACCTTCCGTCAGCTTTCTGGATTGCTTCACACGAAAGAATCCAAAGACCCTGGCGAGATTAGTATCAGCAGGCAAGTGATTTGAAATCGGCGACCTTGACAACTCGCCCAAGAATTTGTATGGAGCTTTTGGCTTCTGTTTTGGTATATTATCAAAGCAAACAATTTTAGAATTTTATTTATAGGATATTGACTCTAAGAACAAATATTTTTGTTGAACAGTACACACGGATTCTCAAATCCTTCTTTGGCATAGGAGGATAATTTTAACTGTTCGTAAATTGTCCATTATAAACCAAACTCGGATAAAATTTACCAAATACAGAAAAATACATTTTGCGGTACATAAGGTTTTATAGTCCATCCGATAGTTTCATATTCATACAGGAATAAACGTTGTAAATTCACAAACCTACAACTTATTGAATACTTGAATACTTGTAAAGTTTATTCGTTCCATATCTTCCACGTTAATCACTAACTTTAAGTGACACTCAAAATTTATAGAATGAATAGAAACTTTTATTGTTATGATAGCGTTATCTTGTAATCAGTTGTTACTGTACTTATTGAGAGCAAACTTTTACCTTCTTAAAAGTTACACATTGAAGTCCCTTTTCAATATCCATGCTTTATCATATTCTAGAATTACCTACAAAATAACATTTTTTAAAAATCATTTTTATCACAGTTTTGACTTTATGAAAAATTGATCATAAGTTTCAACAGTAAGCGGAGAATATGTTTTATTTTGTCCGTCATAAAAGAACAGTGGATCGTCTATATCTTCAGGGTGAAAACCTTCTTTCCTCAGCTGCGTTTTCTGTTGTTTCAGTGTGGTCGTAATAGCTCGCTCTTTTGGAAACCTCAGAAATAAAGGTCTGGCATAACTTGGTAATTGTTCTGTTGCAAGGTTGAAGATGTCTCGAAGAATATTTTCTTTGAGTGTTACGTTATCTTCTAAATGAATGGCTGCCATACCTGCACGTCCTTCTGCACCTGTAATATAAGTGATTTCTTATAACACAATTTATTATACAATTGGAAATATCTAAATTTGTATATGCTGGTTCATTGAAGGAATTGCAGAGCGACTAACCTAAGCTAAGAGGATTTGTTTCATAAACCTGACACCGCATTATAATGGATATTCGGTTGTTACCCGTCCTTATTCCGGGGCTACCCGTCTTTATCCCGGGGTTATTCGTCCTTATCTCGGGGTTACCCGTTCTTATCCCGGGGTTACCCGTCCTTATCCCGGGGTTATCCGTCATTATCCCGGGGTTACCCGTCCATATCTCGGGGTTACTGGTCCTTAACCCCGGGGTTACCCGTTGTTATCCCGGGTTTACCCGTTGTTATCCCGGGTTTACCCGACCATATTTCGGGGTTACCCGTCCATATCTCGGGTTACCCGTCCCTATCCCGGGGTTACCTGTTGTTATCCCGGGTTTACCCGTTCATATCTCGGGGCTACCCGTCAATATCTCGGGGTTAACCCTCCTTATCCCGGGGTTACCCGCCCTTATCCCGGGGTTAACCATTCATACCTCGGGGTCACCAATCCTTATTAGGGAGTTATCCGTCCTTATCTCGGTGTTAACCGTCATTAACTCGGCGTTAACTGTACTTTTACGGGGTTACCCATCATTATTTAGCGGGTTAACCCTCCTAATCTTGGGATTATTACTAGATAAGGTTTATCCTTTACGAAGGATAATATAAAATCATAGACTTTTGCTGGTGCTAAATCACAGGTGGTAAGATTTAAGTAAATCATATATTTATATTGAAACGAAGCAACTTTAAAAATGATTTAAAAAATCATTTTTTTAATTTACTATAGGGACATATAGGTCCAATGAGCTGGGTGTATAATACCCGAATTAAATATTATGCAATTAACAACTTATGCACATATCACAATGATAAAATATTTATCTTATTTGTTTCGGAAATTTTATAAATAAGTTAGCAGTAATAGTCAAAGTCTACAAAATTGGAAAATTTACCCGGAATTTCCACTCCATATACATTAGCATCTTGTATAGCATCTAGTTTGTTCAAGATATTGGATACCTCTAAAGTTGATACATTTTCACCTCTCCATCTACCAGATAAAAATATTTTATAGGCATGTACGATATTTCTCATATCACCTTAAACATATAATTCATAGTTTATTCTTACAGTCTTTGTCAATGTTCTGGATATGTTTTTACTTAACAAATAACGACGTTATTAATTAACTATATAATTATTTGGTTGTACATGAATGTGATAAAGAAATGAAACAATATGCCCATTGTAATAGAGCAGCGTATGATAAAGATCACCTGAACGTATCCCCAACTCGGTCCTTGAAATAAAGAAAGTAGTCCGAATCTATCGATAAAATGTCGCCAACATTAAAGAAACAATCGCCATCTTTCAAAACATTTCGTAGCAATTTCCTTTCGTTTATTTCCCTGCCACCTTTATATATACCATTAGAACCATAAATCTCAGGGATAGTCCCAATAAGAAGTCCGGGCTCACCTGTTAAAATATACCAATAATCATTTCAGAAATAAGTATGTTTGCAGCAAGCCGCTTTAGTACTACCCATAGTCTGACACCACATGCGCAATACTTCCGAAAGATAAAAAAACAGTTTTAAAATGTCATTCACTTCATATATTAAAACCATTGTTATAATACATTCTACATGTATAATTATGTTTTCGGTATACTGAGTATACAAAGAAATTTGTATACTAGGTAAACTTTGTTCAAGTCAGGATATAGTTTACATTTAATCCTTAAACTTATGCATGTATATGCACATCAGATGTTGCTGAGCAAATTTTCGGACCAGGTAATTCTTCATCCCTTATCCCTTATTTTTACAGAGTAAAACTCCTTGGGGTGAATGTCTGGGTGTGAAAAAGTGTCTGTAATAGAAAGCGACGTGTCCCGAATATTTGCTTCGCAGCTCTTCGACCATTCTACTTGGCAACAAGCATTTTAAATGTGTAAATAAAAAAAATCGTCATTCAAAATTGTAAAAGGCTTTTAAGACGAAATAGCCGAGTTCGAGTTAAACAAGCAATTTATAAATTATAAGTCGGCCATTTCGGATGATCACAACATATCGGTCAATGCAGAACAACTACGGTTATATGCGATCGATTTTTACATGCACTATCTAATTATAATGCATCGGCATGCTACGGCTTTTATTGCCAGAAGAAATATACTCACATTCATGCCAATCCTGCACACACGTTTATATTCAATACTTTCATACCCAATTATAAGAAAAAATTAATTGCCAAAACTTTTCTTTGGTGATTGAGATTCAACTTTTTCAGAATAAAAAAAACAACATAAAATGGCTTTGTTTATGTTGAATAAGCATTATTGTTTTAGAGTTTGTAACACAATGTCTGCCCCCAAGGTACTGTAAATACATGTTGGATGCTTGTTGATTAGAACCAACCGAAATCATGCTTCGATTTTCCCTTTCTTTTGAATTATATTTATCATCGCGTTTACACAAAGATGAGTTGTAAATTACATTGTACTTACATCGATATGTAATAATTTTCCTAAAAAAATGTGTGGTTGCCGTAACAACAATTTTAGTGCTTTGATTTTCTTTATTTTAAACCAATTATCTGCTAATCCAGATCATTCATTACTGATATTAACCAAATAATCTTCAAAGATTTAAAAACCTCGTTAACTGTTCCTAATATATAATAGTATTAGCCGTCAAGAATCTCACTTTGCTAGAAATCAAGCTAAATTCCTTTATTGTCATGATATATTTCTTGCATATCTTGGATATAATGAAAAGATATATAATAAAATGTTTCTATATAAAAACTTCATACCGACTTTAATTGGTAAACAATGACCATTTTTATCTCTCACAACTTCTCCAGTATCTAGATCTACTTTAACGAGTAGTTTCGAACCACCTGGATCCAACATTTTCTGAAGAAAAAAGTACAAACTGCTTGTATGCTTTTTCTTATTAGCCCTTACCCTGCTGGAACCACCAGCATAGAGCCTGCACAGCCTTCACATACCTACATTCTGACAAGGCTCTATCTTCACTGTTTGCTCACTGACTATATATATATTCATGTTGATATCCCAAACATTGGTAATTTACGATTTTTATAAAAGATAAATGGAAGCTGGCCAAGTCTATCCAAGTAATTCAGCTGGTTAAGGCCTAGTCTGTGCCATGGACGTAAGGAACCAAAATGTGTCCAGGCACATATAATAAAACGTTATATTAAATTCACATTATAAAGCGAAATGATTCATATTACCTTTGATCGTTATGAGATTTATATTAATCAATTTGGTTTGTAATTTTAACATTAATTTCAGATATCCGAGATACAATATATGCAAAACAGAAATATACGATTGCAAAAATTGAAGTTATAATTTGTATTTTGCTCAAAGAAATGTAATTGCTGTTGTCCTAAATGAGTTTTTAAACAATGTTATTTTCAAAATAGTCTAATGTAAATAGAAGATAAAAGTCAAATAGTTTATTTACTGTAACAGGTGAATAGCGACCACAAGACCCTGTTTTGTTGTTAAGGTTCACAAAGCCAGCAACACCCTCTGTGGCTCCGAAGAATTCACAAATATTTGGAATATTGTATCTCTGTTTGAATTGATCCCATATGTCTGCCCTTAATCCATTTCCAACTGCCACTCTCACTTTATGTTTACCATCTTGGCTATTCTGAAAACAGTTAAAAAAAAGCTCAATATGTAGAGCGTTACGTGCATGGACCTCTTCAGATTTCAAAAACATTGGAAAGTACTTGTTTTTGTATCTAAGGCAGGTAGTTGCCTGCTTGTCTTTTGCTGAAACGCTGCTTTAATTTGGCATAATGTGCTACCCAAAGTACTTTTACAAACAGAAATGAAGGGGCAGACTAATCTATACTAAAGTGTGGCGTACCGAGTTTACAAAAAAGTTTTGAAAATTGTTCCTGTCAATTTAAAAACATTTGTTTTACAATGGCTTTCTGAATTACTTAACACGAAGTCATTCACCATTTTAAAAGTTGCATTGTAGATTTTACCTTTCAACATTTCAGATTTGGCATGCTCATATAATCAAATGTTTACAGATATTAAAACAGTAAAGAAAAGTACAAGGTAGAAAGAAATGATAAAGTGATGTATTGGCATTGTATGGATATTCTAGTCATTTACAATTTTGTATGGTTGCTATGAAAATATTACCTCCGGTACAGAGAGTAGATACCGACAAAGTTCTCCAATATATTGTATAACAGTGACGTTGTATTTCCTGACGTCATCGAAAAATTGACTGGCCGAAAACTTCCTTTTCAAAACCATTGTTGCACCTACAGTAAGAAGATGTTCATTGTTGTTATAACGGAGAGTTTATAAATCATCTCGGAGTGTCGTATCGTTTCATGTACTTATTGTTATTCTTATTAATCACAAATATCGCCAAGAGTGCCTAATTAAAAATTGTAATATATTATTAATATTTATAAAATGAATGTATACCTTGATCTATAGTATTAATAAGTCCCAGTCCACCGGCAGCACTGTGGTATAATGGCATACATGTATAGATAATGTCTGATGGAAGAAATTCAAACACCTGGAAGAACTTGCCGATAGAAATGAACTTTCCTTGACTCATGATAACAGCTTTTGGTAATCCTAAAATCAAGATCATTTGCAATAAACATGTATTCATTCGTTCATTTGCAATAAATATAATAATAAGGTTCATTAATAGAATAATTATTTAAAAAGAAAGATACATTTTTCAAAGTTTTTCAGTTTTGATACTTTAAACAAAACTCAACCAGCAACTCCGAGTAGAATATATAGAATAGCTGGTGTAGAAAAAAAGGTAAAAAAACCTAAAAATAAATCTCTCCAGTCTGAATCAGCATCGTAGTGTTTAACATCTTTATCAACCAACAAAATAGAAAAAAAACAAAACGACAAACTTGAAAATAGTTGCAAGCTCGGATAGTCTAGAAAGCGGACATGTAGGTCGACCTTATAAATAAACCCAAAGTTGAAAGAACTTGGTTAAAGTTGAAAGAGGTTCTTTCCTATAAAAGATCTTGTATAAAATCTAAATCCCCTATATTATGTCTGCCTATGGCTTTCATATATAAATATAGATTATAAAGTAATGTTTGGTATAAATAACGTATAGTAAATTACCAGTTGTTCCTGAAGTAAAGATATAGCAGCAGGGAGTATGTAACCCCATTCCCCTTCTCACACTGGGGCATACTTGTATCGGGAGTGTATCTAACATCAACCTGTCCCAGGATTCGAAACCATCACCGCGGTTATTACCGTGAACATAGATGGGAATATGCTGAATGGTTGGTTTTATCTCTTTGACTGAGTGGAATATTTCGTCAGCTACATGAATTATATAAAATCTCACAGTTGTATTGTTGCTACAGTATGTACTGTTTGAGTATGTTGAAATTCTTATGTGCCACTCCATATTTATCAATTAAATATATTTTTTTTTCAAAATTTATTAGCCAGTATAGTGTATGTAATGTAAAGAAAAACAGACAGAGAGACAGCGTACGTGGGTATGTTCTGGCTTGAGCAAGTCGTTAATAAGCATTTTGTATCCTCATTTTTATATAAAACTGCTGTGGACCTTATTGCAACTTTTTGACCCTTTGTAAGTTTACAACCGTTAAGGAATTCCAAATATGAGCATACCATTTCCAAATATATAAGTCCGCTTCGGTCTTTTGTAAGTAAAGTTTGTTTATCTAAAACCATTAAGGGATTTCAAACAATCTTTACCTGCTCCTGCTATAAGAACCTTGGCCTCACATGCACGTATTGAATGAACTAATGGCTGTCCTTTTATGTTGTAGTTTATAAAAGCTACAGCTATCCCTAGTTTCTGTAGACCTGAAATAAAGCAATGTGGATGAAAACAAAATAGAAAGTTCTAGCAGCAAAGGGTAGTTGATTGAATAGCTTCGGGTACAGAGTCAAGCCAGCTATCGCATTTAAGCAGGCTGACTTAACATGTAACACATTTAGGCTCAGTATTAGTATTCCGATAGAGGAATCCTTTAAATAACTGTTGGACGGATCAATCTTTAAATTCAAAGGGCATGATCATAACACAAGGCACAATATGGACCACGACATTGCTTTTTTCACATCATAATTTCGTCACTATACAATTGGACTTAAAACACTATGAAAATACATATTAAGAAGTTTAATATTTTATACTATAAAACATCTCAAAGCACATACCAAGAAATGTCCAGATAAATGACGGTTCATTCTCAATCATTATAGCAACACATTCACCAACTTTCAGTCCCCATTTGGCTGCTATATTTGCCACTTTGTTAGCCTGCTCATTCATAAACTCATAGCTATATACTCTGTCCTCAAATATAACAAAGGCTTTCTTGGGATATTTTTCCACAGCTTCTTCGAACATATTTATAGGGAATCGGCCACTAGTGATGTCCTTGTTTAGCACCTTGCCGTACCTTGCCCCCTTTTTCATTACTTCAATATCGTACCCTATCCATGGAAATAATGCACGCCATGATATAACCCCTACCCCAACCGTGCCAGCAACTCCCAGTAAAATCTTGTTACGCTTAGAACTCATCTACAAAGTACATGAAAAACAACATTTAAAATATTTTAAGCGATTTTTACCCGTAACCCTTACCCTGCTGGAACCTAAACCGAGTAGCCCTTGCCATCAACTATATAGCGAGTAGCCCTTGCCATCAACTAATATAGAGCAAGGTCAATCTACATATCATTGTCAGGGTTTAAACTCTTGATAGCTAAATTTTTGTGCTTTAAACTGAAATCCCTTAATTTGCAAATCCATTACAGAAATTCATAAAAGGATTTAACAAATGTCCATCACATTTAATGTTCTTATCACATAAGAACAATGCAAACGCTAAACTCAATTAAGAAAAAATAGAAAATAATTATCAAATCTGAAAGTGAGACTTCTAATTGACATATTCATTGAAAAGGTTCGTCTGTTTTAACTCAAAATAATACTTTCATATTGAAGCTATCATTAAGGAAATACCTTTATTTAACGTCCATCTAGAGCATGGCGCCATTTTAAATCAATAAATGTTATTTGATTGGTCCCAGTGATATAAAGTACTTGCTAGCAGACAATCTTACCCTGTCCGACTATAGTATCAAACCAAAATCCATGATTAAAAACAATTCCATTTTAAATTAACAAGAAATATAACGTGTGCAAAGTTCAACGCGATTATTAGTTTATAATGTTGGATAAACGATATTTGCGTTATCTGTCACATATATTAACCTTTCGAGTTAGATTAAGACCGAATTTGGGTCAATCGTACATAGAATCTTTGCAAACCTAGCTGAATCTAATAGTCTACATTCCATATTGCATGATTGATGACTTAAACTTTGCAATAATGAAAATATGTCGATAAACCGTGCAGTGTTAATAGTTTAGTTTACTATCTCAAGTTTGAAGTAGCGTGCATGCAAATAGATATTCTGTCATCACATGTAAAATGTTCGTTTTTATAACGTTCTAATTCAAACATTAGCAGTAATAGTTTTTAACTATAATGGCCAAAATGTGCTCCTTACGAAGCAAAAACCCATAATAGATTGTTAGGTGTTTATCACATATAGGTTTATACCACTAGACAGTAAAATTTAATTAGATATTTATTGTATCTAAGGGTTAAACAAAATGTCATACAATCCGCGAGTTTTTGTGATTTAACAATTTTATTAAAACTTAAAAAATAAAAGTATTGGAAAAACTAGGACGCTGTTCGGTTGATGTTTATCTTAAGCAAATAGTCAGTTTTATAAACATTACTACATATAAATTATCTTGACTTTGTTTAGTGTGTGAACTTATACCTTTATAAACCATATTGAATTCGCCTCCCCGGTTTAAAGGGCACAGGCCTGATATGTACAGATATTTGCGCAACATGGGTCCGTCTAATCAGACATGTTTATCGTTAACCTTTTCCCTCATATAGACTTGTTTTGACGGTTTTTCGTCCTCCACCCTTTTTTGAGGCCTTAAACAGTGTTAAAATGCCCTATTTAGGCCCCCAAACACTGTTTTTCGTTTGAGAAATGTTTAAAAACGTGAGCACTTTTTCGGCGCGGCCCCCTATCAAAATGTTACATCTGGGGTTACCAGACGGGGGACGTGTCCCCTTCTGTTTGGGGGGTTTGAAGGGGGCGGTAATCCCCCTCATCGCCAAGAAAGTTTTGGGCATGTAACAGGCTAAAAATGGCCTCAGGTCGATCTTAGGGTAACTAGTAACCGACGCTGAAAAGTCTTTTACTCTATCTTAATTCATTGAGAAGTTGCAACACTTTGAAATCAGTTTTGATGGGAAAAAACAATGCAAAATAGTGATTTTTGGCAATTTTGAGACGTCCCCCCAGTTGCCATGGTAACAGGAAATTTACGATTGGGCATGCGCCAATTTTCATCAGTATTGAAGCATTTTTCATAGTTTCATAGCAGTTTGAACTTGTTACAGGAGGCTTTTCAATGAAAACGGCCATTTTTCGCAAACTGCTCATAGGGTAAAAGGTTAAGCTAACATAGATCATGGAAAGTTAAAAAATGAAATGATCTAAAAATACTTCCTGTATCTTGTTTTGGTGTTAAATGATATGATAATCAATATATTGCCTATAATAGCATATTAACGGGTATGTAGTTTACCAGTAGTGGTTGCCTTCACTTTCCGAACGGTAGTTACTAGTATCTAAAAGGGCTATGTATGATGTATGTATGATGTGTGCGTGTGCGTGGTCGTGTGTGTTGTATGTTGTATTAGTTTAATGAGGGTCTATAGCCGTTAAGCACAAAGCGCTTTCGCTGTCGAGTTCGCACACTGGACATGTCACCAGTCATGCCCTTTAGGTTAAATTTTGAAGCACAAAGTGGTGATAATTTACCTCCATGCAATTTTCATGGATTAAATAGCCAAATATATGAAGTTTGGGTCAAAAAATTAAGTAGGCCGCTGTACGGTGGTCAATGAGAAATTAAATGTTCAGTAACCTGAGACAATATGAGAAAAGGAGACAACCCTTTCAAAGGGCTACTGGTGCCAAGCAATAGACCTGCCTTTCTAGCCGCCATTTTTCTCATTTAACAAAATATCTTCATTTTGTATCTTAATTGATTATTCAATTACATGTAGAATAAAGGATAATCCACCTCTTTTATTTCACTGTATTTATAATGAAATCCTTATATTCGTCAAAAATCATGTTTGTGTATCTGCTTATTATGCCGGTTTTAACATGTTTAGGTTTATATCCAGACAGTCGGTCCACTTAACTGGCTTGTCTGGATAACTAACTAGTGATAACTAATTTCTCCGTAACTCATTATGAACAGTTCCATATTCAGATCAGGAAAAGCACATCATACATTTCAGACAATTATCATCCTCGAGTTTACCTTACTGACTTATATTTACTTAGTCCGGCTAACAAAACATAAAAAGCATTTATGTAGAACAATATTTTAGGCAGAAAAGCAAAAGGCTTAAAAATTGTGAATATAAATTTTATTTACAATGTAGGTAAAAACAATAGGAATTCATAACATATAATAAATTGTTTTCTTGACTAAACAAAAGAACACACTTAGTCTAAACAACCTATGTCAAACTTAACCAAATAATACTGTTAATATGTGAACCTGATTATGCAAAACATATATACAGTGTAGACACTTTACAGCAAAACAGATCAAAAACAATTATCTTTATCATGATTGAATATATTTCCAAAAAGAATTCCTGTAATAAAATCATACAAATAATACATCTTAATCATTTCTAGAAAGAGTAGCCACAAAACAATCATCTTTCAATATACATTAGGGTTAAAAAAGAATGTAAGGTTATAATCCTGAGTTGATACTGTCATATGTTGCGGTTTGGATCAGAATACCCATCCCGAGGGTACCCGAGGAGGGATCGATATACTGATTTGAACTGGAAATACATGTCAGATATATTCTCTTGCATATAGATCTCCTATCATAGTCTATGAAATTTCAAGGGGTTTACCACAATAAATCAATATTTCATGGAAATTAATGTTATTTTATCTGTAACTATTTTCTTACAATAGCGTAAAACAACGCGACTCATCTGGCACCCCTAGGCTATGATATTTCCGGCATGAGTAAATCTAACAGAAACACCAGTTTGATTTACAAGAATATACAAGAATATACATGAATATACAAAACATCCACTAAATGTAAATGAAACATTGTTCAATATTAAACAACAACAAAAGAAAATATAGTCAATGTTTGTACAAATAACAGTGAATACGGTAAAATAATAACACTGTCTGTAGTCAATGTGTTGAAAGAAAATGTACAAAAGGACATGTTATTGTAATAGGAAGAATGTTATTAAAGTCAATGTAACACCCAGTCACTCTCAAAGAGGCCTATTAGCATCAACAAGTAACCTGGCAAATTTGTGAAATAGATTTGCCTTGTTTTGAATCTAGTTAAGCCTACTAAAGTTTACAGGGATTTTTTCAGCATTAAAATACAAAAATTAAGCCATTAACATTAGACAGCCTGGTAAGACTGGCCTGTATGTGCAGGCTGGCCTGACACTTTACCCATAGCAAAGATTTATCACTTCTTGTTCCAGCAGGTTATAGGTTAATATGAATCTTTCAAGGTCAAGGTCACAGAAGTCAACTGAAGTCTGTATTATTAGAAATATGACAATAAAACATATCAGAATATCATACTTTGTTCTAGTTATATATCATATCAAAACATAATTTAGAGATAGAATCACTTACATGTACTCTTAAACATTATAACCTGACTAGTGTAAACTCCCTTCCTTAAAAGTTTTCAACCAATATTCTACCAATGTTAGTACAGAGTCTAATTAGCTCATATATTAGTGCAGTTTTGACCATACTTTAGTTCTTTGGTACCAAAGTTCCTCACATATCAAAAAAATAATCGGTACAATATCATATAGTCAGTATTAAACAGACACAGTCATGTATACTATCTTACTTTATTATTCAAAGTCATTGAATTAGTGACACTGCATTTAATACAATGACAATTTAAACATCATTTTAGAATGAGGACACTGACATCACGAGAACTTTGACCCCATATTGTCTATAGGAGATATTTAGTAGAGATTAAAGAATATTCCTTATCATTACATAAATTTATCAAATCATTAATGAAAGTTAATTAGCTTTCAACCATATATATGTTGTATATGCAGTTTCATGAATCTGCAACACAAACTCATGAATATTCATAAATTTATAACATAAAATATACTGAATCAATAAAACAGATGCATGAATATTCATAAATTAACATCACAATTGTCAGAATCAACACAAAGTCGTAATTTTTCAAGAATTTCACAACAAAATATTAATATAAAATGATTTAAAACTACTTATACATGATCTGAACAACTTTAATTACAAGAAACATGGCAATGCCACGAAACCAGGTTTTCAAAAATGTTGTTCTGATTCTATACTATAGTATGAATTTTGGAATGAAGATTGCTATGAATATTCAAAAGATTATAACATGACATGAAGGAAAAGATAATATTCATGAGAATACATGATAATGAGTAGGATGTAAATTTCGGCTAACAATACTGTCTGCAAGGAGTATACTTAATAATGAGACAACAATTTGAGTTAAATGAAAGCAAGTTTGAGAGGGTTCTATAGATGTTTTAGTACAATCATTGAGACATCAACTGCTGAAAAAGAAAGCAAATAGATTATATTGTTAAAATGGGCAACAATTGTTAATCAATGTTATTACCCGACTCTATATAGCAGCCCACACCATTTTGTGATCACTCCAATAGGTCTCAAGAGTTCCACCTCTGGTTGCGAGGGCTGTACTGTATATCTGATCCAAAGATGAGTGATAATCTGTTGTTTCCTCATGGATCACAGGTTTTGCTCTAAATTGCGTACACATACCATCTACGAGTTTAGTACACTTTGTAAGGTCTAGATGATTAATATTATAATCTCCAACTATTAAAGTTGGAACATCCGTTGAGTGGAGTTTGAGTGCAATGTTTAAGATTTTATCTGTGTTTCCTGGTGGCCGGCAATATATAGATAGAATCTGATAGCGAGCACTGTTTTTGGAAACTATCACACTTGCCCCTTCAATACCTGGGTCTGTATACTGCTGGCTGCTTACAACTTGTAGTCCAGCTTTAACGTAAATGAATGTTCCAGAGTGGGGTCGGTGTTTTCTATTATCTGTTGACACAGAAAGTGGTGGCTGAAAACCAGGAAGGGTATAATAATCTGCTTGATCATTCTTCTTAGCCCATGTTTCTTGAATCACCAGTACATCAGTGTAAGAAAGCCTGTCATCTACTCTGTAATGTCCAATATGCTTATGTAGAGACCTAGCATTATGGCCAACTACGGATATTAAGCACTTACAATCAACTGCTCTGTTACAAACAAATATTGCATCAGTTCTGAGCCGAGAGATCTCCTGCTGGACAAGTGGTTCTACAGAAATCTTTTTGGGATCAAAGTCCAATAATCGTAGGCCTTCAAGAGTACGTAGTCTGCTCAATGCAACATACACCATGTGTTTTTGGATTGTACCTTTGAATGAAATTGCTGCTTTATCTATTGTGGATCCTTGTGATTTATGGATTGTGATTGCTTCAGCAGGTGTCAAAGGAAACTGCTTTCTTACAACTCGGAGTTTGTTGCTCCTTCCAATTTGAAATTCCTTTTGCACTGTTAAAATGGGTGTCCATGATCTGTAAATTTGTGAAGTGGCCCGGTACAGGTGCCTGTTTTCATATCTGGCAATGGTCCCTATATCATCATCCGGAAACATGACCCAGACAACTGTAGGATTATTGTTGACACATTGAACCATCATTATTTTGCAGGTAGCGCCATTGGTAAGACCATCCGACGTATTAATATTGTGAGTTATCATATAGTTACCAGACTCCTTAAGCAATAAATTATACTGTAAATTCTGAGTCTTCTTTGGTTCCAGTGTTTTAGCTTGTTCTAAAAGTGTCTTTGCTCCACTGGTTGTCACCTGTCCTTGTGGGAAATCAGTGGCGACTGAAAAAAATCTCAGTCCTGTTTTTTTTGTCAAAACCATGTTATTGTACTCGTAAACATCAGCATTACGGCTAAATAAGTGAAGGTAATCACTGAGGTCTTCATTTTTTGATACCTTTGAGGATATCAGCTTGGGTATGATTGCATTCTCTTATACGATTCAAGCAATGTGCGAACTCGGCATCATCTTTCTGACGCATAACAGTTGTCAACTCATACATTTGCACTGTTTCTTGCCATAAATTTTGCATTAGAGGACCATACAAATATCGATCATTCTGGAAAATCCAGGAGTCACCAACAGGTCGAAGCTGAAACATGTCACCAATTTTCAATGTTAATGTCACTGTGACCTTGACCTTGGAGCCAGCCATGCGGAACATGCGTTCTGCACGTCATCTTGATGTGGTAAACATTTGTCTGAAGTTTCATCAAAATTCTTCAAAGGGTTGAAGAGTTACAGAGCGGACAGGATTTTCAATGTTAATGTCACTGTGACCTTGACCTTGGAGCCAGCCATGCGGAACATGCGTTCTGCACGTCATCTTGATGTGGTAAACATTTGTCTGAAGTTTCATCAAAATTCTTCAAAGGGTTGAAGAGTTACAGAGCGGACACAATTTCGTTTGACGCCCGCCCGCCCATCCGCCCGCCATACCCCAATCTAATAACCAGGATTTTCAAAATTGAAAACCTGGTTAATAAAGATACAGATTACCGGTATTTACTGCCCTTGGTTTAGCAATATGCTTACTTAAAATTTTTGGTCCCCCATGAGCACAGTCACCGATGTAATAATAAACACCCTTGAACTTACTCTAATATCCTTATTAACTACACTTGTAAATCCCACAAAATCTACTGTTCCTCACAGTATTCTGATCCCCCCACCCCGAAGAGCAGTGGCAACAATACAATAAATGACAGTAAATAACTTGCTCTCATATTATTAACTTCACTTGTAAATACCACAAAGTCTACCCATCTATATGTCATTTTATAAATTACATGTCAGAATTTAATGAATTAGAATCAATGATCTTAGTTTAAACAATACATATATATGTGTATAGAAACTAAATATTAATCCACCCCCCACAAAAAAAAACAAAACAAACAAGCAATTATCATAGTATTGCAAGCAATCCATAAGTCCCCTACCGGTTAGAACCCCAGCAACATTCTGATGGGCCATTGGCCATTCAATTTTACCAGTGGATGAATGACATGAATGAACTTAAATCTTTTGAGTTCTAAGTTTGTCTATATCACAGTAATGTGTTAAGTTTCCCTGCCTAGTAAGGAAATTATGTTTATACAACCCTGTCATATTATTATAATGTGGGATTTTAAAGTAAATCCTATAAAAAATCTAAGTCGAAAAAAATCTAAGTTCAAGGGGGAGATAATTCTGATAATAGTCTTGCTAGAGTATTTAACCTCCTCAAAAATGTTGAGTGATAATAAGAAACATATATATGAAGTTTGAAGTAGATACATTAGGAAATAAAGAAGTTATTTAAAAAAGACAACATTTTTTTTTCATAAAAATTCTAAGTTCAAGGGAGGTAATGCTGATAATTTTTGTGCTAGAGTTGTAAACCTTGTCATATATGATGTGGTTGATGGCCAGAAACTTATATTTAAAGTTTGAAGTAAACACCTTAAGAAATAAAGAACTTATAGTGAAAAAGCTGAAAAATTTAAATCAGAAATCTTGAAATTCAGGCTATTTGTTGCCATAGCAACCAGATTTTTCATTATAGGAAGAAAAGAAAAAGATGTGCATAATCTCCAGACTGCCATCTACCCATATTTTAAGTTTCATAAAAATATTTTCAGTACTTTTTGAGTTATCACTGGATCCAGTTTATGTGTTAAATTTGCCATATTTTCAGACTATTTGTTGCCATAGCAACCAGAATTTTCAACATAGGAAGAAAAGAAAAAGACGTGCATAATGCCCATACCGCCATCTATCCATATATCAAGTTTCATAAAAAAAAATTCAGTACTTTTTGGGTTATCGCGGGATCCAGTTTTGTGGACGGACGGACTGACGGACTGACAGACAGACAGACGGACGGACGGACAGAAAGACGGACGGAGGGTAAACATAAAGTCCCCTCCGGTTAAACCGGTAGGGGACTAAAAACAAAACAAAAATCAATACATCACAACATAATTCATTGGATTTCTTGATGCTTACATAATGATACTTGACAACAATTAATACTAGATTGGTAGTGAGAAAACAAACCTGTATATGAATGCTTTTAGTGTCAGTAAATAGTGTCAGTAAATAAATACACATTATGAAATAAAAACATAATTATCACAGACTCAGTAAGTTTAACTTTTGATTTCAAAGTCAAAGGTAAAGCATGTAAATTTAAACAAAAATCACAACCGTTTAACATGTTTCCCCTGAGCTCTGGATAAAGAATGTGAAACATTTGATAACAAATAAAAATCATGATGGAATGTTAGAGATTTATTCAAAACATTAGTATAAAATCATACTGTTGTTTTAAGATGGAGGTATTAAAGATCACATATTTCAAAATTTGAATAAAAATGCAATATAATCTTGAGCCTTCAATAGTTAAGTGCTCTAAACTATTCTGATTTTCAGAAAACTCAGCCTTGATAATATAGACTAACATAGAATTTATCCAAGCTCTCAGATGAAAATAATTTAGTGCAAAAGATTGAATTATAGGTGTTGGTAAATGATCTATATTGAAAACAAAAGAGATATAGGCGATATCTAGAATGCGTTGTTATTTTTTTTTGTCAAGATATCATTTGAAAAGATAACTTTAACCAGAAATTTTCTTAGCTCACCATTGGGTATGAGTTAGTACAAATTTATACCAGATACAAAAATGTATACAGTTTTGATCAGAGATCTACAATTATTATTTAAAGTGTAATATAAAGTTTCAAATGAAAATATTCAGAACTTGATGAATTATGACATTTCATGCAAGACAAAAATCAAGTGTTAGCTCCACTATTCATTGTAAAGTTGAGCAAAATAATTGACAAAGTGATGAGGTAGTGTTTTTAAATTTATATATAATCTATATATGTATATCTTTTAATATGAAATTAAATAATAAGTTTTCATTTTCAATTGTAATCCCTTTTTAAAAAAATAATACAGTCTTAAAACATCTTCAATTACCTTGTGTTAATGATGGAATGATTTAAAAATATACGAGTATAAATACAGTGTCTATATACAAGTCAAAGTGCAACATTTTCCTCATTAGTTTAGATATAGTTACTGCTGTCACACTGATAATCTTAATTACAATTTTGATTTTGTCAGGAATTGTCCATATGTGTCCACAGTTAATGGAGAATATGTTTTATTTTGTTCATCATAGTAATACAGTGGGTCATCTATATCTTGTGGTTGAAAACCTTCTTTTCTCAACTGTGTTTTCTGTTGTTTAAGTGTGGTCGTAACAGCCTGTTCTTTTGGAAACCTTAGGAATAAAGGTCTGGCATAACTTGGTAAATTCTCTTTAGCATGATGAAATATGTCTTTCAGAATCTGTGGTGTAATTGTAACATTATCTTCTAAATGAATGGCCGCCATCCCTGCACGACCCTCCGACCCTGAAAATACATGCCATTGATTTATTTTATAACTTTTTTTTTCAATGTACAATTTTTTTTTCTTTTTTTGTTTGTTACAGTATCATATACCAGTTGAACATGCAAATGATTTACCTGTGTACTTGTACAACAAGTCAGTGTTGTCAAAGTAAATTCAAACTTCTCCACATAACAAGAGGGCCATGATGGCCCTGAGGTTGCTCACCTGTATATAGCCCCCCCCCTCCCTGGCCCAATTTTTACCCAAGGGCTTTTATTTGTTTATTTGAACAGACTTAAAAACATCCAAGTTCTAGCTCATTGGGTTTTTTAAAAGAAGATTTTTTAAGTTTTTACTATACACATATAGTTAAAAACAATGACACCCCTCGGGCAGGGCCAGTTTTGACCCCTGGGCTTTTATTTGAACAAACTTTGTAGATATTTACTTAAAGATGTTTCATGCTTAAAATCTAAACTCTAGTTATTTGGGTTTTTTCAAAGAAGATTTTTAAGTTTTTGCTATGTATATAAGGAAAATCAATGACCCCCGGGGCGGGGCCAGTTTTGACCCCAGGGCTTTTATTTGAACATACTTGGTAGACACCCAGTAGAACATGTCTCATGCTAAATATCTTAGCTCTAGCTCTTTGGGTTCTTTAAAAGAAGATTTTATAAGTTTTTACTATATGCATATAAGAAAATTAATGACCCCCTGGGGCGGGGCCAATTTTGACCCCAGGGCTTTTATTTGAACAAACTTGGTAGACATTCACTAGAAGATGTTTCATGCTAAACATCTAAGCTCTAGCTCATTGGGCTTTTTAAAAGAAGATTTTTTAAGTTTTTACTATATGCATATAGGGAAAATCAATGACCCCCGGGCGGGGCCAATTTTGACCCCAGGGCTTTTATTTGAACAAACTTGGTAGACATTCACTAGAAGATGTTTCATGCCAAATATCTCAGCTCTAGCTCTTTGGGTTCTTTAAAAGAAGATTTTTTAAGTTTTTACTTTATGCATATAGGGAAAATCAATGACCCCCTGGGGCGGGGCCAATTTGGACCCCAGGGCTTTTATTTGAACAAACTTGGTAGACATTCACTAGAAGATGTTTCATGCCAAATATCTAAGCTCTAGCTCTTATGGTTCTTTAAAAGAAGATTTTTTAAGTTTTTACTATATGCATATAGGGAAAATCAATTACCCCCCAGGGCGGGGCCAATTTTGACCCCAGGGCTTTTATTTGAACAAACTTGGTAGACATTCACTAGAAGATGTTTCATGCCAAATATCTAAGCTCTAGCTCTTTGGGTTCTTTAAAAGAAGATTTTTTAAGTTTTTACTTTATGCATATAGGGAAAATCAATGACCCCCTGGGGCGGGGCCAATTTTGACCCCAGGGCTTTTATTTGAACAAACTTGGTAGACATTCACTAGAAGATGTTTCATGCCAAATATCTAAACTCTAGCTCTTACAGTTCTTTAAAAGAAGATTTTTTAAGTGTTTACTATATGCATATAGGGAAATCAATGACCCCCCGGGGCGGGGCCAATTTTGACCCCAGGGCTTTTATTTGAACAAACTTGGTAGACACTCACTAGAAGATGTTCCATGCCAAATATCTTAGCTCTAGCTCTTACAGTTCTTTAAAAGAAGATTTTTTAAGTTTTTACTATATGCATATAGGGAAAATCAATGACCCCCCGGGGCGGGGCCAATTTTGACCCCAGGGCTTTTATTTGAACAAACTTGGTAGACACTCATTAGAAGATGTTTCATGCCAAATATCTAAGCTCTAGCTCTTAGGGTTGTTTAAAAGAAGATATTTAAAGATTTTTCTTTCGGTTGCCATGGCAACCAGAGTTCTGCATGGAATTAAATTCTTTGAACAATTTTTAAAGGTGACCACCAAAGGAACATTCCTGTGAAGTTTGGATGAAATTGGCTCAGTGGTTTATGAGGAGATGTCATTTAAAGCAAAAGTTTACGGACGGACGACGGACGGACGACGGACGGACGGACGCCGGACGAAAAGCGATCACAAAAGCTCACCCTGTCACTTTGTGACAGGTGAGCTAAAAAGAAACAATGTTAGAGGACAAAAGATGTGGATTTGAGCCCTAATAAGACCAATACTGTATTTCCTCAGAGAAAAAGTGATTCAAATCAAGATACAGTTTTTGTTACAACTGGGCTAATATACAAGTTTAAAATAGAATGTTTTCTTTATTTATATGCATATTCTCATAATGTCAAACATGTATAACACATTTGTAGTTAAATCCTTATTCTGCTGTTCTTTTGGGGGTTGTGCTTTACATCGCATCAATAAAGTATAGGTCTAGCTTTACTGGTTGAGAAAGACCTTAGGTGCCCTTTGGCACCTGAACAGAACCACCAACGTTCTGTAAGATTTGGTTAGCTTTCTGACATGAAAGAGTCCAATGACACTTGCATGGCTTGAGCCAACAGTGGTGAGAGTCAAGTGGCCCCTTAGTCTGCTAGTGGCAACTAAATATACCAATGTGATCAATGCAGACCACTCATGGTCTGCAATGATTGCTTTCAGTCAGTTAACATTTTGAAATTTTCACTTAAGATGGAAAAGTCCATTAATAAGCAATTTAGCATAGTAAGGGTTAAATCTCTCTAACTAATAATGGACTGATCTAATTTAAAAGCAGGACAAGTCCCATTAAAAAGTTTATTGGGTATCAGTATAAAGCTTTAAAATTATCCAACCTGGAATTTCCACTCCATATACATTAGCATCATGGATGACATTTAGCTTTGTAAGGACATTAGAGACCTCATATGTAGCAACATTTTCTCCTTTCCACCTGAAAATACCAGTACATATGAATGTATTAAACAATGATAACACAATACCAAAGTATACATCTGCTGTTTGACCTATTTTACTCATTAATAAGAAAATATGAATACAAAATGAAATCTGTATCTCTACTTTGTATTTCATGAATTATTTGCTATAAATATGTATATTCTTGTTTAATGCAACAAATATGGAATTGAATTAATGCTATTTATTTGATTCTAGCTTTTTTCTTTGAAATTACTCATGTTTCAAATGCACAGATGCAAAGTCACAGCCGGATAAATCTGTTATACAGATTTAACAGGGTAAGGACAGGGTATTAATTTATGAGTGTTAAAAAACTATCATATCTCATAGCAATATTAAACTTTTAACATAAAGCTCACTCTTAATATGTACAATAATTTTATGTTTCCATAGCAAGTTTCAAGTTTTATTGATACACTCACCAATCAATTGAGGCATCTTTGATACAAAAAAGCTCAAGTTTGTAGTTTATTAGCTAGTTTAAGTCTATATTCATATTAATTGCATAAGACTTTTTTCATTTGTCCTATTTTTTGTTGTGATCAAGAAAAAATTCTATGATGAAAATGAAAACTATCTCTTTACATAGTCTCAAATGGATATCTATTATTACCATATAGGTTTTCTTTTCATCAACACATCAAAAAGATTCACAAACTTTGGATATTTTCCTATCTTATATTTCAAGATCTTAAAGGAATTTCCCTTATTCTGCTCATACTTAAAGATCTGTTTGACCTATAAAAGGAATTGAAATAATAAATTTAATCATTTTTTGGCTTTACAAACACTTAAATTCTACCTTAATCTTTCATAACTCCAAGACAATCATTCCTAATATAACATATTTTACCTGAATGTATCACCTATCCTGTCCTTGAAGTAGACAAAATAATCAGAGTCCATTGTCAACATATCTCCAAAGTTAAAGTAAGCATCACCTTCCTTCAGAACATTCCTCAGTATTTTCTTCTCGTTGATTTCTTTCCCTCCTTTATAAAACTGCATGTCCTGGTAGTAGAATGGTATAGCACCAAGTAACAGTCCTGGTTCACCTGACAAACCAAACAAATGTTTTAAACACTGTAAATATTTCTGTCCAATACTTATGTCATAAACAAAACCAGAAAAGTGTCTATAGGACAAGGGTGCCCCCACACTCCACTGTTTTGTCAATCTACTGACTATAGGTCAAATATGTTTTTTGCTACACATGACACAAGTTGAAAATTGCAAATCTTTTACTAAGTCAAGGGCAAAAACTCTACAAATACTGAATAAATCCACAAGCAAACCCCCGGTGCATAACTACAAATCTGATCCACATTCCTGTAAACTTTCAGGACTACAGGTCAAATACTTTTTGAGCTGTGCTTAAACTTGTTGAATACTGCATATTTATCCTAAGTCAAGGCAATATCTCTAACAAAATTGAAAAATAAAAATTGACATGCAAAACCCCAAATGCACAGCTTCACATGTTGATCAACATTCCTGCAAAGTTCTATCTCAAGCACTCAAGGTACACATAACTTAACACTTTGGAATATTACAAATTTTCAAGCAAATCCCCAGGAGCCATGCAAGACACAAATTGAAATTGCCCAATTTTACTAGGACAAAACATAATTTCTTCAAAAGCGAAACCCCAGGTGCACAACTTCACATTTGATCAACATTCCTGTAGTTTCATGACTCTAAGTCAATACATGTATTACTTTTTGACCTACACTTGACACAACTTGAAAATTGATTTTTTTTACTAAGGCAAGGGCAACAACTCTGACAAAACAGAATGAATCCACAAGCAGAACCCCAGGTGCATAAATCTAAATGCTCCCCTATGGGGGGGGGGGCACAAATCAATTTTAAAGTTTCTGCTATTATTATTCAAAATTAACTGATTAAATCATATATTTTATATAAATATAATACTCTTAGGGTAAAAGAGACACTAGGCTATTCAATTCAAATACACATTTTTCTTCACAAACCAGTACTTGTGTTAAAAGTAAAAACATGATTGCCACGCCGAGGAGATTTGAGAAACAATGGCATAATTTTTAACAATGTACATTGTATACCTTAATCATATGACTATTACAATCTCTTTAATTGACACTTTACTGTAGATGCTAAGTATGTTGTCAACTATGACATAAGTATAAATGGCAAAATAAAAACATACCAACTTTGACAGGAATGCAATGTCCATTTTTATCTCTGATTACATCCCCAGTGTCAATTTCTACCTTTACCAGCAACTTTGGTGTAGGGTCCATTCTATTCTGTAACCATTGTGAAGAACATTTAACTAAAACATTTATACAGGTGATAAATGAATAACTGTGTCATTAGAAATATACAAAACATATCTAAAGTTACAGTTACAGAAATTCACATCATTTTGCTAATGAATCCTCAGTCATAGTCACACAAAATTTGAACTTATAAAAATTCATCCAATCTAAGTTCTGAACATGGTAGATGTGTTTTTCCTATATAAAAGTCTATTTAAATATACATATTACAACATCCCTGATGTATGGTACTCACAGTCATGTAAATCTGGTGACTGTCACAGAGGCTTCCCAGAGATGACTTATGTCCAGGAAAAATTAAGATTATCTTATATGCAGCAAGAAATATAACATTTTTATGCAATCTTATTGTTAAGGTTATACTAACTACCGGTATTCTAGAATGTTGATAACGGAATGCTTGTCCCAAGACAGAAAATGTGACTACAGCATTATACTGGCTGTTGTATTTTACAAGTCAGTGATACTAAATGGGTTCAACTAGGTACATAACTAATGGGAATATAAAATTTTGTAAATAAGTACTAGCAATTCTACTACTTGTATTTACCACAGCTTAATGTATACATGCATCTAGATTGAGTATATATGTTTGATTGTTTTTTTTTTTAAGACAGTTTTAACACATTTTTATGTCAAAGTTTAGTGGATAACTAACCAGCAATACACAATTTCTGCACAAGTGATTACCAACTAATCCCACATGGCATATGAATCAATGGTGAGAGACAGATGACAATTAGACACACTGTCTGAGAAGTAATCATCACACAAAGAATTTACAGTATAACCCCGCCTTACAAACACCCAATTTTAATGATCAATCCACTATTACGACCATAAGTAATAAAGAAGCACATAGTTAACAATAAAAGTTGTATTATGGTTAGTAAGAAGTTTCTAGGATTAATTCAACTACAAGTGTTTGTCTAATTAACAATGTGGATTTATGACATGGGCACATGCAAATTATATATATATAAAATATAAATTACAAACCCTTATGAATCAGTGAGGGATCTAACAAGTTTTGGCTATATAGTTATAAACTTTAGCCACCCCTTTGTGGTCATTTGACCATTTTCACAATATTTATTTTGTCCTTGAACCTTAATTATCTCACAGAAATAAATTAAAACTCTTTCAGATTTTTTTTCTTTTTCACTAGAGAATTTAGTCCACCAAAGCATTATTGCAGTTCTATAACATTAGGTTAAAAGACATTTTGTTTGGGACACTTCCATTACCTTGAATTAAATTTCATGAGTTATTTTCCTTTAGTATGTTTCCTTTTTAATTTGCATTTATATATGTATTATTTTATGGTTTATTGGTAGTTCAACTGCTTACCAATAAAATAGCCTTTAAGCATTAACCATCTAATCAAGAATCTGTTTTTACAAAACACAGTTTATGAACATACAAGTATTAATAAATGATAGTCATAAACTGTATTTCAAGTGAATTTATACAAAAATGACTTATGATAGAAAAAGGGCACCTCTTATGGAAATATTTGATTATCTGATACTTATAAATTTTAATATTTGCTAAACACAATAAACCATAAAATAATACATATATAAATGCAAATTAAAAAGGAAACATACTAAAGGAAAATAACTCATCAAATTTAATTCAAGGTAATGGAAGTGTAGCAAACAAAATAACATAATGAACAGGACATTGTCATAAAACCTAACAGATTTCCCATCAATTATACATGAACAACAAAAAGGTCAATATTCCCAAGTGCGCTTAGTTTTGTGACAGTTTGATTAAAAACTCTTAAACAAATGTAGAAAAGGCTTTACACAGAAGGGGCATTCCTCCATATCCAACACATATACAAAGATGTGGTAGAAAAAATAGTAATAATTCCACATGAAAAGAACCATCATATCACAAAACTCAATAAATATCATCCAGGGCATTATATGATGATAGTTTTGAAAATCCTTGTTAAATGTACGAATGAAGAACAGTAGACTTTTATGATAAGCCACCTTGTAAGCCACGCAGTAAATGGAAGAGCATATATACAATAAATAGCCTTAGGAACAATATAATCATAACATGTACTACATGTATTAGAGTAGAACACATAAACATATAAATGGAGAACTAACATACTATAAGTGGAGAATATCTCCCACATGATCCGACACGATTGCTTAGATTCATTAATGCTATTGTCCCCTCAGTGGCCCCAAAGAATTCACAAATATTTGGAATATTGTATCTCTCTTTGAAGTTCTCCCATATGTCTGCCCTTAACCCATTTCCAACTGCCACTCTGACTTTATGTTTACCGTCTAATGGATTCTGAAAGGAACAGGAACACTGAATATAGCAACTCAACAACACAAATCTACTGGAGGTACCTTCATACAAGTGATTTGATTTTAATGCTATGAACATTATTCCTTAAGGTTTTTGTTTTTCATAAATTTACAATTTCTGGAATGACTGAATGAAATTTCAAGATATAAATTTTAAAATAACACACAATATCAAACATGTATGGAATTAAAAAAAGAAGAAGTTGTGCTCTATTCTGCACATATGTATAACTAAAATTATCCAATTCAGGATACATTGTAAAATCAAATCACTTGTTATCACCTATATAACCTTGTGTGAGTACATGTTACTATATATGGTTATATATACACCAATCCTTCCTAGAGGCATTTATCAAAACCTTATTCTACAATACATATATATCTATTAATCCATTTTACTTCATATGTGCAAATAAATTCAAGAATTACTAGTCTAATTGCTTTTAAGAAATTTAAAATTCTTTTAATTCTGGCTGACAAAGAGGAATTTTGATCAGTCAAATGTCGTTAAGTAGTGCAACAGTAATTCTAAATTTTTCAATAGCAACTCAGGACGTATATTCGTCAGAATCTAGTAATTTTATATTCTGGAAATGATTATAAACTTTGTTGACAATATAATTTTGACAAGTGCCTCAAGGAGTTGCATTATATGGTATTTGGGATGACATCAGATCAACACTGTAAACATACAAGAAACGGGGAAAGTCGACCACATGCACCAAGCTTATTTTCAAGGTTCATCAATGCTGCGGTACCCTCCGTTGTGCCGAAATATTCTATAATCCATGGTATACCATAACGTTTTTCAAACTGTTTCCATATGTCTGTCCTCAAACCACTTCCTATTGCAAGACGGATTTTATGTGTTTTATCTAAAGGACTCTGTGAAATAAATTTAAGGATCAATAAAATTAGCAAATGTAAAATATGAGTGAATGTATGCATTTGGTAGATTGTTCAGTTGTGTTTCATGCCTGTTTTAAAAGTATTTAAGTCATTTACTAGTATGTACGGTCATTTACCAATACTATAACCAATACAAAGATGGTATTTTTGGAAGCTGTTAAGGTATTTTTGTCGAGTTTTTTCTCCCCAACAATAACTTGACACAGCAGTGGAGGTCATTTAAATGACATTTACCCCTGTGTATTATTAACATCAACCATAATATCATATATAAACTATGGCTAAATTTTAAAACAAGCAAATATGAATTATGTGTGTATTTTATCCTCTCTCAACCAAGCTAATTTGTGTTGGCTTTAAGTAAATGTGAGCTAAAAATTAACAATATATACAAGTGCATGTATAGAATAATAATAAGAATAATTATAGATGACACAATGCATAACCAGAACAAGAAATTAATTTCATATCAACACTTGTCATTTTGTTAAATGTAAACAATATACCATTCATAATTATATAAAATGCAGTATGATCTATAAGAGTGATTACATAAACATTTTAATTACTTTAATTACACTGAGCATTTTTTTGTTTTTCTGATGGTCACTATATATAACTAGAAGAGTATTGGAATCTACTGTGTTCTTGTATTGCATGGTTTCATGGTGTGTAAAATATGTTTTTATGAGAATGTTTGAAATGAAATATGTTAAAACAACTTCGATGAACCTTAAGTGAACCTTAGCTGGATTTAGCATTTGCACATGTATTATTACAAATTTTTACCTACAAACAGATGTAACAGTTATGTTCACCTTTCATTCACCAAGAAAAGAATGATACCAAGGCCAATATCTTTCCATGAGGCACCTGAGTTTTTACAACTATGCACAGATGCATTTCCTAATCAACAGTGACATGTTAATTCAAGAAAGGTGTGAGAAACCTTTGAAAATTTTTCTATGACAGGGCAATCCAAAATGCCAAAGCATCTGTGGTTATACATTGGAAAATATCAAGGCTCTGAAACATGCTTTTTTTCACCAGACCTTCCCTGCTTCCTTTGCATAAATGTTGAAACTTTATTTGCTTTTACGTCAGCGATGATTTTATCACAACAAGACACTAACAAATAAGTTACTTTACAAAGATGCTCTGTTAAAATGTTTTCTATATGAACAATTAACATTGATAGCAACAAATAAATGTAATACAAATAAGCAATATATAGAGCAGTATCACCATTGTGGCAATTCATTCAAGCATCATTATGTCTTATTATCAAATTAAGCTTTTAGTTACATCAGTGAATTTACTGGACATTGAAAAGAGGGCAAGGGTCTGCCATGCTATGTATTACAATATCTTTAAATAAGCCCAACTCAAATAAATGTTAGATGTAATGTTCTAATTCTCATATAGAATTCTCTGCATTTATTCATAGCTTTATATTTATTCATCTTTTGTCAAAACAATTTTATTACATGATTTTATTTCAAAGCTGAAATCTTACACCTGTAAGTTGTACATGTAGTAGCCCTACATATAATATTATGATGTATAAAAATAAACAAGACATGCAAAGCATGACAGCGAGCTACACTTTTGACATCATTTGCATGGAGAGAATAATTAAGACAAAGTAGGAAAGGCGCAATAATTCAGCAAATATATTAGCAGACAGACTTACCTGCTATAGGCTTCAGACTTGTGTTATCATGAAACATAGACATACAAATACACAAGTCTTTAATGAGCCACGCCATGACCAAAACCAACATAGTGCGTTTGCGACCAGCATGGACGCATCTGCGCAGTCTGATCAGGATCCATGCTGTTTGCTATCAGTTTCTCTACTTGTAATAGGGTTTGTAAGCTAACAGCATGGATTCTGATCAGACTGCGCAGATGTGCAGGCAGGTCTGGATCTATGCTGGTCGCAAACGCATTATGTTGGTTTTGTCATGGCATGGCTCAATTTTTTAAAAACCAGATTTTAAATTAAGCATACATTAACAGGAAAATTCACCAACACTTTGACAACAGGAGGAATAACAACAAAACATCAGCTAACAGTTTTGAGAAGAAACAAATATTAGTGGAAAAAAAGAAATTTAAGGGTTTATCTGCCCCACATGAATGATGTCACATTTTGATAGTGCACATTATACTAGGTTTGAAGAGAATGGCTTTGATAGTTTTTTTGTGAAATGGACCTTAACAATCAGTATGTCAATAACAAAAAATCTTTGTTAACTTCTTATGAGGCTTATTACTGTCTTATATAAGGATATGTTTATTCCATTAAAAGATTACAAAGATTTATGTTTATGAAAATACCGAGGACTTGTAACTTACTGGTGGCACTGTTAGCAGATATCTACAAAGTTCTCCAATATACTGCATGACTGTAACATTGTATTTTCTAATATCAGCAAAATATTGATGAGCTGAAAACTTCCTCTTCAGAATCATTGTTGAACCTATAAACAAAATAGGGATTACTGATTGAAGTTTCTTACAATCCAATCTTATAAGTTTTTTTTTAAAAAATGAACAAATTTATATGTGTTTCACTTGTTATAACTCTGAATATGCACCAAACCACATCATCAATATAAGTTTTAACACAATAACGATTATCTAGGTAACAAAAGTTTGGGGCTTGTAGTATATCCTCAACATTATTTTTACAATGATATTATCTTGACATTCAAGAGCTCTGAATCCCATAGAAGCATGATTGTACAAAGACAATACTTTCCCATTATACTAGACATGACATGTGCCTAAGATCCTTGTAGCACTATGGCACAATATTGCTCCCAGGATTCATGGACCACTGATCACTAGAAACTATTTTTATGAAACTAACACATGTCTCTCAGGGTAAATTAGCAACCCGAAGCCTCACATGTTATTTGAGTTCTTAGGTTGCTTATTAGCACTATTACCCTGAGAGACATGTGTTATAGTTTTTTATTATACCAAACCATTATTTTAATGATTTTTTTCACCGCTATGCATTATTCATAGCCATTCATTTATTTTCATCAGGGGAGGGAACTAGAACATTACGTTTTCTGACTTCCATATAGATTACTCTCCCCTAAGGAAATTCGAAGAAAAAAGAAATATGAACCCTGTGATAGTCATTTCCAGGATGATAGATCAAAATAACACCATGTGATATCACATTAGGCTTTATAGTATAAAGTTTATGTACAGTATAATAAAATCCAATTAACACATAATTACTCTAACAATATTGTTGCATGCCTTATAATTCCTGAATTTCCAGCAGCACTTTGATACATTGCTGCTATTGTAACTAACCTTGACCATGACCTGGTGTTTACATATATATTCTCCACAATACAATGATTTGGTGTAACAATGACACAATGCACATACCCTCACCATTATGTAGCGCAATATCATGAATACTCAGCGCCTACAACACTATGATTCTTGTTAATCTCACCTTGATCTAGAGTATTCATGAGCCCCAGCCCACCAGCTGCACTGTGATACAATGGTGTACATGTATATAGGATATCTGATGGCATGAAATCAAAGAGCTGGAAGAACTTGCTGATCCCTACACCTTTAGCTTGTGTGATGATTGCTGGCTTTGGAAGACCTGGAATATATATACATGTATGAACACATTAAATAACTAGCATTCAGTGTAGTAAGACAAGTAAAATAAATGTTTTGACATACAAAGTGTTGCACTGTTTTAACTTTTATTTGTTAATTTATTTTTAACCCAATAACTCACTAAGTTCATTCTTAATTAATGGGGAATAATTGTCTAATTATTGGCATATTTTCAAGATTTCTGTTAAAAAATTAATTAAACCTTTAAATCTTTTCATTTTCAATAGACTAACTGTAGAATTAAGAATATTTGGATTTTTCACAGCTAATTCGTAGTTACAAACAAACTGTACAGTTACAGCTTTGAAAATAAGTCTAACAGGTTGACTAATCTATTATGACAGGTAGTGCACCATGAAGCTAATGGTAAATTGTACCTACATATTAGCTGGGAAAAACACACATTTGCTGAGTTCTGGATAACGTTTTTTAATCAAAATTATTGAATAAATTTGATATGAAAATAAACAACACTCATGTAAGATCCTCTATAAAAAGACAGAAGTTATACCAGTAGTTCCTGAAGTAAAGATGTAACAGCATGGTGTACTGAAGCCCATTTCTTGTCTCACACTCGGACAAACTGGTACTGGCAGTGCAGCAAACATCAACTTATCCCAGGACTCATATCCCGCACCCCTGTCACCACCTTCCGCATATATAGGTATATGTCCAATTTCTGATCTCACCTCATCAACCGAATGGAATATCTTATCATCTATTTAGAACAAGATTACATATGTGAAAAAATGCTATGCCACCACATTATACAACATTAAATAGTAAGGGGGGGGGGGGCGCGTCTGTGGCTGAGTGATTCATGCCGTTGACTTCAAACCACTTGCCCCTCACAGCTGTGGGTTCAAATCCCAACAGGGTCTTTGGATTCTTTCATGTGAGGAAGCTATCCAGCTAGCTTATGGAACGTCGGTGGTTCTACTCAGGTGCCCGTTCTTGCCTGAAATAATGCACGGAAGGGCACCTGAGGTCTTCCTCCATCAGTAAAGCAGGAGCATCGCCATATGACCTATAATGTGTCGGTGTGACATAAAACCCAATCAATCAAACAAACAAAACTAAATAGTAGGAACAGAAGTAGTTAATTGTTTGTTTCTATACAAATGAATGTTGCCATAATGCAGTATTGTCCAATATCTTACTATCTGTTGCCTCAGTTTGTAATCCTGTCCATCTATCTTACTGATTTAAAGCAATTTACACACCATAACTTAAATTCTAAATTCATTATCACATTAAATAGAAATTTAAATGTTTATTTCTATAAATTAGCCGCGCCATGACAAAATCAACTTAATGGGTTTGCGACCAGCATGGATCCAGACCAGCCTGCGCATCCGCGCAGTCTGATCAGGATCCATGCTGTTCCCTATCAGATTCTCTACTTGTAATAGAGTTGGTAAGCGAACAGCATGGATCCTGATTAGACTGCGCGGATGCGCAGGCTGGTCTGGATCCATGCTGGTCGCAAACGCACTATGTTGGTTTTGTCATGACACGGCTCAAATGTGTTACAAATAAAGACTTGCAGTATACTGATACCTGAGCCTATGATGAGAACTTTGGCCTCACATGCCTTTATTGTATGTATCAAAGGTTGTCCACGAATGTGGAAATTGATAAATGCAACAGCTATACCAAGCTTCTGAAGGCCTGAAATATAAGTGAGAAATATCATACATATACTGATATGACTGACTCCACCTTTAACTAACAGGGACCATAATTCATGAATTTTGATGCTGAAATTCTGCACAATTCTCCCTAAAAAGTACATGTATATATTTTCCCCCACTTTCAAAATAAATTCTCCCTGATATTAAACTGAAATTTTCTGAGATGATGTCATCATATCAGCAGACAAGGTCAATGTGATATTGTGCAGACATCATCAGATATTTGAAATATATTTAATTCATATAAACCTATTCATAACAAAATGCAGTTTTTTTCTATGCATGCAAACTCTAACCTATGGCAGACAGTAATATCAAGAATGTTCAAGTAACTAGAGTAAATATTTTGTAAATGATTTGAACCTAATGTAAAATAATTTATTTATAGGTTATATTATTATGTGAATTATTATATACTGGTGTTAAAAATGATTTGTCTATAAGATTTATCACAGACTTTTGGGACAACCCTCATTTTTTAAAAAAATTTTCCAACCTACAGGAGACCTTAACAATATCCTATTGGATTTTGTATTTTACAAAATAAAAGTAAGTAAATCTTAGCAACATGAGTATTGTCAGTATTGTATGTATGTGCAGCAAATATTGCCTGAAAGTCCCTGTACAAGAGAAAATGACACGAAAATTCCTCTCATACATGTACTGAAAAGGCCATATAGTCAACAATATTGCTTGAGAGATCACTATAACATATATAACACTTCTGCTGTCTAAAACATGCAAGGTAAAGTTTAGGACAACTCATTTGGAAAACAAGAACATGTTAAGTAAACACAAATGACCAGATTCTTGTCAATAATAAAATTTTCAAAAAATATATACTCATTCACATAGTTATGGACAGAAAAACTGCACAAAAAAAGTAGACAGTTACATAACCTGATAGAGTCATGACCTTTTGTTACAGTGAAAATTTTAAGTTTGCATGTCATTGCTACTGTTTATTTGATAGAAATTAAGATATATCCAACTTGGCAGTTTGAGTTAACAATATCCATTTTCAAAGTGCTGAAACAGGCAATAACTTGGAAAAATGGAAGCTATAGTTATGTTATTTGCGAAGACCATTTGCTTTGTATTTATTTAATATTAGTATTTGTGTAAATTATAAAGCAATTGGTACAGGTAGAACTTAAGATTAATTCAACTGGCCCATTTAGTTTAACCTTGTACAGACAGACAGGCGGGGGCATAAAATAGTTATTAATTAAAAGTCTGATGGAAAATGATAAAAAGAAAGCACATACCAAGAAATGTCCAGATAAATGACGGCTCATTCTCAATCATTATAGCAACACATTCACCAACTTTCAGTCCCCATTTGGCTGCTATATTTGCCACTTTGTTAGCCTGCTCATTCATAAACTCATAGCTATATACTCTGTCCTCAAATATAACAAAAGCTTTCTTGGGATGTTTCTCTACAGCTTCCTCAAACATTTTAATAAGGTAACGTCCGGTTTCATTATCTCTCAATATAAGTTTCCCAGCTTTACTTCCATGTTTCATCATGGTAAGGTCATATCCTATCCATGGAAAAAACATTCGCCATGACAAAATCCCGGCTCCAACTGTACCTGCTGCACCAATCAATATCTTGTCCCTTTTTGATGCCATGGTTTAACAAATACCTAAAAAGTATATGAAATCATTAGTGATACTAGAGAATGAAAAGATCAATTTTACCAACCTTAAATTTCAGATGTTCCCATGGCAGCCAAATGTTTAGAATATGTGCTAAGTGAATGCATGTGGGAACTAGCACATAGCATGTGGCTTGTAAATTAATAATTATGGCAGATAAGGAAAATAAGTATATGTTTCCGTCTAAATTACTAAATATCTAAACAAATGAGTATTATTTAAGACAATCACACTGGGACTATTTTTGCTGAAATGAAATGTTGTTCTACATTGTATTTAACTATAACCTGGGAAAATTATATAATGGGATAAGCTAAAACTGACTAGATAAGCCATCTTTATTGGCATGAAATTGACAGTTGATTAATCGACATGCCTAGTGTTTAAATAATACATTCATGCTATTACTGTTAAAGCATACATTGATATAAATTTTCATAAAACTATGCAAAGGCTATTTAAATACTCACGAAAAGAACTTACATATCTTATGCAAGTTGGCTTTAATATATTTGTTTTATTTACACTGATTACTACAGACACAAAAAAATAGCATTTCACAAAGCTGTGAGCGACCAAAAATTAGAACAGGTCAAGCAAGCAATTAGCAATGATTCACAATGTCAGTTGCTAACAGATACTATTTTAAGTGGTTGGCCGGAATCTAGAGCAAATTGTCCCGCCAAAATCCTAGATTTCTGGAATCACAGAGATGAATTGTCCGTGGGAAAAGACCTAATTTTCAGAGGTCAGAAATTACTCATACCTCTTTCACTTAGGCAGGAAATGATAAAGGCTGTTCATGTAGGCCATATGGGCGTTGATAAATGCTTACAACGAGCCCGTGATATAATGTTTTGGCCGAAAATGAGTTCAGACATTACCGACTATGTACTGAAATGTGATATTTGTTTGAAACACAGAAATTCAAACACTAAAGAGCCTTTAAAAAGTCACCCTATCCCCGACAGACCATGGCAGGTAGTGGGCACAGACGTGTTCACATGGGAAAATGATGACTATTTAGTCACAGTTGACTATTTCAGTAGATACTTTGAAGTTGACCTACTGACTAGCAGCAAAAGTGTTTCTATAATTAGAAAACTCAAGGTTATCTTTTCAAGGTATGGCATACCTGAAAAGTTGATATCAGACAATGCTCCTTATTACGTAAGTGAAACGTTTAAGTCATTTGAAAGTGACTGGAATTTTAGTCATGTGACAAGCAGTCCACTTTACAGTCAAAGTAATGGACTTGTAGAGAAAACAGTCCAAACAATAAAACGGCTATTTAGAAAAGCCAAAGACAGTAAGACAGACCCTTACATGAGTATTTTAGAATACAGAACAACCCCCTTGAAATGTGGTAAATCTCCATCACAATTATTAATGAGCAGACGACTACGGACAGTTTTGCCCATAAACAGTGAGCAACTTATGCCACAGAAAATTGACATAAAAGATGTACGTATGAAACTTAAACAAGAACATAATGTACAAAAGAAGTACTATGACAGACAGTCAAAACCTTTAAAGTCATTGACGACAGGTGACACAGTCAGAGTACAGTTTGACAAACAATGGAAAAAAGGGACAGTAGTTGACAAACAGGCTGACAGATCATATGTTGTAAGAACTAATGACGGTGGTATTTACCGCCGAAACAGAAAATTCTTACATAAAACTAAAGATCAGAATGACCCCTGTTTACCCCTTGAAAATCTCCAGTGTTTAAATGATTCGGATAAACTGGTCAATTTTTCCCCACAAGTAACCTCACAAAGTTCTGATAAAAGTTTACCAGTAGAAAAATCAGTTAATCTCTACACCACAAGGTCAGGTCGCAATGTTATCCCAAACAAATACCTCAGCAACCCCATGTGGCAAGTGTAAACTGATCTTATGAGATAAAGTAATTATTTATCAGAAAATGTGTGAGAGTTCGGAAAAATGAAAAGTATTCGGACAGTATATACTAAACTTGACCTATATTTTATTTTGAGAATGTTTATATCATATGTATTTTATTTCATTATAAAAATGTAGACATTTATACTTGTTAACATCTTCATAATTATAATGACTCTGTCTTCTTAATAATTTCATTTTATTGTTATGATTTATCTAACTTTATAAGTTAAGAAAATCTAAGGCATACATAATTATTCAATATTTTTTAATTTCAAAACAAAGGAGATGTAGAATTATGTACTTGTAATTCATTTATGTTATCACTATAGCAAGTCTATACTTCCCATGATTCTCTGTAACATGTATTCCCGCCTAAATGTATGCAGCTACAGCGCACTTGGAATTAGTAAATTAAACAGTCAAGACACACTTTGTGTTAGTTGTTTATACAATGACTTAGATGTCATTATAATATTATAGACTATTGTCTATACAAAGTACCAAATATTACAGCAACTCAAATGGAAATATATTCAGTCCCCACCAGACACAATCCAAAAACCCCCCTAAAAATGTTCCCCAAAGCAGCTTTATCTGAACATTCACACAGTTCTTACAGTCTCTGGTGCATTTCCAATTACATCCTGTGAATGTGAAAGGAGTGTATTTAGTGTTATTGGTCTTGGCCCGGCTGGGACTAAAAATAACTTTCTGTCCCAGGTCTTGGGAAGACAAGGCTTAGATCAACCATGGGACAAGACAGGCTGTCATCACTTTGCTTAATAAACATACATATAGACATGCACACATCCCAGATGGTTGGTCTCTTTGCCAAAAGGAACCACAAAAGGATGGGTCTACCAAACATATTTATGGACAGTTAATAAGAATAAGAAGTGGGAATCACTGTGAGCAAGACTGTAATGGTGCTTTATGTGATAAGAATATTATGCTTCAAAATGCTAATACTCCAGAAGTTGACCCTTTTGATACCCCGCGGTATGAGCTATCTGGGTAAGTGAAAGTCTGGCATCTTTGTAAATGATAAGCTTGATTTTATGAATGTTTTTTGTCAATAACTATGAAACATTTTCTACCAGACGAATAGAAATTTTTAACTGATTCGTGCCCATTTTTGAATTTATGCATCCACCTCGAAACAGTTGCTTTAGATCGATACTTCATTGTTGCCATAAATATTGCAAATATCATTATAAACGTTAATAGCATATTTTCTTTGTTTTATCTTGAGCTTTCATGCAAGTCCATATTTCTGCACTTTTAGCTGAGCGTTTTCCACATATTTTACATGGTCGTATTATGTGAATGAAAATTTTTAATCGGTTGATTACACACATGCTTTTGATTATCAATTGAAAGCAGATGATTTAAAGCATATCTTAGTTTATTCAAACACAAGAATCACAAGCTAAATTAGAAAATATACTCGATATTGCATTATATATTGATACACCCTCGTATATACGCCTTTTATGTAAGTTTAACTGATGAGATTTTTTCAATGATTACCGTCAGGATACAGTGAACAACAAAAAATCAAAATTATTTACCTGTTTATGATCTAATTATTCCTTTCCAAACTATAGAAAACAACTTCGGTGCATGTAGATATGCTAACCAGTTATTTTAGTTTAATCTTGTATAGTTTATATCGTTATCATCTTGGTATAAAAACGGGGTCATTTTTTAGTACGCCACAAAGTTCAAATACTAAATTCAGTTATAAATAGGGCCAACCATGAATAAATTACGTAGTTTTCAGTATATAAACTTCTAGCGCAGGGATGTGTATTGTAATTCATTTGACGCGACATCAAATATTACTTAACGAGTTCCAAGTATTACATACGAAGCATGCGAAAATATTCAATTGGAGATAATTCTTCAAATTGTTTGTAAAGATTATAAATCTAAATCTAAGTGTAATGAAACTTTTCAAATGTAATGTTTGAACAAAAAACATATTTGTATTCTTATTATCATCAATTATCGAAAAACCTGTATTAAAGAAAGTGTCTGTAATTTAACACACATTAAAATTTTATGTAAACAGAAAAGATTGCCCCGGAACCTAATATGCTGTAATTGTAAGTAGGGGTTTAATTGTTAAGCAATGAAATCGTGCAATTAATGCTATTCGCTTTTTTATATAAAAAATACACGTGACCACAAATGCGAACGAACACAGTGACCTTCACCTTTAAGAACCGGTAAAAGGATAAACTTTTGAATTTTTTGTTATAGAAAATATGTTTTCTTTTTATTTCAGTAATCATAAGCGAACCGTACACCGCGATTTCCTCAGCACTGAATCGGTTTATTTCACATGTTGTTTAATGTTCTAGCTGTAGTTTTTAAGAACATTCAAACATATTTTAGCGGGGAGTTAATGAACACACGCATAAAGGCGGACGCGCATACTTGCTTGATATGGCGAACATACACACGTTTTTTTGGTCAAATCTGTAATTAATATACATCTTTTCAAGCTATATTTAAATGCTGTTACTTTCAAAAAGTATAGTTTGTACTTTAAATTACATATGCTTTCATTGTGAAATCATATCTTATTTGGTTTGTTTGTTTACTTTTACGGCGGACCATCACAGTATAGGTCATATGGGGCCGAAACAGGAAAGCTGTAATTTTAGGTGTTACAAACATCAAAGCAACGCCAGGGGTCAAAATCACCTCATCTGCTGAAGCAAAGAGATGCGTAGACTCCAATCATCAAAACCCATTTAGTCGCCTCTAACAATCAAGAAAGAACATAACAGAACAGATGCTTTTAAAGTCATAGCACTTTTAATAAAGATAGCTAAATTTGTGAGAATCATTCTTTTATTGATCATTTTTAATAGTTTTATAAATTTATACATGCTTGGTTTAACATAATAATACTGTTTAATGTATAGTTTCCTTAAGTCAATATAACACGGGCAAATCAAAATAAAATGATATTCGTCCTTAATGTCGTGCTTATCACAGTACATGTGTGTACAAAACGTTGATTTTTCTCGATGCTTTGGGTACCGTATCGACCTGGTTGAATTTTCAAAGAATGTGAAATATGGTAAACAAGTGAATATACGACAATAAGATCTATACGAAAATAACAGAAAGAAAGAAAAAATAGTTTATTTCGGTAACTTATACATTTACAGTATCTCGTTACATACAATAATTACAAATATAATAATTCTGTGGTCACATGACAAAAGCAAAGAAAAAATAATAATAAGAATAACATCTGTATAAGACAAAACTATTTGTACACTAAAAAGATCTCTAGAAAAATAAAAGAAGTTCTTTAAAGAAATAACGTCTATATGAAATGATATCTGTATGATGACAAGATCCATACGAAAATAATATTATATATAAAACTTTGTGAATGTTAACACAACTGTCCGCCTCTCTTTTGTGGACCCGGAAAAACCTTCAATTACTATCATGTGCACACACACGAATCCACCTACAAAGGATAGATTAAAAAAAGTGAAGGGTTTTTTACGGACGCCAAATTATTTCGCCCCTCTTGTAGACGCGAAATCTCCAAAAATAATGGAAGAACTAAATGAGCCAAAATGACTCAGATAATGATGATTATGGTCACCAAAAGATGTCGCATTGATGCTATTGAAATTGACATGGATAGTAATGCATATTTGGAGGAAAGCAGGTCGTCATTTAAGCCTGTAAGCCTGATCTATCAACAATACCAGCGGAAAACAAAACATTAACCAATGACAGAAGCTTTAACAATCAAACTTCAACTTTAGTGACAGATCAATCGACCACATCAGAGAAAAATAAAGAAGTGTATCCAATGAGAGGATCCTGACGGCAATCATACTTCAAACCAATCGGTTGAGGAAATTGCAGACTTTGATGAAGAGGGTCGACTCGAATTTAGCTAGGGCCATTGAAAATTGATGAATCTTAACACAAATCTAAATATCTTTAAGGGTCCGCACATACAATGTATCATTGGTTGACGAGTCGAAAGGATGGAATGTACAATGTATTAGACGATAGTATAAATATACAATTGTTAGTCGGGGAAGCGCTCCGAGTTATAGATGAATGCGGTGCCTGGATTGGGATGCTTCACCTTGTTATACATATTTAGACTCGTCTGGATAGCTGATCACTGTGGTGAAACACAACGGCATATACTGTATACCAAGGCAGATTTACAGGAAACGTGATTTCATGGCTTTGGATCCGCAACCATGCACAGATGAGGTCATTAAAGTACACAGACTGTACCAACATCTAAAAATTGTCGCCATCAGGCCTAACCTATTCAAGAAAAGGATAACATTTATATAAAAATTACATTCAAAAATATCGATTCCCGATGTCGTAGTAATCGTTGAGTATGTGGGTATATTCCCTGGATGAACATATTTTGGCTCTTACGCGCATACTGATTCTAACACTAAATTAATCAGAACAAAGCCATGAGTGAGGTAGCATTTAAAATAACAAATAAAACATCGGTCAGTGAAAGAAGTAGAACGAGAGATGAATGTATAAACCAACGGCGACTTCGAATAGACATGAAATAAAATAAAAGAAGACAAGCCTTCATCAACAAATATTGCTGATTAAATAAGAAAAATTGAAGTACTTGTTCAACAGAGTTTGTAACTAGAAATGTGTCCATAGGACACGGGTGCCCCCACCGCGCCACTGTTCTGTCAATCTTTTTACTAAGTCAAGGGAAATAACTCTACAAATACTGGATAAATCCACAAGCGAAACCCCAGGTGAAAATCTAAATGTGCTGAGCAACCTGCCCATAAGGTTTAATGACTATGTCAAATCCTTTTTCAGTAACTTGAGACACAAGTTGAAAATTGCAAAAATTTTCTAAGTGAAGGGCAATAACTCTAAAAATACTACATAAATCCAGACGAAAATACCTGGTGCACAACTGCACATGCTGATCAAGATTCCTGTAAAGTTACATGACTCAAGTCAAATACTTTTTGAGTTACGTGCGACACATGTTGAAAATTGCAAAATTTTACTAAGTCAAGGGCAATAACTCTGAAAATACTATAAATATCCAGACGAAAATACCCAGGTGCACAACAACACATGCTGATCAACATTCCTGTAAAGTTTCATGACTCTAGGTCAAATACTTTTTGAGTTACATGCGACACAAGTTGAAAATTGCAAATTTTTACTAAGTCAAGGGCAATAACTCTGAAAATACTAAAAATATCCGCACGAAAATATCCAGGTGCACAACTACACACGCTGATCAACATTCCTGTAAAGATTCATGACCTTAGGTCAAATACTTTTTAATGTACATGCAGCACAAAATGAAAATTGCAAATTTTTACTTAGTCAAGGGCAATAACTCTAAAAATACTAAATATATCCAGACGAAAATACCCAGGTGAACAACTACACATGCTGATCAACATTCCTGTAAAGATTCATGACTCTAGGTCAAATACTTTTTGAGTTACATGCGACACAAGATGAAAATTGCAAAATTTTACTAATTCAAGGGCAATAACTCTGAAAATACTAAAAATATCCAGACGAAAATACCCAGGTGCACAACTACACATGCTGATCAACATTCCTGTAAAGTTTCATGACTCTAGGTCAAATACTTTTTGAGTTACGTGCGACACAAAAGTGAACGGACGGACGGAAGGACGGACGGACGGACGGACGGGCAAGGGTAAATCTAAATGCCCGCCACTAACGTGGGGGCACAAAAAGCGTGAAGCATGATGACGGCCTAAGTACCCTTTAGTGACCCTTTACACAGATCAAGAAATTACAGACATCAAGAGATTCTTCTGTTGAGAAAATGAAGTTGTCCTAGGAATGAGTAAGACAACTTTGACGATTGTCATGTAACACCGACTGTTTACAAAGATACATCAGTTCTGAGACGGAAATCCAATGGACATCGAATATGTTTTGGTCCTACATTCATGCACAAAAGTTTACTATTCGAGCATTTTCATAAATTATTTTTTGCTATATATTGCCGTTAATCTTAGACAAGGAAATGAAAAATCAGGTTGTAGGCAGTGATGAGAAGCCTGCTTTCAAAGGTGCAATCAAACGATGTCTACCCGGATGTACACACATGCTATTTATACGCCATCTGAAGTACAACACCATTTTTCACATGGAATACATCGTAGGATAACCGCTGAAGGAAACATATGAAATTTTATCCGCACTTTACGATTGTAAAAGACTCAGGCATGGACACAACTGAGATAGGAACATATGACTACACCAACTTTAAAAGGGACAACGCATAGCCACTGGACCAGCAATAGCTCCGAAAGCGCCAACCACATACTAAAATCTGCAAATACTAGTAGTGTAAAATGCAAGATATGCTAACGCTAATCAACATCATTCAAGGAGAACAAGATAAAAGATGAAGTCGATATTCACAACATCATGCCATCAAGATTGATAACTCGACAACAATGCCTGAAGAAAATAGACGTGCAAAGAAGATGAAATTCTGGACAGATGTCGGAAAACTTAATGCCAACACTGTCAAAAACTCCATCTGCAGGACGAAATCCAAATAAGAGGAAGAGAAAACGGACCATAGGATCTTGCTGGGTGTTTCACACAACGGCTTTAGCCAAGTGCTTTAAGCTTAAACAATGAAACTTATTAAGGAATTTTTATTAATGGAATTGAGGGCGAGTACTTGGACAAAATTTAATGAACTACGTTTTTGTGAGGATTTGGTTAGGGATTACACAAGCTTTCAGTCCAGTCATTTGTGAATTTTACCTTAATTTTGTTTTGTCATTCACTGAACGCCGCCCTTCCTTGATGATCTTGTTTTTTCATATTTGTTAACAAAAAAGGTTCGGCGCGGTTTGGCGAGTTATG